TGTGGCTCGTCCACCAGCAGGGCCGCTGGACCCTGAAGTACTGCACGCCAGCAAGTGACGAACTTATCGGTTGTCTTCCACGTGGAACGCAATCGCAAGGCGATCGAGCATATGCTGGCGAAGAAGCTGAACCTCACCCAATGCCAAGATAGAGAGACTCTTCGCCACCCCTACGCCGAGATGGACATCACTCGCTGCATCTACATTTCCTCCACTGGCTGCTCTCTCTACGTCGACGTAGCGCGGTTCGCCCCCGGGGATCACTATCTGGTCGGGACCGTGTGTCTCGCGGCGGAATGCGCGCCCAGCCTTAAGCTTGATCTTCTCGAGGCGGTCACGCCTGTACGCAGCCGCGTGGTGGAGTACCTCTACCACTACAACCGGTCCCTCTATGACGAGTTGGTGGAGGAGGTCCTGCCGGCCTTGCACACGCACTACTCCAAGGACCTCACCCACCACCACTGCGACCCATTCGACGGACCGACGAGAGAGTTGTTCGCCGGCGAGGAGGGGCAACTGCTGCGGTCCATTGACGTGGGTCCCGGCGACGACGAAGCCATCGCGACCTACAGGAACGGAGCGGCCGAAGCGGAGATGGAGTGGCTGCCTTTCCTGCGGATGGTGCGCAAGCTGTTCTTGTGGAGCAAGGCGTGTATGCGCAAACCACAACAGTGGACCCCTGACCGCGCGACTGTAGTAGCAGCAGAAGGGCAGCAACCAGAGATTCGTTTACTCCTTCTTGGCTGCGTAGACATCGCGGGCCAGGTAGGCCTTGATTCGCTGGCGAGACGCCACGCCATCGAGGAAGGCCTGGAGGTTGGGGTACTTGGCTGCCGCGTCCTTGCTGCCCTCCACTCGCGAGAACACCATGCCCAGGGTCACCCACAAACTCACGTCGGCCACGCTCAGCTACAAACAACGACGACACAATCAACAACGTGGTCAGGCGCACGCATGGCAAGCAACATTGAGCATGCAGCAGAGTGGTCGACAAGGTACCTTGGAGCCGACGAGGTGGCCGTTGTTACCGTTCTTCTCAAGCAGCTTGGAGTAGATCTCGAACTGCGCGGGAAGGAACTCGTTGAGCAGGCTGGCCTTGGCCTCGGCTCGCTTGTCGTCTGGCAGCGGAAGGAACAACGCCTGGATCAGGCGGCTCACGATGTCGGCCACGCCCTCCGATGCCTGGTCGATGAGGGCAGCGTCGTGTGCGGTCTCACCGTAGTAGCCGTGCTCCCGCGCCACATGTCGGGCGATGGCCGAGCTCTGCGCCAGCACCAGCCCGGGCTCCTCGTAGATGGGCAGCTGGCCAAACGGCGCCTTCCCTATATCATCCCCAGAGTGAGTACCCAGGCTGGGGTGTGAGCCATCAACAAGGAGGGAGGTAATGAACCTGCGGCTTGGTACTCAGGCTTGACCTCGGCCCAGTTGGTGATGGCCACGAAGTCGTAGTCCACGCCGGCGTCTTCCAGAAGAATGCGCGGAACCTCGGCACGACCGGCCGAGTTGAAGTAGGTGAGGGTGGGCTTGGTCACTGTCGCGCTGGCCATCTTTCGTTTTAGGTTTTTCGTTAGTGTTTAGTGATGTGTTGTCTGAGCCACCTTCCCTTTTATGTTGTTGGCTCTTCGGCCCTTCTTCTGGAAGCTTCACGGCGATATAGCTCACATTACGCAACAGCTCCATTACTGTGATTGGGCAGATATTCGGCTAATAAGGTATTGGCCTATTGGGCGTTTATTGTCTAGACTTCTCTGGGTAGGTTGTGTCGTTTGGGGAAGAGAGCGAGCACCACTCGTTGCCGAACACCTGCCTGAAGCTCTCAAGAAGCACCGGCGTGACTTCCTCCACACTCACTTGGCGGTTCAACTCTTTCGCCAGAGATGTAACCTGTTTGGACGAACTTCGTGAGACGCACCGCCGCACACGCACACGAGAAAGACAGCGTACTTCTTTGTCGCGAATTCGGCATGGAATGATGGCATCGTAGTGGGCGAGGTCAGGGCACACATTCAGCGCAAATCCTTGGATGGCGAAAGACCCGCATCAGCTCCTCTTGCGCCTCTTCACAAGACCAGAAAGAAGGTGAGGATGCTACCGTGCATGGTGACCCAACGAGACACGGCGATGCCAATGGCCGCGATCTTTCGTTGCCCGTCGATCCACACACCGACGTCGGATGTGGTGTGACTCTTCAACCCGAACTGCGCGAGAGTGCGCACCAGGACCTCCTCCAGCGCATGCACGTACCATCGTACCTGGTACCCGAATGAGTGAGCTTCGAGACCCGGAGAGAGGCGACAGAAGTGAGGAGCAGGAAAGGGTGGTGCATGTACGCTGGGCGTGTAGCGATTAAGGTTGAGTATGGGATAGCCCACGATCTGGCCAGGCCCATGCCACGTCACTGCGGGCACAACGAGTGTTAGGAGTGGAGAGGGGGGAAAGAGAGAGAGAGAGAGTACCGGCGCCGCCTCTGCCGGTTTTGACGACCTGGCAGCCTCGCTCTTCGAGGGTGTGGATGGGCAGGAGGAAGTCCTCTTCGGTGTTCTGCCGTCCCACCGTGTAGACTGGCGGATCGTGCTCCACGAGCAATAGCGTGTCTTGTGGCGTCGGCTGCCCTAGAGCTGCGGACACTTGCACATGCAGGCAGGCGCTGTGAGGCACCTGCTACAGCCCGGCACGGCGTGTTGATGTACGTACCTGCTGAGGCGGTGGTGGTGGGATGGTGTGTGCTCAAGGTGTCCCTCGCGGCTTCGGTCAATTTGAGAGAGTGGGCCAACGTTTGCTGCATGTGCAGAGTTGGCAGGTAGGGCTGTACAAAAAGCAGAAGATCGTTCACACATCGATCGGATGATTTAAACCTTTGTGAGGGGCATGTGTGGGACAGCCGCAAGAAAACTGACTACACAAACTGACGTACCTGCCGCCCAAGTTGCCGCACGACGATGGTCGGTTTGGCCCTGTGCATCTCTGCTCTTGTGCTCGCAGTCGGTCATAAAGGAAATACCGTTTTCCTCCCTTTTCCTTGGTTTTCCAGGAATCAACTCTGTTGCGCTCCAGAGAGTTGTTGCTGTACATCTTGAACGATCGTGCTGCTGCACCTACCGCTGCTGCTCTTGCGGCTGCGAGTGCTGCTGAGTGCGCTGCTGGTTGAGCAGATTCTTGATGAAGTACTCGCCGGCCTTGTAGCTCGACCGCACCAGCGGCCCGCTGGCCACGTACTTGAACCCGAGGCCCTCACCCTCCTCCCGCCACTGGTCAAACTTCTCGGGCGTCACATACTCTGCCGGGAAAGTGTGTCAGCGGCACTCGCACGACCGCACACGCACACGCGTCGTACCGTGCACTTTCATGTGCTTGCGGGTGGGCTGCAGGTACTGGCCCAATGTGAGGAAGTCCACGCCGGCGCTCCTCAGGTCCCTCATCGCCTGCCGTATCTCGTCGTCCTTCTCGCCGAAGCCCTGATGCCCGCGTGCGTGCGTGCGTGCGCCAAGTGCATGAGGACCAGCACTGCTTTGTATACAAAGGGAGCAAGGCGTACAAGCATGATCGACGACTTGGTGTAGAGGGAGGGTCGGGCCTTCTTCGCGTGCTCGAGCACGCTCAGCGACTGCTTGTACCCCGCCCGGTAGTCCCGCACCCACCGCTGCATGCTCTCCACCGTTTCTACACGCGCGCCCACCACACGCGTTAGGGACTGACGGCGCTGTCGTGCAGTAGGCGCGTGTCGTGGATCGTTGGTCGTGTGCAGTATCGCAGGGAGGAGGGTACCAATGTTGTGGGCAAACACATCGAGCCCGCTGTTGGCCATGATCTCCACGAGCGACAGGTCACCGCGGAAGTCGCCCGTGAGGCATTCGACCAGGATGGAGGGGGTCTTCTCCTTGACCAGCTGCACCGTTTCGGCAAAGTGGTTCACGCCAAAGTCCTTGAGATCGTCCCTGTGCAGCAGAGGCGCGGGTGTCAGCACCGCACACACCGCGCACACAGCACATGCGACGATGCTGCGTGGTACCGATCGACAGTGGTGATGACGATGTAGCCAACGCCCCACTTGGCCACGGCCTCAGCCGTGTTCAGGGGCTCGGTGGGGTCGAGCGCTGGTGGCGTGCGACTGCCGATAGTGGACCAGACACACGTGCGTGGTAAGCTACTCGTCCAACTCCGCCCTAGAGGGCTCAAGACTTGTGGAGAGGGGGGGGAGGAAGCTGAGGGCACTTGCCTGGTGTGAACGGCGCAGAAGCGGCAGCCGCGAGTGCACGTGTCGCCCATGATCATGATTGTCGCGGTCGCGGTGTGGTCCTTTCCTCCGCCCCAGCACTCGCCGATGTTCGGGCACTTGGCCTCCTTCACTCAGTTGCGAGCAACACACACACACACACGACCACACACACACACACACACACACAACACACACCACACACACGTCAGCGCGATTGAGGCTTGTATCAGACTTCCAGTGCAGGTACCTGGCACACGGTGGCGAGCTTGAGACCCTTGAGCTGCTCCTTGAGGGCATAGTACCTGCCATCGCCCGAACCGGCGATCTTAGTCTTGAGCCACGGCGGCAGCTTTCCCTCCCTCTTCTTCCTACGCACGCGCACCACACGCACGCGCACGCACACCACACACACGATGCAGATGAGATCAAGCATGGGAAAATGTCCGATGGCTCAAAGGGGGCAACGTACGTCGGCTTCTCTTCGGCTGGTGCGCTGGACGAGCACGATGAAGATGATGATGGCGGAGCGGACGAGGACAGGGGGAATGGAAAGGAGGCAGCGGAGGAGGAGGAGGAGGCTGTTGATGGCTTGGCGGGCGTGGAGGCGAGCTTGACGAAGTGGTCGAGCGTGGCCTCGCTGGCGTTGGCCTGGCTCTGCAGCTCGTCCCTCAGCTGCTCCCTGGTCGTGGCCACCGACCTACGACCGAAGTGGCCGCCGCACTATTCATCAAAGGCGATAAGAAGGTCATCTTTCAATCCATCATCCTCTGTTAGATTGCGTGGAGCGAACCTCAAGAGTCCTGGCACCAGCGGCACCGATCGGGCTGGCCCGGGTGGAGATGTGTCGTGCGCCCGCGAGCAATCTCGCTCGTGATGATTGCATTGATGAAGTTTCCGGAAAGAGTAGAAAGTAGAGGAGATCCAATAAATGCGCTGGTCTAGCGCAATGGAGGATGAACAAGAATCTCGTCAGACGCTCCCCACACCGGAAAGATGCACCAAAACAGGACCAAGGTCGGCCAAAAGAAAAGAAAATTAATTGTTTTTCCATTTTGATTTGTGAAATAAAATAAAATACCGTTTACAGTTCAGTCTGGGCCTGCTGGAGGAAGGCGATGAGCTCCTTCTCCTTCTCCTCGCCGATGAGGGCCAGCAGGTCGGCATCCTCCGCCGAATCGCCCTTGTCGGCGGCGGCCGCGTCACCTCCCTTCTTGTCGCCCTCGTCATCGTCGTCGTCTTCATCATCGAGGTCCCAGTTGAGCAGATCCTCGTCCTCTTCATCGTCATCCTCCTCCCCTTCTTCATCCACCTCGTACATCATCTTCTCCTTGCCCTTCGACGACATCTGCTCCTTCGGCGCCGACTTCTTCATCGTCGTCGTTGTCTTCTTCTTCTCCTCCCAGTCCTCGATCAGCATATCGCCGCCGTAGGCCTGCTTCTCCTGCGGCTCACTCTCCGACGGCGCGGTCGTCGTCGCTTGGGCGGCGACTTCGTCCACGTCATCGTCGTCGTCGTTGTCGTCGTCGCCGATGTCGAGCGAGACGCCCTCGACCTCCATCTGCTGCTGCTGACGCAGCTGCTCGGGGTTGAGTCGGCTCGCGGCCTTCTTCTTCATCCCGCCGATGTTGAGCCGCAGCCCCGCCAGCTCGCTCTCGCGCGCCGCGGCGCTCTTCATCATCGACGACGGCCCGACCGACGATGTCGTCGCGACGCTCGACTGCGGCAGTTCCATCGAGCCGCGGTCCTTCTTCCCTTTCGACGTCGACGACCTCGACGATGGTTTCGCCTCCTTCTTGTTCTTGTGGCTCGACATCGAGTCCTTGCTCGCGCTGGCCACCGGCGATGGCTTCTTGGGCGGGGCCGGCTTCTTTTCGAAGAGGGACGACAGCCAGGAGGAGCCGGAGGACTTCTCCTCCTTCACGGGGGGCGACGGCGGCTCCGAGCTCTTCTTGCTGAGGGGCTTGCTGGGCACTGGCGCGCGGGTCTTCCACGTGGATGCTTCCGTCTTCTTGGCCTTCTCGAAATGGTCTTCAGACGGCGGCGGCGGCGGAGCATAATGGGCTGCGCTTGGAGCTCCCGGCGGTGGCGGCGGCGGCGCTGCGTAGGACGACCGTACCGATGCTGGGTCTGGTGCCGGTGCCGGTGCCGGTAATGACAGACTCCTTTCACTTGACTTGCGCCTGGCCAGCGGTGTCATCGGCCGAGAGGGCGGCGGCGCGCCCCCAGGTGCGGGCGGGACTTGGTAGGCCTGTGTCTGCTGCTGCGGCTGCTGGAGACTCAGCGCTGGGTCGGCCGGCCCATGCGGGTACGGTGCTGACGTCAGCGCGTACGGCGAAGGGGCCGCGGCAGGAGCCGCACCACCATCCGCTCGCGGCGGTGGTGCGCCGTAACCAAAGGAGTGCAGCTGGGGCAGGGGTCGTGGAGGCAGACCACCACCACCCGGTGCCGGAGGCCCACGGTGCGGGCTGCCCGCGACGTTGAATTGAGGAGATTGCGCGGGTGGCGCTTCGAACAGGGCGCGAGCGGCCATGACCTGACTGGCGCGAGGCGCTGCGGCTCCCATGGGAGGCGGTGTCGTGGCCGCGGCCGCGGCCGGCCGTGCAGGCTGCAAACCGAAGGTGCCGACGGGGCTGGTGCTGAAGCTGCTGCTGGTGGTCGTGGGTGCCGCAGTGCTGGCGGTGCTGAACGTGTGTTGTCGCGGCGAGTGCCCGGCCTTCTCGCTCTTCACGCTCGCCGCCGCTGTCGCCGCCGCCGCCGACGACGACGACGATAGAGAAGACGAGAACGCCTGCGACGACGACGATGACGATGAGGGCGTGGTCGCGGTTGCCGAGGTTGCCGACACCGAAGAGGCCAAGCTCGAGCCTCTCGCAAATGGCGCGGTCGCGGTAGCCGCGCGTCGCATTCCGCCTCGGCTTCCACCGCGACTCCCGCCAGAGGGGGCGGCCTTGTCGCGCTTGGCATCCGTAGCGTGGTCCTTCTCCACCATTTTCCTGTCCTTTGCCTTGTCCTGCACTTTCTTCTTGAGTGTCTTCTTCCTCTTCGTGTCGGTCTTGGTCCTCTTCCTCTTCTCCTCCACCTTCGGGGCGATCGAGCCCTTGCGCTTGCTCGGCGGGACCCAGTCCTCGTCGCTCTCGCTCTCGCCCTCGCCCTCACCCTCGCTTGATGCTTCTTCCTCCTCCTTCGCCTCCTCTTCCTCATCCTGCTCCTCTTCATCTTGATCCTTCATCTCCTCCTTTTTCTTCTCCTTCTTCTCCTTCTTCTTCGTCTGCTTCCTTTTCTTTTCCTTCTTTTCTCCCATTTCCTCAACCTCCTTCTCCTTCTCCTTCTCGTCCTCGAGCACCATCTCGTTCTTGGCGACGTAGTCATCCGCGAAATTGGTTGCGTAGCTCGAGGTGGAGTATGGGGTGCTCGCCGACGACCCCGCATCGTCGTCGGCGAATTCGGCCTCAGGGAACGCTTTATCCTGCAGCGTCGCTCCCGACAGCATGTCGTACTCATCGTGCTGCGCGTGGTGATATCTCTGCTGTAACGCACAGGAGACACACACGAAACACGCACACATCGCACATGACACACGTATGATGTGAGTGGGTGGTCGAGGGGCAGAGTGATTAAATTGGTACGCACCGATTCGCTGGCCTGTCTGGTGGTGCCAAGGAACCGGGAGAACACGGAGGATATCGACGGGAGGCGGCTCAACAGGGACGGCCTCTGGTGGAGTTCCTTGCTGCCCCGCCTGAAGCGCTCCGCCTGCAGCGTGAGCTCCTCTGTCCGTGCTTCGATGTTCGCCAGCGAATCCGCTCTGTTCACCATGTCTTCGACCACCTGGCCGGCGATCTCGCGCACCCCCGCCAGATTTCTGGTGACCTCCTCCAGTCGCTGGCGCGATGCCAACTCCTCCGCGCTGGGCTCTTTCTCCAGCGCGAGTGCGTGCCGGATGGCGTTCTCTTCTTCGAGCTCCATCGCTGCCATCGCCGTCGGGTCGTCGGGCTGTTGTTCGCCGCCGCCGCCGCCAGTTATCAAACTCGCTTGCTCCAGGAGTATCATCGGCTGGAACGGCTCGTCGGCCCAGCCTTCGTCATCGTCGTCGGAGCCGCTCGCTGTCGCCGCCGCGGTGCGCCTGGCCGACATGACCAAGGACAGCGACTGGCTCGTGGCAGCAGCAGCGTCGTCGCTCGACACCGGCGCACCCTCGGCGTAGGCGTAGACGCTGGCCGCCATGTTGGCATCGACCGCAGCTCCGGCATAGCCCTCGTGCATGGCGTCGCCCAGAGGTACGCCGCCGTCGATGTCGGCGCCATAAAAGTCGTCGGAGTCGGCGTAATATGCGGTGCCCGTGGGCTGTGCGGGTGGCGCGATGGGCGTAGGAGGCGGCCCGCCAGCGTAACCGTACGGGTCGTCATCGTCGTGGTCGGCGCTCGCATAGTAGGCGCTCGGGTCGGCCGGCGCGCACGTAATCGGAGCTATGGGCGCAATCGGAGCTATGGGCTTGATCGGAGCTAAGCGCATCCGAGCTGGCTGGCTGCGGAGAAGGTCGGCGCGGCCCTGATCGCTGTCGCCGGTCGAATGCGGGACGAGCGCGCTCTGGGTGAGCCGCGACCGATCGGTGTCCTGCTTGGCTGCACCGCCGACGGGCGACGGGTCGGTGAGCTTCTTCTTGAGGGCGGCGATGAGAGCCTGGGCCTTCTCGTAGGACAGCGCCGCCACGTCGATGTTGGCCTGCGCGAAGAGCTTCTGCCACTCGGGCGGGATCGGCTTCTTCTTGTCGCCCTGCTCCTGCTGGGCCTGGGCCTCCTCCGCCTTCTGCATCTTCTCCTCGCGCTTGGTGTCGCCAAAGGGCGAGTAGTAGAAGTGCTGGCCGTGGAAGTACCGCTTGAGCTGACGCACGTCGATGGTGCCAGGGCCGGTTGCGGCGTCGTCGACGAGGTGGGCCTCGACCTGCTCCAGGTTGGCCCGCACAGAGACGAGCAGCGGGTGCGAGGCCGCGTGCGATTTATGGAGGATGGCGAGAGACGACTGGAACAGGCCGCGCGCCGCGGTCAAGTGACCGCCCAGCACGTAGAGCACGCCCAGGTTGTTCTTCACGAGGCCCACATGGCTGTGATTCTCGCCTTTGTGGTGGGGGGGGGGTAATGTGAGCGAGCCGGCACACACACGCTCGACAAAAACAGCATTGGTGTGGGTGTGCGCACCATAGATCTGGACGAACAGCTCCATTGCCTTCTGCGCGCACTCGACGGCCTTCTCCAGCTGGGCGGCCGGCAGCAAGGGCTCGTTCGGGGCCAAGGCGTAGGCCAGGTGATCCAGCTGCGCACGAATGTTGAGTCAGCCAGCACTCACATAGTTTGAATTCTTTCCGCGGCTCCGACATACCGTAGCGGCGACGGAGGAGTGGCGCGGGCCAACAGCGGCGGCCTTGATCCGGAGCGAGTTTTTGAACACGGTCTCGGCTTCGCTATGCCGTCCCAGCCCCACGTAGACTTGACCCAGGGTGTCTAGGGCTATGCCGACGTCGGAGTGCTCGGCGCCTCGTGCTTCTTGCACCATCTGAGTACGCGAGAGTTTTAGCGTGTATCGTGCGTGTGCGGTGGTGCGTGTGCGTGTGCGTGTGCGTGCGGTTACCTCGACGAGGGAATCGGCGAGCGGGAGGGCAGTCGGGAAGAACTCGGGTCCTTTGGAGAGCAGCAGCAGGCAGCGATGGTGAAGGGTGCGCGCCACCTCCCAGTGACGCGGTCCGTACTCAGCCTCCTTGATACGCATCACCTGCTCATACACGTCTTCGGCCTCCTCCAGTTTGCCTGCGTTGTTTGACCAACATACGAGCGAGCGCGTGGTGAGGCGAACTTCGTTGACTTTCTTTGATGGAAAGAAAGAGGCGGGTGGTGGTCACCTTGCTTGGTGTAGGCCAGCGCAAGCGCCTCCAAGGTGGTTGCGACGTCAGAGTCGTCGTTCTCTTCGGCGCCCTCCTTCTTCAGTCCTTGGCGCTTGATGCGCAGGGCCTCGACGAGCGCGACTTCGGCCTTTTCCACTTGGTCATATCTGAGATGCAGAAATGTATGTTCACGCATGCGTGTGTGAGCTAACACAGTGACGGTCTGAGCAGCAGCAATACGTTACCTGATGTAGAGCGAGGCCAAGTTGTCAAGTATGCTGGCCACCTCCACGTGATCCGAGCCCAGCGTCTTCTTCAGCAAAGTCAACGCTTTCTATAAGTATAACGAAAGGGGGAATGAATGATGTTAGGTTTACTAAATTGTAATAACAACGCAGCGAGTGAAGCGAAGAAAGTTTGGGCCGTACGAGGTAGGCCTGCTCGGCTTTCTTCTGTTTGTTGGCGGTGGCGTAGAGATGGGCCAGCGAGGCCAATGGCATAGCCAGCAGCGGATGCACGTTGCCCAACGCTGCCCGCTTGATTCGCAGCTCCTCCTGTATTACAGGATCGTAGTACGCCTTCCGATATCAGCTGAATGGAAACATGCTGCAAGCACGAGCACAGTGTTGTTGTTATGATGATGGTGACCTTGTAGTAGTTCTCCGCTTCTTTGAAGTCGCCCTCTGCCCCCTTTCTTTCGGCGAGGTCCAGCAGGCCCATGATCTTCCATCGTATGCCGATCTAAAGAAATACCACAGTCGATTGAATTGGCCATCAACTATGCGATTGCATGCAGGGGTGCAAAAATGTAGGGTTCGCGTACCGACTCCAACTCGTCGAGAGCCAGGGGCGTCTTGACGGTGAACGCCGCGCTGGCGAACGTTTCGTCGTTCCCCTGCGCGAGGCGCTCCGTCGTGTCGGGCCTGAGCTTGATGGCCGTGAGGGAGAGCACCACCTGAAGGATGTTCCACTTCTGCACGCTCGCCTCGATCGAAGACTCCTCTGTTGTGCCTTCTGCATCCTCGCGCAGTTGAAGAACGCGCGTGCGGAGATTCGGTCCGAGGCTCTCCGTGTCCTGCTCGTGGAAAACGAAGCGACGCTTGAGCGCGACCATCACTTCGTCGTTCCAGAACGCCTCGCTCTGTGCGCCACAGCCTGTACCGCCATGCCATGTGAGAAGTGTGTGTTTTACAAAACAACGGTGTAAATTGCGTGGTTGAGCGGCCAGCCGGCGTACCGAGGAGGAGGTTGAGGTAGTTGATCGCCAGGCCGTAGTAGTCCTCACGCGGCCGAGGAGCGGGCAGGGAGCGCATGCTGTTATGCACTATCGCAGCAAACGCTCGCCCGATCATCTGCGCCCACAGGAGGTTGCGCACACCAGGCAGCTGCCCCGACGCGTAGTGCGCCAGCATACCCGCATACCTTGCATTCCACGAAAAATCGTCAGGCACACACCGCTGGTGTACATTGAAGAGGTGGTGGGCATCATACCTCATGTTGACGCCCTGCTCGTGAAGGAGGCTCTTGATGTCGATCTCGGGGATCTTGTTGAGCCCCTCGATGGCCAGCCTCTTCTCGAGCGCGCGCAGGATGTCGCCGTTGACGAGAAACGGAATGGTCTCGTGGAGCATGTGCTTCGTGGCGGCGATCACCTCGCAGTTGTTCTTCTTCTTGTTGTGCGCGCCCCAGCCGGTGAAGGCGTCCGACGAGAGCGGGTGCGGGCTCTTCTTCACCGCCTCCGATCGCAGCAGCCGGAACAAGTGGCAGCCGCGCACCGCCAGATTGGGCGTCACCGGCGGAAAGAGCTGCACAGGCGCAAGACAATCGGTCAGCACCCTCTAAGCGGTTAAACTAATAATAAAATGATATATTATATTATAATAAAATAAAAAGCGAGGCCAAAAATGCGTACGCGAGCTGTGTCGACGCAGTAGTAGCGACCATCGAGACCGATGTGGCCTTCAATATCTACAGGGCCGTACATCAGTTTCAACGTCCCCGTCTTCCGCTCCTTCACATAGTGGCCTTTCAAATTCTGCACACGCCAGCAAGGAAGTGGTGAGTTTTTCAGATTATGCCGACATCTATCGTGCACGTGCCGTCGCATCAAGGCAAGCCAGCACGTACCAGCACGTTGGCGATTTGTTTCATCTTCTTGGAGAACCCTTTGTCCGAAGCGATAGTGAAGCCACCATCCGCGCTACCGTATTTGAGCGTCGCGCTTCCGATCGGGAGCTGGCAGAGGTAACGTCACGCGCGCGGGTGTGAATATCAACGCTCACAGAGTCGTCATGTGGAAGGTGGCAAGCCACGCAACGAACGAACCTTGGAAATAACGATTACGCGGTAGCCGAGGTAGTTCGCCAGGGCCATGAGCGGGAAGTGAAGAGATCGGACGTTGCACGAGATGAGCGAATTGAGCGACTTCAGCTCGTGCCCGGCCGCCTTCCTGTAAAGTAGCGAACCGAACAATGGGTAGCCTGTAAGACCCTGGTCCAAAGTGAAGAGAGAAACGTAGGAAAAGAGGAAAGAAAACAACGTACTGTGCAAAGTCATCGCCACCGTAGAGGTGGTACGTTGTGTCGTCCTTGGCGAATTTGATAAACAGCTGCTTTGTCATATATCTGGCAAGGAAGAACGAAGCAAGCAAGCAAGCGCAGTGTTAGCACAGCAGCCATCGCTGGCGCGCATACGAGTGAGAGAAACGCAACGTACTTGTCTCCACCAGCCACGCCGCCGACGTTGACGGGCTTGATCGCCTTGTCCTCGTCGGGCAGCAGAATCTCGGACACAATCTGCTTCACCACCGGCACCGCCTCATCCACGAATCTGTGCGACACCGTTAAGCTGTGAGACTCCAATCTTCAAGAAGAACACATACAAGGTCACAACGCACAAGAGAGAAGATAGAGAAGAAGAGAGAACGTACAATCGGGCAAGACCGTGAATGTCGCTGCTTCGCTGTTTGGCCTCCTCGGGCGTGGTGGTCGGCCGTTCGAGCACGGTCTGAAACTTCTCGTTCCAGTAGTACTTGGCCCAGAACTCGCCGCCCACCCTGCCCATCCCCGCCTGCGCCACCACGCCCAGCCAACCAAAGAGCGAAAGCGAAGGCAAGGAACGAAAGCGATGAGTAAAAGTTGTGTAAAGGCGTCGAGCAGCGAAAATGAGGAGTAGAAGGTGCTCGTCGACTCACCTGCGTGGGTGCTCCTCGGCTGCCGTCCTCGTGGTCCTCGTCCATGAAGTCGTCTCCCTCATCGCTCTCCCCGTCGTCGCTCCCGGCGCCGCTGTCGCTGTCAGCGTCGTCCTCGTCCGACAGCTCTGCCTTGGCCTTGGTCTCCAGCTTCTTGGCCGCCGCGGCCTTGTTGGTGGCCACTCGCTCGTCCCGTTCTCTCGTTGGGGCGTACTTGCCTACAATCTCGTAGTAGTCGCCCTCGCTCGCATGCGACCCTGCTCCTCCTCCTCCTCCTCCGTTTCCGACGACCACGTACATGGAGTCGTCCGAGGCCTTCATGACCCGCTTCATCGCAGTTGCGCTGCTGCTGCTGGCCACGGCGGCGGCCTTGACGTCGGCCTTGCCCTCGGCGTAGGTGTAGATGTCGCCGGCATCGCCTCCACCTTCGAACGTTGCAGAGTCGTAGGGCGAAGAGGCCGCATAGCCATCCTTGGTCGCATAGTAATGTTTCATCTCAGCTTTTCCATCTTTTTGATTGATGTTTCCCTCGTCGTCGTTGGCCATGTAGTAGAAAGAGGAAGAGGCCTCGACGTTCGTGGTGTCGCCTGCTTGGCTGCCACTGTAGTAGCCAGCCGCATTGTTTGTGATTTTCATTTTCAGCATCTTCTCTTGCAGATCGTTGAATCGAGGCCCGTAGGCATCAACAGCGTAGTCGGCGTCGGCGTAGACTGATCCTGCATCCTTCGCCCCTCCTTCCATCGCATACATCGATGCTGGCATGCCTTCGTTCGTGATTGCGCCATCGACGTAGGCGTAATAGTCTGTCATCTTTTTCTCCCGTATCCTTCGACCCAATCCTGGGGCAAGGATCACTTTGTTGGCTGCTCTTTCTTCTCTTCAGTGCAAAGGAGCCCTTGGCTTTGTTGTGGTGGGACTGCAGTCCGCTGAAATGAGGTTTGCTTCATTTTCTCTTTTCTCTTCACTCCTTTCTAAACTGTTTGCGAAACTTTTTGGAATTTTGATTTAATCATTTATACCTGGAAATGAAAATAGCCCCTAAACCAGGAGATGAAGAGAGCAAGGCCGCATGCACTGTGCGTTGCTCTGTCAATGCGTTAATCTTGTGCGTCTGGACTGCAGGATTAATCCTTCTTGTAGTGCCGGTGTCCAGGTGCTGAGAGCGGTGGGCACAGCACTGGCAGAGGGGCGAGTAGAAGATGTCAAGGATGCTGCCACGCTCCTCCTCGCCAATAGTAACCTGCCGGGCACCACGCAGCAAGGAAGAGGGAGGCCCATTGACCTGCGACCACAGCTCGGACTACCACCTGTCGTAGCGGGTGAGCTCGACCACACACCTGTACCGGCTGCTCTCCCCTGGCGCTTGTTCCTCACATATACGATGCCGGTGTTGATGCTTGTGCTCGGTGTACAGCTGGGCCAAAGTGGGTTTGAGGCGATGCTCAACTGGTACCTCGCAGCTGCGGAGCATCAGTTGGGCCACTACGCGCTCTCTGCAAACCACGCATCGCAGGCAATTGGTGCGGCCTCTCGCCACCCTTCCCTGCATCTGGCTAGCGCTTCGTCTCAGCACTGACTTCTTCTCAAAGTCTTACTTGATGCCAATACTCCAACCGAGGATCACACACGAACGAATGTGCTGCCCTCTCGTACGTTTGGTCTTCTTCTTCTTCTTTGGTCACTGAACACCCACCTGGTTGATTTCACCCACCCGCCCTCTTTATACCCCAGGAAATCTTCTGCGGACGATGGCCAGCGTCAGCGAAGTGGTCGCCAGCTTTCATCAGCACATGCACGATACTGACGTGGCCGCTGCTCGTCAACTGCCCAAGCGTCTACTCGCCGCTCTGCCCGCACTGGAAGGTACGCACACGCACACGACGCATACAACGTGTTGGGTATTATCTCCTTAGATGACGTGGCTTCACTTCTAGGCGAGGAGCCGACGCTGCAGTCGATCGAAGCCCAGATGGTTGTGCTGTTCAATGCCGCTGTCATCTCCGCCAGTGCGGGAGAAGTGACAGAAGCCGAAGCTGCCATCGTGACCCTCCTGAAGAAGGCAGTCGTGCTCCATCTCATGACCGGCACTGCAGCTATCAACCGAGAGAGCTCACCAAGGGCAGCGAAGCGACGTAGAACGGAGCCAACTAAGGAGGAAAGCGAGACCAAGCGCGGCTCAACGATCGAGGTCGTCGAGCAGATCGCTAAAGAGGTCGTCAACAGAACCGGCCCTAGAGGAATGCCGCACGACCGAGCACAAAAGGAAGAGGAGGCATGGGACGAGTACCGACAAGCGCGGGAGATGATCGACCGCATTGGAGAGGTGTGCGTCAAAGCCGTTCACCTCTTGGCCGTGATCGACCTCTCCTCCTCGAACGTCGAAAACTGGAAGCGAGCCAAGCGAATCCTGCGCATCATTGCCGACGCGTCCGCCAACAACGACATCTGTCAATGGCCGGCTGTCGATGACATCGGTTCAAGTCGAGTGGCTCTTCCCTGCCTTCGATGTCACTTTCCTCGCTTCACCGTGGCCGATGACGACGGACCAGATTGCGGGCTGCACATCACCCACTACCTCCTCGGTGTAGCGTACTACCTGCAAGGCAAGCTCAACAAGGCTGTGAAAGCACTGGAAGGCGCGACCCGCGGCGATTTCTACGAGGCACACTACCTACTGGGTACCCAGCTGTGTTCTGCGTTCGGCTTGGTGTCTTGTCGGTGGTTATCTGTCTGGAGAGAGAAAGCTGACGTTGGCTTTCTGTAGCGTATGTGCACCTTCGACTAGGCAACTTTGCGGCTATTCCGAAGTTACTCGAGCCGATCACTCAGTCCGAAGACAACTTGCTCGCGCCCGACTGTTTGAACTTGGTTGCTGTTGCCCACGCCATGCAGGTACCTGCGCCAGTCCTCACCACCACCAGCATCTCGTATAAGGACTCACTCACTCCAACCACCAGAATGAGTTGGATTCCAGTCTGGATGCGCTCCGAATGACCTTAGACGCTCGCAACACCGGCAGTGCTCGATGTTCGTTGTACGTTAGCGCTTCGTTCTTTCTTTTGAACTGTCGTAAAGGTGTAACTCACCTCCTACATTCTTGGCACTGGTGCTCCCACCCGTAGGTTCAACCTAGTGACCGTCTTTGGCAAGCAGGGCACGTTCGATGATCAGGAGGGTGCAATCAGCGCTCTTCGCCAAGTACTGCTCTCCAACCACATCTGCACGCGTTGCCTGTGGCCACTCACACACCTTGTGACCCTTACCGACCCTTGGATGTCGTACAGGCAAAAGCCCACGGCGAGGGTGTCGGGAGCGATGAGGTTCGACCGCCACACGTTGTTCCCTTGTCGAGCCAGGCCGACCTTGGCAGTGCGCAAGCTGCCATTGTAGATGCGCACGACGTTTCGAGGCTGGCGATCGAATACGTCTCTGCGAAGTCTGCCCTCGCGCAACGCGACTACAAAACTGCCCTCGCGCACTATCGCGCCATCGCCAACACCCTGAAGAGGCCGGGCAGTGTGGACGTACCCGATAGCGTAAGCGCTCTTTCGCTCCTCGCCTCGCTCACCTTCACTTCCAACGCTGACCGGCTTGTCTTGTCGCTGTGGCACAGCTGCCTGTGGATGGGCCGGTCGTGTGGCACGAGTACCTGGAGTGCTTGCTTGCCACTGGAGCTCACACCAAGGTACGCTCGACCTCAAGCCCCACCTGCGCTGCTGCAGCTATTCATTCACGCCCGCTCTTGCCGAGCTCTACAGATCGCCGCAACCGCGGAGTTCTTTTTGTCTCTGCCTCTCCCCGAGCAGGACGTTTCGGCCCTGTTCTCTGTGTCCCAAGCTCTGTTCCGGCTCGGCAAGTTTGAAGAGGTAGGCAGACGCGTACACACCAATGCGCCACTTCTTCTGTCCTCAAACCCCGCGTGGTGCGCTTCAGGCTTTGTCGGTCCTCGAGCGCATCGGCTCTGCGATGGCGGCGGCGAAATCAGGGAAGATCACGGCCGCACCACACGCCGAGCTGAGAGTACGTAGAGTAGTGCGGACGGCTGTGCAGCCTTGGGCGGGACTGATTGTCTCGTGCGTGCAGGTGCGTCTGAATAACAACAAGGCGATGGTGATGGCCCGCCTCGGTAGGCATGAGGACGCGCTGAACCAGCTGCAGGCCGTTCAAAACCTGGCCACCGCCAAAGGTACCTTGAGCTCACTATCACTCTTGAGAGAGTCTTAGCTTCAACACTGCGTTAACGTTGCAACAGACCAAAAGTTGGAGGTGGCGTTCAACATCGCCGTGCTGTTGACGCACATGAAGCGAGAGGAGGACGCCGCCCGGGCGTGGCTACCCGCCAGAGGGCAGCCGCTTGACCAGCTTCCCAGCTACTATCAGCGCTGGGTCGCCAACGTACGGACCGACAGCAGCGCCGGGTACGCTTCGCCCACGAACCGAAGGCCTTCGGACAAGACAGCCCGCGATTTTAACTCTTCTGCCATGGCCGCGGCCACCAGGTGGCCGGCGGAGACCAGCTACCGCGAGATGGACCGAGCGCTCGGGGAGGTGTGGCGCAAGTGCCGCGAGCAGCAGAGGGTCCTGGAGGAGATCGAGAGTGTGGGCAGCCTCGCCATCGACTGCTTTGATACCTGACCGGTGGGTCCGCACCTCGCCATTTCCACGCCCGGCCATCTGCCTCGCATCGCCGCCGTCACCAGGCACACAAGTCGCAGGGTCGGGTCAACGGTAGATCGAAATTAAAGAAAGCCGTTACGCAGACAGAAATGCAGTTGGGTTCAGTTGACACTCTCGAGCGAGAAGAGTTGAGCTGCAGGAAGAGACTACGCCGCGTTAACGGAAGACGAATCAGATCGAAGAGAGCTAGATTGCATTCGCCGTGGCACGTACGTGGGATCACCCCTTCGATCTTTTCTTTCGATCTTCGTCTTCGTTTTCGTACCCCCCCCCGAAGAACGACGTTGAAAAGGGAGATCGGCAAACAAACATCAAATTAAACGGGCGAGCCATGTCCTCATGATGGAGAGGTCACCCATCAGCTCGAATCAGCTCCTGATTTACCGTTTGACGGGTATCCATTGTAACACAGCCACCGTTGCCGGAAATCTTCAATTGGTTTGAAGGCTGAATTTGAATAGATTATTTAAAATCAATAACTAAATAACTAAATCAATAACTACACATTTTTTTTATGGTTATTTGTCCTGACATGCAGCACCTCTGCAGGTCATAGGAAGTGATGTCGTTCAGGAAGCGCTCGCTGACGTCGTCGCTGCGGTCGCTCACGGGTTCGCCGCCCAGCCGGCGGGCGACGAAGGACGTATTTGCGACCGGCTCGCCCGGCGGCAGCAACGGCGGCGGTAATGGCATCGCGTCGAGCGCGAGCTACTCGTCGGGCAGCGAGAGCGACAGCAGCGCGACGCTGTCCTCGTCCGACTCGACCCTCTCGTCGTCGGCCTCCTCCCAGTCGCGCACCTCCGGCGAAATGGCCGCCGTGGGCACCTCGGGCGAGCCCAAGCTCAGCAACCGCGACAAGATCAAGCGGCAGCTCTCCTGGCGCAGCGCCTCGAGCCGCGTAAAGAAAGAAGCGAAGCAAAAGAGAGCGAAAGAGAAGGAAAGAGAGAAGGAGAAGGAAGGCCGCAAGCGCGGCGCGACAAAGATCTTCAAGTCAGACAAGGAGATGAAGGAGGGCAAGCTGGAGAACCTGCGGCAGGCCGGCGAGACGGCCTACGAGAGCATCGCGACGAGCCTCACCGACATCGAGCGCAACATCGAAAAGCGGCAGAAGATCGACGACCAGCTCAAGGAGAAGGTGAAGGAGATGTCGCTCTACATCCACCGCTTCTCGTCGGTCACCATCACCACCACGGCCACCGTCGCGCCCGCCCTCGGCTCGTCGCCTTCAGCCACCGCCGGCGCCGGCCTCAACAACGGGTCATCGTCGTCGGCCTCGCCGCCGCCGTTCGTCGCCCAATCGTCGTCGTCCAACCTCAACAAGACCATTCAGACCTCGACCTCCTACCGCATCCTGCCCACCATGGAGAGGGTCAACTCGGCCGTTTGGGAGTCCCTCGAAAAGGTGCGTCGTGGCCCCTGCCGCGCATACGCCTACACCAACACGATCTGATCGTGTGTCGTGTTGTGTGTGTGTGTGTGTGTGTGTGGTTACAAAAACACAGGACAAGCTGAAGCGCGAGTGCAAGACCAAGGAGGAGCGATTACTGATGTGGAAGCAGATCAACAACATGGCCCTCCTGGAAATCAGGTGCGCTGCAGCCGTTCGAATTCGAACAACGGCCTCCATGATGGGCGACACTTACCCATCAAATGTTGTAATTGGTCTGTGGTGCTCATCGCAGGTGCAAATTGGGTTCGATGAAGCAAAACCTGGCGGAGACGCGGTCAATCGGAGACGCGTTCTTCATTGTACAGTCATTCAGGGCGCTCGAGCGGGTACGCTCACTCCCCACATGCGTTTCGTTTCTTTTTGTTTCGTTTTGTTTTCAACGATCGGAGCCTTCGCTGTTGAATACTGAGCGTGCATCGGTTGTGTGAACTTTTGCAGTATTTGGAGGAGGGAGAGGAGGAGCAAAGCGACTCCAACAACAAGAGCGGGAAGCACCAGCTGCTCAAATACAACGTGCTCCGATCACACATCAGCAACGGCGGCATGCGTACGTTGCTTGTCTTTCCCTCCCAACCGCGCACACGCTTGCGTGCACAACTCACACGCGTCTTGTTTTTGACAGTCGGCAATGGTGACGATGAGAGCGGGGCGTCGGAGGCGATGGACCACAACCCGCGCCTTTCGTCTTCGCTGAGCAACCTCAAGGCGCGCTCCCTCTCGACGGGCCAGAAGCAGCTCCGTATGCGCTACCTTGAACTCCTGGACAGGTGCGATATTTTATTATTATTATTATTCGTTTTTATTTGTTGTTATTTTTTTATTAGTATTAGTTAAGAATTCAGCTAATGAACGTCGCTGCAGCATCGACCAGGCGATCGAGGAGATTCGCGAGCTTCTCAACGAGGTCCACTCGGTACTGTCCAAAGGCAACAGCTCGCTCAGTCCCTACTCTATCGTCTCGTTGGCCTCCATCATCAAGGACATCAAAAAGGTGCGCACACGACATGAACCCACACGCACACACAACCGCACACGCACACCACCGCACTGGACGTGAATTAAGCAGAGCTGATCTAACGAGTCGCATTGACCAACAGATCTGGGAGAGCGAGACGGAGTTCCACGAGTTCGAGCGACCGGACAACACCAACTTCATCTACATCATGGAGCGCATACAGCAGCTCCCGCCCGACGTGCAGATCCCGGCCGAAAAGCTCAACAAGCTCACCAAGGTCACGCTCATCACCATCGCCGAACTCAGCCAGGAGTTCACCGACGCTCAGAACAACGTCACCAACGACCAATCCATCGCCGCCGCCATCACCTTTGCCCGCAAGCTCCGCTCCATCCGCAAGGTACCCGCGCCTCACTGCGCGTGCGGTCGTGCGGTCGTGCGGTCGTGCGGTCGTGCGTGTGCGTGTGCGTGTGCGTGTGCGTGTGCGGTGGTGTGTGATGTCGCTGCAGACAAACTAAGACCGGCTCTCCACGATTAGTTCCTGTTGCGAGATGTGACGTCGTCGAGTGTGATTTCGAACCTCAATCGGGCCTCGCGTGCCGGCGCGGGCGGCCAAGTCATGCGGCTGCAGGCCCTCCTCAAGAAGGAGGTCGCCACCTCCAGCATCATCCAAGAAGGTGCCCACCAACGAAATATTCTATTCTATTTATATTTATTATATTTATTACGTAATATTCATTCGTTTACCTCTACCTACCCGCCAATATAATAATTTCTTTTATTTAAGCATGGTTAACATGTACGCAATCATTTGAATATTTGAATATTTAATGTTTGTTGTTAATGTTGCAGAGGAGCGGACGGTGAAGGAGATGCAGGAGCAGATCAGCGATGCCAACGTGCAGCGGCACCTGCTGTCGCTCTCCGTGCGTAACCTGGACCGCAAGATCAACATCATCATCAAGTCCCGCAAGATGCAGCTCGATGGCCGCGCCGAGGAGGACGAAAGCCTCGAGCAGGAGTACGAGGAGGTGTTCCAGTTCTTCGACGAAAGCAAGCAGCAGGAGAACCCGTTGGGCAACGCCAAGGAGGTACGTGGCCACCACTCACTTCTAAGAGACACAGCCACAGATATTACGATCATCTGGTCTGGTCGGGAGGCCTAGCAACCCATGCGGTGCTAACAACATAACACAACACAGAAATACGAGCACTTCGTCTCCATCATTCGGTCGCAGCCGCAGTACCTGTCTCGCGTCGTTCGCTTCATTTCGCTCACCGATGTACGTCACCCCACGCGACTGCTGCCCATTTCTTTGTTCTTTTTTTGTTCTTCGTCGCTTTTCGTTCTTTGTAGTGACACTATATGCTGGTGCAGGGTGACAATCTGGTGGAGACGATCACTTTCTCTCTCTTTTCCGACCTCTGCCTGGGCACGGAGGAGGCCCTCCTGCTCTCCATGGTTTCGGTAGGCAGCCGGCTCTGTGTTTGCGTTGGCCTTGAAAGCAACTCACGCGCTCCGTTCTTTTCTGATGTGTGTGTAGCGCATCATGAACTCGGAGTTCCAACGGTGTAAGCATCCACGCGACTTCCTCCGTGGCACCACATTCGTGTCTCGCCTCATCTCATCCTATACCAAGTACGCTGAATCTGTTCCCAGCCCGCCACGCACGACACGACGCACACGACGCACACCTCAATTGCGCTTGAGGCTCAACGTTTCGTTGTGTTGTGGTACAGACGACAGAGCGGCCGATTGCACTTGGTGCAAACGCTGAAGGAGGCCCTGTCCTCCATCATGAACGACGACAAGCTGGACGTGGAGTTGGATCCCCAAAAGGTTCGTTCTTTCATCGCGAGTTGGGTTTAATTAATTTTGACTAACTAACCACCTGCGCCGCCGACGAACACAGTTGTACATAGAAATGGGGGAGGTCGAAGAGGAGGAGGTCTACAACATGGAGATCGCAGATATTCGCAAGATGCCCAGGGTCAAGAAGAAGATTCGCAAACGTACGCCTCACGCTACTATTCCGAGCCTCGCTTCACAGACCTGCAGCGCTGTGTTGTTGTCGTTGACACCTGCGACCTGCGCCTGTGTTGGTTGTTCACAGATCAAAACAAGCTGCATTGGCTGTGTAAGTATGTGCTCAACACCATCATCAAGGGTCTCTCCACAATGCCCTTCGGCATGCGATGGCTCGCCAAGCAGCTCGCCGAGTACGTCTCGCTCTCGCTCGGACCTAGAAGTGGTAGTCGTCTAATAGGAGTTAAACCATTGCTTGTCAATTGGTGCGTGCGGTGTGTGCCTCTCTACAGGATGATGCAGGAGAAGTTCCCCGAATCGACGTTGGAGGACCGGGACATTTTGCTGGGGTCCTACATCTTCCTTCGCTTCTACTCGCCCGCCATCATCACGCCCGAGTTCTACGGCATCCTCACCAACGCCAACACGCTCTCCCTCCGCGTGCGACGTAACCTCCTGCATGTACGCCCTCACCCCTCTCCCGTTTTATTTCACATGTGTCATCGTGTGCGGTGATGTGTGCGCGCGTGCGCGTGTGTCGAGACTTACGATCTCTCGACGTCCGCTTTTTCAGATTGCAAAGGTGCTGCAAAATCTGGCCAACAGGTGCCCCTTCGGAGAGAAGGAACCCTTCATGGTGCCCATGAACGTATTCCTAAAGGTACCCTGACGCGACACATGCACACCACCGCACACGCACCACCGCACAACATTCGTTCGCAGTGCTGGATCGCTCACGAGTGGTCGCTGTGTTGCTGTTGCTGTGCTCCAGGACAACCAATCGGTGCTGCAGTTCTACTTTGACAAGCTCATCAACGTGGGCGACCCGCAGGCCTACTTCCGCAAGAACCAGCAGGTGGGGCGGAGCGAGCAGACCATCACCATCTCCCCCAACGAACTGTACAGACTCGTCACCTTCGTCTCCAGCAAACTCGACGATGTGGTACCACACATTCTCCCCGTGCGTGAGTGTGCGTGTGTGTGTGCGTGTGTGCGTGTGCGGTGTGTCTGATGTGGTTTGCTTTTCTTTTTCTATTCTTATTCTTCTCAGGCAACGGACGAGGAGGATGGCGATCTGAGGTCGGTGGTGCAAGAATTGCTCCCCGTGCCGCAGCTGCTGCCTAAGCGCAACAACAAATACCTCCTCCTGCACATCACCAACGAGCCGCCATCTAGTAAGCCCCTCCCTCAATTCCTTTCTTTCTTTCTTTCTTTCTTGCTTGCTTGCTGCGCGTGCGTGCGGCTCGCTGACACAACCATTCACATTGCTTCGCAACAGAGGGCGACGAGCCGGATGTGAACATACGGGAGAAGCTGGTGAACGACGTGAAGGACAAACTGGTCCGAGTGCTGCACCTGCTCGCCCCGCTTGACGACATCCTCGGTACGATCGCTCGCACCAGTTGCGTGGTGCGTGAGTGTCTTAGCGTGTGCGGTGCTTACACGCATCGATGGACAGGCGATGACGAAGACGACGTGCCGCTGTCGCCCAAGTACATGGGCCTGGGCAGCGGCAACGAGCTGTCGCCCACCAAGAGCACGGCCATCCGCGACGCCGTCAACGAGGAGTCGTCGGCGTCCGACAAGCGACGGCGCGGCAGCAGCAGCGCCGGCAGCGCCGCCGCTGCCGCCGCCAAGGGCAAGGGCAAGGAGGTCGAGGAGGAGCAGGAGGTGGACGACGAGCGGGACAAGGATGACGTCAGCGCGGCCGATCAGCGACGACGGATGAGCAGCGTCGAGGAGGACAGCAGCGATGATGACGGTGGTGACAAGGAGAGGGCCGTCGACGGAGAGGGCAAGGGCATCGACGACGGCATGACTGAGGCCGAGCGGCGGCACTCCGACGGGCAGCCGCGGTGGTCCCACATGAACGTGCGCCGCATGCTGCAGGAGGTCAAGAAGAGGGCCAAAACCAACGGTACACGCAAGCGTTCATCTTTTCTTTCACTCTGGTGCATTGCTAACATCACACACACACGCGCGCGCGCACACACACACACACGCACACACGTCTAGGTGTGGGCATTGTGACGATGATGAGCATCACGGGCGACGGGGTGAAGCGGAAGAAGGAGGAGCAGGACGAGCTGCTCATCTCGCTCGACGACCTCATCTACTCGCTCAAACGACTGCCCGAGGAGTACAAGGCCAGCAACTACGCCCACCTTCTCTACCAGATGGAGCAGGTGCGTGTCATGTGTCATGTGCGCGTGTGCGCCTGCAGTGGTGTGTGCGGCGATCTCATTTTTTCTGTGGCTTGTGTGCAGGATTACCAACGACGTCGGATCTACCTGTCGTTCTTGTGCACGGAGAAGATCGAAATGCTTCAGTCGCTGGAGGTACACAACTTCTGCGTCTTCGAAGCAATCGTCTGCGCAGCCCGTGCTGAACGCTGTTGGGTTTCTTTTCTCTTTTTTTCTTGGACAGCACCTGCAAAGCGAGGTGGAGCGGCTGGTCGACGAGAAGGAGATCTACACCGAGTACCTCAAGAACGTGCAGCTCAAGGCCTTCCTCGCCCGCATCAAGTCTCGGTAATCCGTCCACCTCCTACGTAGCACAGGATTGCGCACCGAAACTCACTCCCCACCCGCGTGTGTCGTGTGTCGTGTGTCGTGCGTCGTGTGCAGGCCGATCATTGGTCCGTTCAAGTACAAGATCAGGGACCTGGCCAAGGTGGGCGTGATCACGGTGTCCACGCGGGAGATGGAGGGCCTGAGCACGGAGGGCTACAGCGCGGTGTCGGAGGAGCAGATGGGCGGCATGCCGCTCCGCGTCAGCACGGATCGCGGTGCCGGCGGCGGCAAGGAGGGCCGCACCTGGCTCGACGGCGTCGTCAAGATGTCCTGCACCTCCCCTGGTACGCACTCCTTCTCGTCCACATCATCATCATCATCATCATCATCATCATCATCATCATCATCATCATCATACGTGCGTGTCGTGTGCGCGTGTTGCAGGTTCGATCAACCTGGTGATCCACCACATAGATTCGCCGCCGCACTTCTTCGAGATGCACCTGTCGAAGCTGATGGACGAGCTGCTGACCAACGACACCATCACCTACAACGGCGTCGTCTTCGATCTCCGCAAGGTCATCCACTTCATCAACAACAACCTCACCGGCTAGCGACCCCCTCCAAACCCAGACAAATAAAACAAACAATTTTCGAATACAATGTGTGGGATGTCGCTATGTCTGGAATGCTACGCCAACACCACAAATCTCACCTGCTTTCCGATATGACGCCAACCTCGAGGCTCGTATGATCGTACCACAACGACCACCTTTCCACAACTGTTAGAAAAAACAGCAGAGCTGATGGCGAGCAACAAGACAGAGCTTGAAGGGAAGGTGGTGTTGGTGCTGGGCGGGGCCGGCGTGGTGGGCAGCGGCGCGGTGTACCAGCTGCTTCGCGGGGGTGCCACGGTGGTGGTGCCCTCCCGCTCCCAGGCCCGACTCGACACCCTGCAGGCCTGGCTCACCCACCACTTGCCCGGCGGGAAGCAGCAGCGGGGCAAGCTGGTGTGCATTCACGACGATGCGGGCACCAAGGAGGGCCTCGTGCGCGTACTGGAGCGGGTCAAGGGCATCGACGAAGCTGACGGGGTGGACCACGTCTTGGCCTCGCTGGGGTCGTGGTCCAACGCAGGACCCCTGGTGGAGCGTTCCGTGGAGGAGTTCCGAAGGGAGATGCGCGACTCAGTGGAGACCCACTTCGTCGCACTCTCCACCCTCCTCCCCATCCTCGGCGACAAAGCCGGCTCCTCCTACACCATCATCACCGGTACGTGCGAGCACCGCACATCATCAATCTAAACAGATAGTTTGATATGTGCGATGGTATGCGGACAAACATGACCTGGTGGCTCGATTGTGCAGATGTGCTGGGAGAGGCCTTGATGGTGCCGGGAACGGGACTGGTGACGGTGGGCTCCTCTGCAGTGTTCGGGCTGAGCACCGTGGCGCGGGCCGAGCACCAGGACCGCGCGGTGCGTGTCAACGAGCTGCGGATCGGGGTCTACGTCAAGAAGCAGGAGGACCTGGGGTCGGCTCCCACGCTGCCCGGCATCATCGAGGCCTCGCACCTTCAGATCGGCGTCGTGGCCGCGGGCATCATGACCTGCCCCGACTTGAGCGGCCAAATCGTGCGCATCGACTCATACAACTTCCACCAACAGCTGGCCCGCTTCCAAGACCACAATCAAGTGTAAGTTTGGGTTGGGTCCCCACCCAGCTGATGTGGATACCTTACATATTCTTAGCAAACCAGCATATTTAGCTGGCTTGACACAGGATTTCCAACTATGTGACTTTCTTTGCTCTCAACGTCAGTCTACGAGGTTGAGTGTGAACTGAGGTCCACATAGTTGCAAAGAGACGACTTACGCGGTAGCACTTCCCACCCACTGGTGCCAGGTCCCCTGTATGTGAGGTGGGAGCTTGGTGCACGGTGCTGTAGTCGTGCCGGTCGTTCGCGCACTTTTCGAGGCCTTTGGCCGTTTGTGTCCCTGTCGGTGTGTTGGCTCCAATCCAAGCCACACCATGCCGCAAGATGTTTGGCTAGAACACCTGGTGGTGCATTCTGCTGACGCACTACATAGGCGCTTTAGCCTTGAGCCCCTTCTCCATCTTTGTGAACACGTACGCCATAAGCACCTGCGGAGTAGAGCACCATCGAATTGCCAATCGTTCTAATTCAATCTTGCTCTATCTTGAAGACTTGATGAATGCTGTCGCGAGAGGAGGGAGCAGCTCGTTAGAGATGAGCAGCCACAAGCGGCCCGTGCGTTCGGCGACGGCCACCATCGCCCAAATGGAGGATTTGATAGTGGACCTGGTCAAGATCAAGGAGCAGAGGGAGTCGATCAGCCACAGACCCAAGGACAGCGCGTGCAGCAGCATATGCAGCACAGACGACGTTCATCTTCCCCACATCAACCCTTCACCTTCATCATCCACCAATTTGTATCGAGTAGAGCCGATCTCAGGCCGAGACAGCACTAGTAGCGGCGGCAGCGACCGAGAGCAGGCATCGGTGGCACTAGGCGGAGAGATCGAGGACCTCAGGGAGAAGGTGCGGTTCCAGCAGGTGCTCATCGACGGCCTCAAGACCAAGCAGGTCCTGGTCGAGGAGAAGGCGCGGCGGCTCGCGACCAAGACCCAGAGCCTCGCCCTCCGCGTCGAGGAGCAGCAGGAGGAGATCCGCCAGCTGCGCGCCGCGCTGGCTCACGAGCGCGTCCACCGCGAGCGGTTGGTCAAGGAGGAAGCCGCGGCGCGGCGCGGCGCCACCACCAAGGTCAAGCCCGACAAGCGCGACAGCGGCATGGGCGACGCCAGCGACATGAGCGATGGCAGCACCATCATCGTCCGGCATGACGACGACGCAAAGGCGACGGCCGCGAGGAGCTCGGGCGAGGTCGTGGCGGAGCCGGAGAGGACCACCACCAGCGAGCGAGGCCGAAGCCGGGCCAAGGAGCGGCTGAAGAGCTGCATCTCGGCGCAGCCGATGATCGGCGGTGAAGCGAAGAAGAAGCGACGTCTGGAGAAGAAGATCGCCAGCGCGCGCGAGGACTTTGAGCGGAAGGAGGTCATGCTCAAGCGCGTGGTGGAGCGGCTCAACGCCGAACGCGTTGTGGACAACTACTGCGCGGCTGCCGCCAGCGGCGAGACTCGGCTGACAGTGTTGCAGGAGGAGGCGAAGGAGGAGATCGACGGGAGCAGCGAAATCAAGCGCGCCTTCATGGAGCGGCGAAGCCAGATCATCAACGAGTTCGTCACCACCGAGGAGGCCTACGTCAACAGCTTGCGCACCATCGTCGAGGTACTCCCAGTCATTCACTTGAAAATCATCCACACGCCCCTGCTCTATTCCTGATACTTCTTGCTTGCTTGCTTGTAGGTTTACCTGACGCCCCTGCGTGAGGCGCTACTCAACGGCGCAGAGATTCTCTCCGCAGAGGAGATGGAGGTGCGCGCCTGATGAAGGGAGTGGTGTGTCGTTTCTTGTTTCCTCACCTTGCACGCTTCTTCCTCGCTCTTGTCATCGTCGGTGTGAACAGACCCTGTTCAGCAGGGACATAACGACGATGTTCACTCTGCATGCCACGCTGCTCATCGAGCTCCAGGGCTCGGCCGCGTTCACGCCGGCGCTGAGCTCCTTTGTTCCCTATCTCAAGGTACTCCTTTCTTATTGAGCTCAATCACTGCCCATCATAATCTTCATCTTTCTTTCCTCATATCTTTCGCTGTCTCGCGCCTGGCCAGATCTACACGCAGTATGTGAACAACTTCCCGCAGGCGACGGAGCTCCTCACTCAGAAGACCGCCCGCTCCCGCCGATTTGCCGAATTCATCAAAGTACACACGCCCTACAACACAGTGCCGGTGGAGGCAGAGCTGTAACTTCTTCGAGGTTACAATGTACTCATACGTGTGGACGACAACCTTGTGCAGGAACGCCAGGAGGTACCCGCCAGCCTGTCTCGGCAAGATTCCCATCCAGAGTTGGGCAAGACCAACGAGACCCTGTCCTCGCTCCTGGTCATGGTGCGATCAACGCACACGCACACGCACACGCACCCGCACACGCACACGCACACGGTCCAAGGGCAACGTATATATTAACTCCTTTTTCTTTCGATCGTCAGCCTATTCAACGTCTGCCTCGTTACGAGCTCCTGATCAAGGTTGGGCGCCCACATTTGAAACCTGCCCAATTGCATCGATTGCAGCTTTCTAACCTCTCTTTGGCGGGTGTGTGTGTGTGATGCAGGACATATTGAACTGCACCCCACAAGACTCTGCGCAGGCGCAGGAGCTGCATAACCTGTTGCAAGCCGTGCAGGAGGTCAACACCCACGTCAACGAGAGCAAGCGCAAGGAGGAGAACACCCAGAAGCTGCTCCTCATACAAAAGGGTACCCTAAGAGCAGGCAAAGAGGAGCATAGAGCCATCCCTCGACTCACCCGCCCCTTTCACATTTCGCAGGGCTCATCGGAAACGGCGACTTATCCATCTTTGATCGAATCGGCCGCCGGTTCGTCATGGAGGGACGCATGGGCGTGCGACTTGTTCATGGTACACACACGCGGGCGCGCACACACGTTTGGCATTGCGCTGACCCGGTTCTTGTCGGCTTCTGCAGGAAAGGGCGGGAGCTCTGCATTCCCGTCGAAGTGGCGGAAGGTGAAGGCCGCGGACAAGCAGCCCCCTCTCTCCTTCTCGAGGCACCTGCTCTTCCTCTTCAACGACCTGCTGATGGAGACGAAGCACATCAGAAAGAGGGAATTCAAGTTCAAGCGCGTCTTTTTCCTCGATGCCATCTCCATCGACAGCTACGATGGTACACGCACACCACCGCACACACCACCGCACACCGCACACGCAATTGATGGTGTGCTGTCTGTCGACAGGCAACGAGGAGGACGCGCAGAGGATCTTTGTTCTCACGGACGAGGAGGACGGTCGCGTGCTGCATCTCAAGGCGGACTCTGTGCAGGAGAAGCTGGAGTGGATGCAGGCCATCGCCAAGCAAATCGACACGCGTACGTCCGCTCGTCGCCATCACCATTGCAATGTTGGTGTGTGTGGTGTGTGTGGTGTGTGGTGAACTCAACTCACCTTCCTTATGCTTTTTCTGTTGAACAGGACAAGAGGAACATGATGGCAAGCAACAGCAGCGAACAACAACATTCTGAATCAAACCGGAAGTGGTGTGATCATGAAGAGAAGACGAAGAAGCAGAGAAGTTGTACAGAGCGGCACAGTTCTACGAACGGCCGCTGCACTGAAAATAAAATCAATTATTCATGATTTTGGCCGAGAAATGCACAGAAGAAGAGATATAAAAGATGGAGGCCGGCCAGGAAGACCAGAGGCAGTTGCTGCTTAGTCAGCTCACCTTTTCCGGTCTCTCGCAGAACTGTTCACGTACGCCTCTCACCATCTTCTTCTCTTCATCTCTTCATCTTCATCGTCGTAAGGCGTGGCCTGAAGGGGGTGAGGGTCTGCGCGGGTCCACCTCCAGGCTACGCTGCGAACCCGTTCAGGCGAGATCGCTGCACGGAGTGCGGCAAGGGCGTGCGGGACCACCGGGCGGAGGCCGTCAGCAATGACGACATCATGGTCGCCATCGCACACGCCCAGGGCGCACAAGGCGGCCACCTCATCCTCCCCGCCGAGAACGGCTTCGGTACACACGACACACGGCACACGGCACACGGCACACGACACGACACGACACGACACGACACGACACACCACAGGCACGACACGCACGACACGGCACACGCACGAGCTAAGGCGTACCGTGGCTGGGCAGGCGAGATGCATTTGGGAGGCTTCATGGCGTCGGGGAAGGCCTACATCGAGTCGCGGCGCATCACCCACGTCATCAACGCCGCCGTACGCCACACACGCTCTGCCCTCTTTTCTGTGCTACACAGCTGTCTGGCTGACCTGTGCGCGCACGATGATGGGGTTGTTCTAGAAAGGGCTCGGGAGCTTCTTCGTGGGCTGGGCCAAGCAGCTGCCGGCCCTCGCGGAGCAGGGCGTCGTCTTCATGAGGTGCGCCTCCCACGCTGAGTGCCATGCTATGGTGCACAAAGGTTTGTGAAAAACAACGATCGTTGCTGAACGTTGGCGAGGGCTGCAGGCTGGAGTGGACGGACACGCACGACCAGAAGCTGTACCGGGACCAGCCGTGGGACACGCTGACCGAGGCCGTCCTCTTCATCGAAGACGCCCGCAAGCGCGGCGGCAACGTGGTGGTCCACTGCGCGCAGGGCAAGTCTCGCAGCACGACCGTCGTAGTCGGTATGGTGAAATTTCTTCTATGTGTTTCTTGATTAGTGATATATTGATATTTTGCTGCACGATTGATGTGCGTGCTACAGCGTATATGATGGCCAAACGGGGCATGGGCGTGGAGGAGGCCGTCAAGTTCGTGCAAGCCAAGCGCCCTGAGGCCGACCCCAACTCCAACTTCATCGCCCAGCTCCACGAGTTCCACAACTCGCCCGTACGCACCCCCTTCACCACTTCTTGGCCTTGGTCTGACACATCTCTCTTTCCCAGGAGCTGGCCCAGCTGCGCACCCAGTTCACCCAATAGTCTCTACATGTTATATTTTATATTTTATATTATTTTTAAATATATAAACATAGAGAATTTCTTTATATTGATCGTAGAAATACATCCGGATATGCCTACTGCTCGATGGTTTCGTCGACGGTGAGCGAGTGGCGGTAGGCGTCTTCGGTGGCGAGATAGGGCAGCGAGCACAGGGTTTCGATGAGCGCAGGGTCGCGCTTGAAGTGGAATCCAGTCTTGATGAAGCCCTGCATCTGATCAACAAGAAAGTAGGGTGTGTGAGGAAAAAGAAGAGAGATTGTGATCTTGTGAATGAATGAGTGTAGCGATGTGGTACCTCTTTGATGACGAGCGCGTTCATGCAGTGGTAGTACCAGTGGACGCAGGTCTTGTCGCCCCAGTCCATGTTGAGGAACGGCGTGTAGCCATCGCTCACAAAGCTTGTGCGGCCAAGTGTCAGCAAACACGACCACACACACACACACACAGAGAGAGAGAGAGAGGAGTGCGCAGGAGGAGACCTGAGGTCGACCAGGTGCATGCCCAAGTAGGGCACGCCCGGCGGCGTCATAGTCTCCGCGAGGGCGCGCAGGCGCCGCCTGGTCGACATCTGCGTCAGAGCCTCGAGCGTCTTCACCGCCGACTTGGACATGTTCTGCGCGCGTCGCCGTCGTGCGTGTGCCGTGCGTGCGGCGTGCGTGTGCCGTGCGTGTGAGAGCGATCATTGCCATTGTGGGCTCTGGCGCGAGTGCGGGTGGTGTCCGTACCTGCCGGGTCTTCTTCAGACGATGGACCGCAGCACAGCCCAGACCAGAAACGATCGCGAGCGTCGATGTGAGGTCCTTTTTTCGGGAAGGCGCGACGTGTGTGAGATCGTGGACACGCGCCCACCGCACACACGCAAACCGCACACGCGCAACCGCACACACCACCGCACACGCACACCACCGCACTCGCACGGGAGAGTGGGAAGGAGGGTGAATAGGTCCATACCTGGATCTTGAAGGAGTGGTTGGCGATGTCGACCCACTTCTCCAGCATCTTGACGCGCGGCTTCATGCTCCTCTCCATCACGATGGTCGTGGCCACGTAGCCCGCCACCATGTTGAAAAAATCCACCAGCTGTCGCACATTCGGACACGTGCTCGGTTGGTGCTTCCACCTTCACGCACACACACACACACACACGCACACGCACACACACGCACACACACACACGCACACACGCACACACACACACACACGCACGTCAGGAATGCATAGGATGATGTTGAAGGACAAGGGGGGTGTACCGCATGTTGAGCAGCTCGTCGTGGGGCAGCTGCGCGAAGAGATCGAAGGCGATCAGGGCCATCTGCCGAGCAATCTTTTTCGAGCTGCAGCGACACAAGCACGCAAGCACACGTCAGCCGAGCTGTGCACAAGGAATGTGTCGGCAACATTCCACACAAACACAAACGTGCCTGGTCTTGTGCAGGTCGATCAGCCGCCAGTTGGGGCCTTCCCCGCCACCCGCCTCTGGCTCGCCCTCGTCGCTCTTTTCACCACTCTCCTTTTCCTTTCCTTTTTCTTTGTCGTTTTCTTTTCCCTCGGTCGACGCGGTAGACGCGGCTGTGGCCGTGGCGACGGCGGAGTGCACGCGCGGGGTGATGACCACTCGACGCAGCGGGTCGGTGGGCTTGAGGGCGGCGATGTACTGCTGCAGGAGCTGGTGGAAGGCCTTCTCCAGCGGGTGGAAGGTGAGGTGCGACTCCAGGAACTCCTGCATGCGCGCCGCCAGCACCGGATCTGTTCTGTGCGTGTGTTGTTGTTGCGTGTGCGTGTGCGTGTGCGGCGTCAGTCACCTGTGCGTGTGCGGTCGTGCGCGAATGGAGAAATATTTCACCTGAAATGGCAGGGCTGCTCTTTGATCCAGCACTTCACAACGTGGACAACCCTGCGTGGGCACGCACGAGATATCAGCCACATTAAACAACTAAAATAACAATAAAAAACAAATGATAAAAATAACAAATAATAATAATAGTAATACGTACATATTTTGGACGGGCGCGAGCTTGTGCTTGCGCCACAGGAGTTGATAGTCGCGCGAGTAGCCCCTCGGCATGATGCACAGGCTGGGCAAAAGACGGAGAACACGAGTGTACGTCAGACACTCGCGAGTGCCTCGAGCAAAGAAGCGAGAATGAGCGAGCCCACACGTACTATTCCTCGAGCATGCGGAGCACCTCAACGCTGGACACAAACGACTGGTGGGTGAGAAGGAACTGCGTGACCATCGGGTCGTCTGAGGTGATGATAAAGAAGCGTTGATCGGGTCAGTTCTCCAGAAAATAATAATACTAATTTGTTATTTTTATTTATAATTAATTTATCATAGGGTCAGTTCGCCAAAAAATAATAATACTAAATAATTATTCATATATTGTGTGTAAATAAATATACGTGTATGTGGAGCGCCAACAAGTGTGAGTGGTAAAAGGTGGTGGTACCGAGCGACGAGAGCTCTGTGAGCATGTAGTTCACGAGGCCCCAGGGCGTTCCGCCGACGATGTAGAGGTCGTCCTTGTTCGCCCCGAATTGTTGAACCGGCGTGTCCTGCAATAATGCAATCAACGACACACACAGCACACGACACACACGACACGCACACATGTGAGTTTCATGCCTAGCCAAATGGTCGTGTGCGATCACACACACACACGCGTACCCAGGCGAACTGGGCCAGCACGACCTCCTGTTCGCGTATCTCGACCTTGGTGAGGCTCCGCGCGGCCTTCTCCTTGACCAGCTGCACGAAGTCCTCCCGACTGCTCGCCGCCGTGTCGACCTTGTACGACTTGCCCGACGACCCGACCCGCTCCTCCGCCGCCTCGCGCCTGTTCTGCGCCTCTCGTCGCAGCTGCCTCTTCCCCACATCGTCGTCACCATCACCATCACCATCGTCATCTTCGCTGTCGCGCTCGTCGCCGTCGGCGTTGTCGTCATTGTCGGCGTCGTTGGCGATGATGTGGCGCCACCGAGCCTCTTCGTCGTCGCCCCCACACTCGCGCATGCTGCGCTTCACCCGCCGATGCAGGGTCTGCACGTACCACTCCTTCCACCGGCCGCCGCCCACGCCGCCGTCGTCGCCGTCGCGGTAGTCGTTGTTGTCATCGTCGTCGTCCACGGTGCGGCCCTTGGTGAGATACGAGTCGTCGTTGCTCAGCTTGGCCTTGGCCCGCTGCAGGCTGGCCCTGGGCCGGTGCCGCTGGTGGTCTTTGCTGCGCTTGCCTCCCTTGGCCGCCGCCGTGGCCTTCCCGTGCGAACTAGAGTCCTCGCCACCGGCTCCAGCCTCCGCTTCCGCGCCGCCACCCGGCAGCGCCCACCCGCGCTTGACCGCCAGCCCTTTCCACAACCTGAAAAATTTGTTAATAATTTAAAAAAACTAATATCTTAATAATAATTGAAATAGATTATAAAATTTCCATTTTATGAAAAAAGGAAAAGGACTGGGAGGTACGTGTCATCGTGGGCGAGGCGGCGCCAGGCCTGGCTCACGAGACCGACGGCGCAGAGATCGATGCCGTCGTCCAGGCAACCGAAGATGGCGCACAAGATTTCGTCTGAGAGAAGTTCAATGGCAGAGGGCTGTTGCGAGATGTTGGTGTCCTTTGCGCCCGAGGCGCTCTGGGCAAGCTCCTTCTTCCCCTTCTTATTCGCACTCAGTGCCTTCTGCTTGCTCCCCTTCAGCATTTTTATGGTGCTGGTCCCTTTTTTTTTTTTTTGTTTGCGCCTTTTTCCGACATTATTATTATTTCGAAATTATTTCGAAATTCTCAGACCAATCCTAAAAAAAAAAGCTGTCGCTGCGAGTCCTTGCACTTGGAAACTCCGGCTTTCTGTTCCCAGTCTGCACTTTTTCTGATTACGATACGAATTACGATTGGTCAGTTCGTGCCGACATCATTGGCGCCAACGGTGCTGACGTGGGCCTCCCAGTCTGCACTTTTTCTGGGTTAACTGCATTGTAGTTCAAAAAGTCATGAGCCACCTGTGTCGCCACACAGAGTGCACTCACTTGCTGTGCAATGGCCAGCGACCAGCATACTCATGTACCACTGAATGGAATTGTCATGAACATTTGAAACACATTGTACCCTGCCAAGTCTCCTGCCCATGTTGCCTTGAGGTAGCCTAGCCTTTTGTTGCCTGTGTTCATCTCTTCTGTTCTAATGCATTCTGTGTGCACTAGCCACAAGTGGCACTGACAGGGACCACTCCTGCTGTGCCAGCCACCAACAGCACAGAACACCACCAACCTCATCCAACACCAATCTGCTGCCCACACACCACATGTCCCAAACAATATCAGAACAATTCACACCTGCTACACCATCTGCAGACAAAAGCACACTGCACACACATGTGCTGTGCTGGCTGTGACAAAGCAGAGCAACGCTTGTCCAACAAGTGGAAGAGAGATGCTGATGCTGAAGTAGCAAGAAGAGAGCTTGAAGAGAAGAAATGTACCAAGCACAACAAGATCAATGAGTGGCTGGTGGTGGTCAAGGAGAAACTGGTGCAAGACAATGCTCACAAGAACTTGAAGAACTACAACTCCTGGGAAGAAGATCGTGGCCACATCCTGCAGGTGGTAAGTCCCTTTGCATTAGGTTGGTGCTGGAGTGTGGCATTAAGGTGTGCACACACCCAACAGGCAACACAGGCAGCATATGGTGAGAAGAGCACGTACACAGAATGCATTGTTGACCAGCTCAAGACGAACAAGCAACTGCGTCAAGCGGTTACTGAGGCGCGCACCGAGCTTGACAGGGCGGCAAAGCAACCTTCGCCAACTGCTGGCATACAAGGATTGGATGAGGATATCAGGTACATGATGGACGCAAGGCAGGGTTAATCATAAGCTTACTTAGTGCATGTGTGGTGCGGCGGTGCGGCGGTGCGGCGGTGCGGTGGTGGCGTGTGTGTGTGTGTGTGTGCGGGGTGCGGCGGTGCGGCGGTGGGCGGCGTGGTGGTGTGGCGGCGTGTGCATGTGTGTGCGGCGGTGCGTGTGCGTGTGTGCGGGGTGCGGCGGCGTGGTGGTGTGGCGGCGTTGCGGTGGTGGCGGCGGTGCGTGCGTGTGCGGGGGTGCGTGTGCGTGTATGCGGCGGTGCGGCGGTGCGGCGGCGTGATGGTGTGCCGGCGGTGTGGTGGTGCGGGTGGTACAGATCGTGCGTGGGAAGAGACAGTGAGGACGTTTGGGATCTCCAAGCAAGGCTCCCTGCACGCACTGCGCCAACAGCGCAAGGAGATGGACTCAGTTCTGCCTGTCCTTCCAACAAGTGGGCAAGGCTACCACCTACCACTAATCGACTACTTGAAGTGGCACTTCAGCCGCCATCCACCATCATCACCTGCGACTGAACCTATTCTCCTCAAAATGGCGTTTGATGGAGCGGTGGTGACGGGGTAGCGAACGCACCAGGAGCTTGGCGGCTTTCAGGTTCTTCATTCAGGCGAAGCTCTCGCCTCGATCAAATCCCCGCGCAATTGCCACGTGTGCACCATCTACATCGGCGGAGAGACCGAAGAGGAGCTGAGAACAGAGCTGCAGGCGACCATAGAGGCACACGCACACGCACCCCCGCACACGCACACGCACCCCCGCACACGCACCCCCGCACACGCCACGCACGCACCGCCGCACACCCACGCACACGCACCGCTGCACACGCACCCCTGCACATGCACCCATGCACACTCACGCACCGCCGCACATGCACCGCCGCACACACATGCACATGCAACCACGCACACCTGCACGCACACACCAATGTACATGCTGCCGCTCCTGCCACTGCATAGTAACATCCCTTCTTCTGCACAACATGCAGGCGGTCAACCACATTGCTGTCGAAATGAAGCTTGTGGTTGGAGAAAAGGAATGGTTGCTCAAGCCCATTCTTACCTGTGATCTGAAGGCGCTCATGAAGATGCTTGGACTCTACGACGTGTTTCATCCTCGCGCCATGTCCAAATGCCCGTTCTGTTCCTGTTCTTCAAGGTATGGTTGTTAGTTGAAGTTTTGTTTGCACACCATTTAACACTAAGCACGTGGTTTGCCTGCACAGCAACATACATGACTTTTCTATTGAAGCATGGCCATTCCATGAAGAAGATGGGTGTGGATGAGCGGGCCTAGGACTTCGAGGAACTGGCGCTGTAGCGTTGACCACTTGATCTGGATTGCTTCACCATTCACCAGCAGCACCTCGCCTCTCCACTGCAGTTGGGCTACTTCGCTTTGCTCCTGTTTGATGTTGCCCCCTCGTTCCTCTTCAAAAGGTTGCTCATCGTCCTCAATTCTCTCCCATTTGACGCGGACTGTTCATTCATCCATCCTCGCTCGACGACTAGTCGTCGACAACGCGAAAAATGGCAGAGAAACAGATTTACCTGACTTATTTCTCGGTGCACGTTCGGCAGGGCGACCGTAAATCCGGAAAAATATCCTTAAGTGTATGCAAAGTTTGTTGCTCCCTTTCCTGATAGGCGCTAATAAATGAATTGCAGTCCCCGTTACTAGGCACGAACACCTGTTCATCACGGGCTGCTGATTGGTTTACTTTATATGCTGCGGGGAAGGGTCCTGCGACGACATCTCCGACACTAGAGCCGCAACGTGGCCAATCTTTCGATGGAGTCGATGTGGCGAACGCAGGTTCTTCATCCATTTGCTCACTTGCTCCTCCTGCTCAGCCTCGTCGCTTTCGGTACGTGTTGATGCCGGAGTGCAGTACATGGCAATAGATGGAGTGAAGGGTTATAAAATTTATTTATGTATTATTTTTCTGCAGGGCTGTGCGCCAGCCCAAGCCCAAGCCCGAGTCCCAGCGCCTCACCCAGCCCGAGCCCCAGCGCGTCGGCCAGCCCGGGCTTCATGTTCTCCAACGTTAGCTCCACCGTCCGGCTCGCGCCCGTGCTGCGGTTCAATCTCTCCGCGCCGCAGGTTGACATTCTGCCCAAAGGTGAGTCGCCTTGATACTCTCTTCTCGTTCATTCTTTCTCCTCGGCGCTCGGTGTTCTCGGGGCTCACCGTGCCTGGGTCACGCTCACACGCCGCGCCTGGGTCAACTCCACACACACACACAGCCGACAATGGGACGGTGGTGCCGGTGCCGGTGCTGGGCTTCCGCCTCATCCGGGCCGCGCAGATCAACGCCAGCGGGGCCGTGACCCTTCCGGCCACGTTCGTCAATGGTACACACCTTGTCACCGCACGCACAGACCGCACACACTTACCGCACTCCCCCACACGCACACACACTTACCGCACACGCATACAAAGGGACGTGGAGCAGGGTGAACAGCAACGCGCTGAACGCGAGCCAGTCGTTCATCTACGCGTGCCGGCTGGCATTCCCCAACGGCACCGCGCTGCGGCCGGAGCCCGCCACGCTCCGGCTGCAGCTGTACATTTTCAACCGGTCCTTGAACATCACGCTCGACCGCCTGCTGGCCTACAACACGACGCCGGCCTACTCCAAGATGACCCTGAGCATCTCCCACTGGCCCTGGCTCGAGGCCGAGCAGCACGCGGCCGACCGCCTGCAGGTGCGGCTGCGCATCACGCCACCGTTCAACGGCACCCTACAGGCCGGCAACGAGAGCAACGGCCTGGTGCAGACCTTCACGCTCACGGGCCAGGCCCTGCCGCCCTTCATCGAGAAGCTGCTCAACGGCCGCCAGCTGGTGCGGCGCGTGCGGCTGGTGGACGCGGTGGAGCTCGACAGCCAGGTGGTGGTGACCAACACGAGTGCGCTGTCAATGCTCGGGGCCGAGCGAAGCAAGGTCGATTTCGCGCTGAACATCACCACATCCGAGCTCGTGCTCTCGTTCGGCCACTTCAACTCCACCCTCGTCTACGACCCCGGTACCCTTTTCACTCTTCGCTTTTCGTTCTTCGCGTTTGTTCTTCGCTCTTCGTTCTCTGTCTGACTCATCTCGACCACGCCACAGATTTCGGGGTATTGCTCGAGGGCAAGGAGAACGGCGGAGGAGATGGGAACGGGGTTGGGAGCGACGACAACACGGCCCTGATCGTGTCGGTCTCCGTATTGGTGCCCGTCGCGGTGCTGGTCGTGGTGGCCGTCGTGGTCGGCGCGCTCGTGCTCACGCGGCAGGCACGAGCCCGATTCACCGCCGCCGCCGTCCAGTCCACCGCCAACATCAACTTTTCGTCAGAGGACCTCTGACCAGCAGCAAATATTACTCCTGTCAAGAAGAGATCTTGTAGTTGGTTCTTGACTAATTTGCTGCACGGGGCACCTCATGGACCGAGAATGGATAAGAACAACCCAAAGACAGACGGAGTGCGCCAAGCCGACAGCACACTCCTCGGGATGCTTGCACGCCAGGGCTTTCTTCTTGTCCTGCTACTCGTTGGCTTGGGTACCTCATTTCCGGCACCAGCCCTGAAACAGATAAGATAGGACATAAATGGACCTGGCACGGAGTAACCAGCGTGACCCTCGACCGCCCCCTGTCGTTCAACGTCACCACCGTCTTCTCCAAGCTGACCATGAGCATCAGCAACTGGCCCTGGCTCGCCGCCGAGCACCACGGCCACGACCGGCTTCAGCTGCGCGTTTCGCACCAGGGGCAGTCCCAGCCGTCATTCCTCGCGCCACTAAAAGGCCTCGATGCGGTAGAACTCGTGTCGATGCGCTCGTGCTCACCCACTACGCACGAGCACGCTTACGCTTTCGCCGCGCTCAAGTCTGCCGCCAACGTCAACTTTTCTTCTGAGGATTTGTAGCTTGAGGTTGACACGCACGGCAGCGACCAGAGGCCCTGGTCGCTGCCCAGAAAGCGAAGACCTCCACAGCCGAGCTTGGGCAAGAAGAGTTTCTTGAATAGTTTCTTCTTTGCTTTTCTTTAGCGTCTTCTGCTTCTTGTTGGGCGACGATGGAAGCTGTGGTTGAGGAGTGGAGAGACGGGGAGCTGGTTGGCCGCTATGGTGAGGATGCAACCAAGCCTAATTCAGATGCCTGGGTCATGAAGGGAGTGCGTGGAGGAGGCGCAACAGCAAGAAGGAGGGGGTGGTGGCAAGATGTGCTGCTACCCGAGGGCTATCCCGAGAGCGTGTCGGGGGACTATGCCACCTACCAGACGTGGGACACGGTCCAGGCGCTGTGCAGTTCCATCACGGGCCTCCTCTGCACCCGCGCTCTTCTTCAAGGTCCCCCCCTCTATTTACTTGTACGCGCCACAGCGGCTAAGCTGACAGACCCATTGGAGTGCAGGGGTGGGGGTGGGCGACGTGGGCGCCACGCCAGGGGCAGCGGCGGTGCAGTGGGCGCTGAGGGACGGCGCGGGCATGGTCGGCCGCATCGGCTTCGCATGGCTTCAGGCACGTACTACTCCCTCCTCTCCACCCCGTGACGAGTTGCGGTACTTCGTACACTCTCTAACCGAACGGGCGCACAGTAGGGAAGTGAGCTTGACAACAACGCCAAGACGTGGCGACTCATGGCTGACATCTTGAATGGTAGAGGCCCACAGTATGATTTGACTGTTGGGTTTTTACTCCTCTTACATGATGATGACATACATCGTGGCGATGGGACAGATATCGGGATGACGCTAGAGCTGCTTTCACCCCTCTTTCCGGCTTACTTCTTTGCGCTGGCATGCGCCGGGTATGCAACAACTCCACTTCGACCGACGTAGGTCCACATGCTCTTGACTGGAGTCTGATCGAGAGCCAACACTCGCAGGAGCTTCTGTAAGGCAATCGTGGGAGTGGCAGGCGGAGCTACACGAGCCGCCATCACCATGCACCAGGCACGCGCAGACAACATGGCCGGTACTGGCTCTCGACCTTGAAGCGCCTACACTCACGGATGTCTGACTCTCTTGTTGTGTTGTCTGCAGACGTGGCCGCCAAGGACGGAAGCCAAGAGACGGCGGTGACTTTGGTGGGCCTGATACTTGGGCTCATCATTGCACCGCTGGTGGACGAAAACTACTTCCTCATCTGGCTCTTGTTCGCGGTATTCACCACGGCTCACCTGTTCGCCAACTATCGGGCCGTGCGCGGACTCGTCATGGACACGCTCAACCGCCAGCGGCTCGCCATCGTGGTGACCCACTACCTCGGTTCCGCGAGCCGCGAGGTGCTATCGCCCGTCCAGGCCAGCGCTCGGGAGTGGCCCCTCTGGTTTGCATTCATGGACCGAGGCCACCCGATAAGGCTCGGCACCTCGCTTGCGGCCCTGCACCCTCGGCTTCGCCTACCCTCCGACATCGCTCTTTCGGGCCTTACCGTCCGCTGCGCCTATCTCACCTGCGTCTGCACTTCCGGTGGCGCGGCGCTTCTCCTCACGCCGCCTGCTGAACGCTCTACCGACAACCAGCAACAACTCTACGGCGACGAGGAATGCAGCCTTGCGGGCCGGCCGTCGATCGAAGTGCTGCTGCGGCAGGATGCCGACCACGGCGTGATGATTGAGGCCTTTGCTTCGGCGCTGGTCGCACGCCGCACTCTGGGAGAGCTGCAGGACCAGGCGTGCCAGCCTGGAGCACAGCCGCTGACCCTCCGCCGCCTGGCCGCGGCCCTACAGAGCGAGCAATCGCGCCTCTTGCCGCCACTCGTCGCCGCCCTCTCCACAACGGGGTGGCATACCACCCGCTCGCTTTTCGGACCCGGTCCCTATCGCTACCGCTCAGCATCGTCAGCGTCATCGTCCTCATGATTCCCACACGATAATTTTTGTTTTGCCTCCGTCAGGACTCGAACAGCAAACCGCGCGACAGACAAGGCCGATGCTGGGGGATCACTTTCCGACTTTCTTCCGAGGCATGCGAGGAATTTGGGTCGACATTTGCCCGATTTTCTCCGCGAGCACTCTTACGGTTGTTCGCGTAGAGCTTGCGCTGCGTGTTCTCGCTGGTGTGTTTTGCTCCTGTTGCACGGTTCGACACGGCTCGTCTTCCTCTTCCTCTTCCTCAAATTCATACAGTTCCATAACAAGTACGTTACAAGCACCGCCCTACAGCGCTCTCGAAAGAGCGTGCATCAACAACAACGGTCTCCTTCGATTCATTCAAATTCAAATTTGCTCGCGAATTAATCTCTCGAATTGTGCAGAGATGCAAACGCAAAGAGTCGCGTCGCGCATGGGCAAGCTGGGTACCGAGACGGCCTTTGCTGTTTCGCTCGAGGCCGCCAAGGTTGCCGAGACTGGCAAGAAGGTGTACCCGTTCCACATTGGCGACCTCGATTTCGCCTCCCCCGATTTCGTGGTGCAGTCGATGAACAAGGCGATTGCCGACGGCAAGACGGGCTACTGCGCTGGTGCCGGCATATTGCCCCTCCGCAAGCGCCTGGCCGAGGTGCTGGGTGAGCAGCGAGGCGTCACCTACGGGCCTGAGCACATCTCGGTCCAGAGCGGCGGCAAGCCGGTCATCACCAAGTTCTTCTCCTCGGTCATGGAAGTCGGCGACGAGGTGCTCTACCCGAGCCCTGGCTACCCCATCTACGAGTCCCAGATTCAGTACCTCGGTGGCGTCCTCAAGCCCTACACCTACATCGAGAAGGAGGACGGCTTCGCCCTCGATTTGGACGGCCTGCGAAGTCAGATTACGTCCAAGACCAAGGTTCTCGTGTACAACAACTACCAGAACCCCATGGGTACAGCCTCCCGACGCGACGTTCCTCATTTTGAACGTCAAGATTTCCACGTTTATAAACTCGCTTTTCATTTTTCAGGAATTGCCAGCTCTGATGAAGAGATGGCTGAGATTGCCAAGATCGCCATCGAGCACGACCTGTTGGTTCTCTCGGACGAGGCCTACTTCAACATCCTCTACGACGGCGTCAAGGGAAAGAGCATCGTCTCGCTTCCTGGCATGTACGACCGCACGGTCATCCTCTACACTTACTCCAAGTCGTGGGCCATGACCGGCTGGCGTCTGGGCGCTGCCGTTGGTCCTCAGTGGATCATCAACCTCATCAACAAGCTCAACACCAACGACGAGTCGTGCACCACCCACTTCATCCAGTGGGCCGGCATCGAGTGCCTGACCAAGGAGGGCGAGAAGTACACCGCCGAGGTCGTCAGCAAGCTGCAGGAGAGGCGGGACGTGCTGGTCGAGGCCATGCGGAAGGTGCCCGGCTTCAAGTGCCACTCGCCTCCTGCTGCGTTCTACCTCTTCGTCAACGTGACCGAGGCCATGGAGAAGCTGGGCCTCACCAACTACGAAGAATTCAGAAGGTATCGGCTCGTCTTCTCGATGGCCTATCTGAAACCATCGCTCCATGTTGCACGTTTCATCATTGACCTGATAACCCAATTGACGATGACCATGATGGTGATAATGACGCAGGAACATTCTGGACGCTACTGGCGTGGCGTTCTGCACGAGGGAGCACTTTGGTGCTTCGCTGCCGGGCGAGACGCAGAAATACGTCAGGTGAGCATCCCCCGCATCATCATCGTCTTTTCTTCAACAGCGTCATCTTCTTCCTCTGGTTCTATTGAAGGAGGATGGCCGAGCTGACCCTGCTTCGTTGTGATCGTGCTCTTCAACAGGTTTGCCTACTCGGGCATTGGGCTCAAGGATATCCAGGAGGCCTGCGAGCAGCTGAAGAACTTCATGGAGAAGGTGTACAAGAGCGAGACCTCCACTGCCTAAGCCTGCTCCCTTTCCGCGTCACTACCCTTCCTCTCTCTCTTCTCTTCTCTCTCGAGAGCTTTCAACTCAACAAGCTTCCTCGATTTTGTTGCTTAGCGTCCTATCTCTTCCTCTCTACCTCTATTGTTCCCTCGATGCAGCTGTGAAGCACAAGGCCGAAGGCCTCTTCCAGTCTTCAACGATCATAATACATTTTCTTCTATCAAGACGGTGTCATGTACAAGTAGCGGAACGAGAGGGTTGTTGTCGGTGTGTACGTCCTCTAGACCTCCACCTCGTCAGAGCTGGTGAAGGCAGGCAGAAGCGGGTAGGGGTAGAAGAGCTCGGCGCCGATGATGCGCCACCAGACCCACAGGAGGGGGATGGGGACGAAGCCTCGGCCCAGGGAGGCCACCCACCACCCCATCGAGTCGGTCGGGTGGGTGCCCAGCAGGGCCGAGAGCACGACGCAAGCGGAGGCGACGAGGACGAGTGCGAGGGCGATCCACTGGAAGGCTTCTCTCCTCTTCTGCGCCACCAGAGCCGTCGTGTAGAGCGTGTGTAGCATCTCGACATCAGCTGTCAGCCCCTCCTTCCGCCTGTTGTCGGCACTTCCTGCGTACTCCAGGGCCATCGTGCCTTCGATCAGAGGACTATCGCAACTTTGCAGCAAAGCCATTCGTGTCTTACGTGATGAAGTGGTGCGGCTACTTGAGAGCACAGCAGTGCGGCTGTGTCGACACTGAAACAAAAAGAAAACAGGAGAAAATATTTGGCGCGAACGCAATCGCGCGTGGGAGAGATCGTCGCACATAATCGTGATGCAGACCGATCAATGGAGCACGGCACACTTCACAGGGACCAAGATCAATAAGGTGCGATGGTTGCCGCGCTATGACCAGATCGGTCGTGCTTCATTCTTCGCCACCGGAACCTGGGAGGAAGAGGTACTCCTCGGCCTTCCCCCCTTAATCTAAATCCTTCTCGTGCCTGATTTCACTCTTGGTGCTGCTCGATGATCTTGCTGGGTAATAGGTGAACAAAGTCACACTGTGGCAGCTCAACTTGCCCGAAGGAGACGACAAGGGTGCAGACGCTCCGTTTGAGTGCTACGAGTCCACCCACCATGGAGGTGTCACAGATCTCAAGGTGTTGATCCCTTCGCTTTACCTCGTAGTAGCAGCACTCGCTCGTGCTGCTCTGCTCCGAGCTTGAGCCTGGCACTCACTTTGCGCGCTCACTTGTCTGTCAGGCGGTCGAAGCGAACAACCAGGTCTATGTCCTCACTACGTCGACCAAGGGATCCTACTCGCTCTATCAAGTGCCGCAGGACCTCTTTACTGGTGGTATGCATACCCAGCCCTCTCCCTCATCTCTCCTCCGCCTGCTCTTCTTCTTTCTCACCATCGCTTCCTCTCGCAACGTTCACGTCCGTCGTCGCCGGCAGATGTGGACGAAGGCCAAGTAGCGGTTCGTATTGCGCCATGGCTTCTTCTACTTCTGTATGCAGCGTTCTTAGTCTCTCTCCACCACAGTCCCTCCCGCGGGAGTTGCTCGCCTCCAACCTTCACACGTCGGCCGCCACTGCCATTGATTACTCGCCCGAGTTGCAAGAGGTGGTGACGGTGGGCGAGGACGGAACGATCAACAACCTCCAGCTGACCGCGACCAAGCCTCACGTCTCATTTGGTAGCAATCATCGCACAAGGAAGAAAGAGATCTTGGCCGAGGTATTGGTTAGCCTTCTAGCTGACACTTGTTCTGTGCCCCCCCGCGCTGCAGTGCGAGCCGAAAGCTGTGCCTTCACTTCGGTGCAGTACATGACACAGACGACCATTCTCACGACGGCAAGCAACAACACGCTCAAGATATGGGTTCGTTAAGCTCGGCTTTGCAGAATCAGCCCAATCGCGTGCTCAAGCTCGTGTGTCTTTCTCTTCGCAGGATCTTCGCGCCAAGAGCGTCTTCAAACAGTTGAAAGAGTAAGCCCTGGCAACTTCAAGCCCTTACGTGGAGTTCTTTGCAGCGTTCACTTATGTTACGTTTCTCCTCTGAACAGCACGGCCAAGGAAGGGATCATCACCAGCGCCACACGCCATCCGTTCCAAATCCACCGTTTGACCACGGCGTACAGCAACGGCTCGATCGCGATGTGGTACGCTTCAAGCACGCCTCGGAATGCTCTGTTGTATCAGCGCCATTGTCTCAATAAGCTAAGCCGTGTATCTTGTATCTCTCTCTCTCTCTCTCACTCAAATGCAGGGACCTGCGCCAGAACGCTCCGTTCATGCATCTGGACAAGCACACCAGCCACGGTAGCCGCACCGCGCCTTTCACCCATTTGCCCCTGCTCCAATCTTCCACCACAGCTAACAACTCTCTCTTTCTCTTTCTCTTTCCTTTTGTTCTAGTGTGGGAGGTCCAACACCATGCCACAGCACCCGACAACCTGTTCACCTGCTCCGAAGACGGCTTCCTTTTCCACTGGGGTACGACTCTATCTCTTGGCCTGAACCTCGCGATCCGCCCTCACTGGCGTATGTGTCGTGTGTGTGTGTGTGTGTGTGTTGTATGTGTGTGTGTGTCGTGTCTATGTAGATGTGAAGGCCATTCAGCAGGTCAGCGGACGAGGAGCGAGCCAGTTGGTGGCCAACGATGAGGTGATCGAGGAAGTGGGCAACAGCAGGCGCGTGGTGGTCACCGACAAGCTGGGCATCAACTCCTTCCACGTCAATCCGGAGACCAACGTGCTCGTGAGCGCCGGCGACACCCACTCCCTCCAGTTCCGATCGTCTGTCGTACTTCAGTACTAGATCTATTTGGCGTGAAGAAGACGATGATGGTGAAGAAGAAGCCCAAGCTCCACCGAAGAACAAAGTCGACGAGGCCGCCGTCGGCAAAAAATAAAACGCAAGGCAACGCCTAGAAACCCTTCATCCAAGATCTGCAGATGGCCACCAAGCAGGCGGCTCTGTTCGCCTTCGTCGGTTGCCTTGTCCTTGGCCTCTTTGCGCTAGGTACTGTCGGCCGTTCTTATCATATACAATTTGTCACAAAAGCATTCTTGCGAGATGCATCAAGATTCAAATCCGAATGAACCATTGATTATCGACAATGCTGTGTCCGCACCCGTTTCTCACGATGTGTGAACCAATTCTAGGCGAGGCCTCGGCAGCCAGCTTCTGCAACGGCCAAAATCCACATTACCTGGCCACCGCTGACGTGCCGGAAGGGTTCTGCGCCGTCACTTGGGCTTCCGGGCTCAGGCGCCCCCGGGCCATTCGGTACGCGCTTGGCACTGACCAGGTGTGTCCATGTCTTCTGCCTCATTCATTCTCGTTCTCCTTCTTCTTCTGTTTCGTGTCGTTTGCTCTACCGGCTCGTCGACTTCATAGGTTCGCGTCCAACGGTGACGCGATCGTGATCGAATCCGACGAGAGCAGGATTCAGGTACTTTGGGACGGCAACAAGGACGGTTTCTCTTCATGTACGTGCAACCTCCCCTTGCTTTGCCTGCCTGCCCAGGGGTGTAAGCTGGCTTTCTTCTTCTTGAAGCGCTCTCATTGAACCCCCACTGCTCCGCTACAGTGTCAGAGCGCGCGCCGTTGGTCACTCATCAGGGCCTCAATCACGGTCTGGTCATTGACGAGAAGAACGGCTACATCTATGCTTCCACGTGCGCCGCCAACCGACCGACCGCACCAGCAGCGACGTTCCTAACGGGTGTGTGTGTGTTGTGTGGCACCAACAGGTCGCGAGAGGTGTGGAGGTGGCACTACTCGCCCGGCCAGCGCTCGAACCTGGGCACCGCCGCGAAGGTGATCTACGGCATTCCCTGCTGCGGGCACCTCACCCGCACCCTCGAAATGGACGACGAAGGCAACCTTTACGTGAGGTAGACCTCCCGCAAGCGCTTTGTTGTTTGTTGTTTGTTGTTTGCTGATCCTGGTGCCGTAGCGTGGGGAGTCTGAAGAACGTGGACATGGACGACAAGAGCGCGATGATCCGCCGCTTCATCAATCCTGCCGCGTATACGACCTCGCACCAATGGGACGACGGCGAGATATGGGCTCGAGGTGCGCGACGCTGAGCTTCAGTACAACGGTGTACGGAATGAGACCGTGTACTGAGCTCAGCGGATTGGCGTTGGTTCCCTCTGTTCACACAGGCATGCGCAATGAGGTTGGCATCCGCTTCGATTACAGCAACCCGCGCAGGCTCTGGGGAGTCGAGAACGGAGTGGACAACGTTCAGCGTGTGTACGTAGTGGCTTTGGTGTTGCTCTCATGATCCTGGCCACCCAGGCACGCAGCCCTTAATGACGCTCTATTGCCCCCCCCCCAAACAACAAACACAGTGACATGGGCGACGTCCATAACGACAACCCCTCCGAGGAGGTCAACATATTCGACAAGCCGGGCGCCTTCTACGGCTATCCGTACTGCTGGTGGGTCACACAACTTCCCATGCGCGCGCGCAGTCGTGTGGGCTTGAGAGTCTCATGGCTAACCCGCATTTCATGTTTTCCCAGGTCTGAGTACAACCTGAAAGGGTCGAGGCTTGGCCCGAATGTCCGTCCGGGCCATACCCGGGGCACTCAGTGGCTCCATCCTACGTTCATTCGGGACACTCGCTTCAGGTGGGTACCCGAACCGAAAACCAAAGCCGCGCCCTGTGTCGCTACTAAACTTGGCCTCTACTCTCACACACGCCTTTCACCAGTGACGCTTGGTGCGACAATCCTGCGAACGTCGTGAAACCGGCCTACAACCTGCAGGTGCTTTCCGTCATCATCATCACGTCGCTGATGTTTAAGTGTTTTTATTTCACCCAATGCCAACTCGCACCATCTGTGATGTTGTTTAATATGTACGCCTATTTCTATTTGTCCAGGCTCACACGGCACCAATGGACATCGTGTTCTACAATGGAACCGGCTTCCCAGCTTCTTGGAGAGGCGACGCCTTCATCTCTCTGCATGGCTCCTGGAATCGGTACCGACTGCGATCTACTTTTTCAGCTTTGGCGTTTCAAGTCATGGGCAAGAAGGCACCTCGCCTGACGTCGTGTTGGTTATACTTGCAGGCCGAGCCCCGTCGGTTACAATGTCGTGCGGCTGGTGATGAACAAGACGACTGGCCTGCCCGAGGAGGAACTGCCGTTCTTCTCGCCCAAGGAGGGTGGATCCAGCAAGAACAAGCGACACGACGGCCACGAGAGCGACGAGGGTACGTGAATGGACGCAACACTTCGCGCCCGCACGCAGTCGAGCTACACATGCATTGCTCTCACACCCGCCCACCACCCACCACCAGGCGAGGATCCTTATCCTCCGGTGCCGGGCTCGTGGGACATCCGACCGGTCTCGCTCGACTTTGGCCCGTGCGGCGCCTCGTACGTATAACCTTTGTATCTTCGATTTCTCGGGGAGGTGAGGTCCTCACCTCGATCTCTTCTCTTCATTGTTCTAATGAATGAATGAATGAATGAATGCAGGAACGAGTGCCTCTTCCTCACGAGCGACAAAAACGGGCTGATCGTTGCGGTGGCCTACAACGGTGTAGCTGGTGGTACGTGCAGACCCTCGTTCTCTCCCTTTCTTCTCCACCACACCGGTAATAGTGAGCCTCGCTCATGCATGCTCTTTTTCTCCCACACAGAAGCCAAGCGCTGAGCGGAGCCAGAGCGGTAGGGTTGTATTTGTTATTTTATTTATATTGATTACAATTGTTTATTTGCGCAAAAGTTGTTTGAACTTATTTAGGTCCATCAATTTGTTGTCGACTTTGGTTTTACTCTGGCGGTTTAGCACTGAAAACCACGGGAAAGCGTGGGCTTGGCTGACGCCTCACACGACAGGTGCTGCTGCTGATGTAGGGCGACTGGTGGTGTCTGTCTCGCTACTCTTCTCACACATCCTCTTCTCTCGTCTCACGCCTATTGTCGTACCACGCTTGCAACTTCTCCTCTTGTTAAGAACCCCTTCGCAACTATCTGCACGCGAACGACATCGCCACCTCCTTCCTCTACTTCCTCCTTCCAACCCAAAACGCGTACCAAGATGGTGGCCTCTACAACGCGGGTGTGGAAGCTCGACGAGACGAATCTGTTCAAGGCGGTGCTCTTCCTCTTTCTCCTTCAGTACGCCTTCGGGCTCGGGGTGTTCCTACTTGTTAAGCTGGGAGTCCCTCCCGCGCTCAACGAAGATGAACATCACCAGCCCGCCGGAAGCAGCGTCGATCACTACTACGACGGCTTTTTCCTGGGGCTCAACGGAGCTGTCTTCGGCATCCTGCTTCTGGTGCTGCGCCTGCAGGAGAAGCAGTACGAGCTCGACGAGGCCGAGGAGGTGCTACGCGTAATAAACTTCCTCCCCATCCGCTGGTTCGCCGTCTCCGCTACCTACCCGCTCGCCCAGCTCTCCGACGTCTCGCAGGTTCCTCTCAAGCCCTCCTTACACCTCAACCCTTTCACCAAGATGGAGGCTCGTAGCTGCACATCAATTTACATCTGTTACATTCCATCATGGCAGTTCATTCACAGGGGAGAGGCCTGTGTGCGGATCGACTTCGCCGGGTCGCGTGGCGATGAGACTCTGCTGTTCGTTCCCGACGGCCAGGAGGACCTCGTCCGCGCCCTCAGCGCCTACTTGCCCCAAGGTACCCACCCCAACTCCGAGTCCTGAACGGGTGGCGCGTTACTCATTCACGCCTCAACGCTCTGCAGACCACCCGAACCGAGGGCCGGACGGTGTGGCGTGGGTCATGAGCGATGAAGAATTCGAACCTGCCTGCCCCAAGCCTTGGCCTTGCTCGCTGGTCATGAGGTACCTCATACCACCTACGCCAACGAGATCTCGCACGGTAATGACTGTGGGTCGGTGGTCTCGCTATGCAGCAAGCAGACACCGATCCTGTCGTCTCGGGCTACGGAGGCCACTTGGAGCCAGCTGAAGACCTTCATGGGCGCTCTCCTCGTCTGGTCACTGCTTCAGGCGCTCCTCTGCCTGGTCGTCCGTACGACTCCTCTCACGCATTTCGCGCCAAATGTAGGTTCGTCGCTCACCGTTCACGGTTGGCAGGGCATCTTGACATGGACGAACCCTCGCGCACTGGCCTCTGGCTGGGCCACTTCGCCGCCTCGACCTTCTTTTGCGCCTTGGCCGGCTTCTTCTGGAACATGGGAAACGTCTCTCAGGTACCGCTGTCGTTCTCTGGGTCTCCGCACTGCGCTTCTTCGCGAACAAGAAGCTTACACTACGATCACGACATTGTGTTTCTGTGCAGTACCGCATCCACGAGTCGAAGCTGGAGCTGGCCTCTTCGCTCCCGTTCGTGTGCACCGAAGACCACGACTTCAAGTACGTCGAGTCGGTGACCCTCGTCAACGGCAGCGAGGTGCGGCGGCTGGTGGCCGAGGGCGACGTTGAGGGGGAGGGAGAACGCCGGGTCTTCGTGCTGGGCGACCTGCCCTCGGCCGACGCGGCCGCCCGGGAGGACTACATCTACATCAGGAGGAAGACGGGCCTGCTTGACCTGGCCATCATGCCCGAGAACGCCGCCCGATTCGCCGACGTTCTCGCCCACCACGTCTCGCGCCACCATCAGATGATGGTGTAGAGACTGGCCTCTCTTCTTTCCAAAAAGTGTACATAGTATGTAAACAGACCAACAAACAAATGGAAATTACATCACCTTCTTCAAGGTGAGTGTTTTGTTCACTGAGCTGGCTGTTGTTGTTGTTGGGGTGATGCGTGCTTGCAGATGACGCAGAAGGAGTCGGACTTGCCGTCGGCGCCGTCCTGCTGCGAGTTGGAGGCGTGAAAGGTGTTGAGGGTGAAGTTGTTGTAGTTGGCCACCGCCTCGCCTGCCAGATCCTGTGCCCACGCGTTCACCTGTGGAAGCCGCCACCATCAACAACTGCAAAGAACAAAGAACGAAGAACGAAAAAAAGAACGAAGAAGCGGGAAGAATGAAGGAGTACCATGAGGAGGGCGGCGCTGACGCAGACGCAGACCCAGCTGCCGACGTAGCGGGTGGGGAAGTTCTTGTCCTTGGGGATGAACCCGATGCTTTCGTGGTTCATGATGTGCTCCTGCGAGAGGAGTGACAGGATGTGCGGCTGCACAAACTTGATCAAGAACGTCCTAATGTCTGCCACACCACATCGCACACGCACCACCGCACACGCACGCGACACGACGCACGGTTAGCACAGCGCGTGCGGCACTTGCACGCTTGGACGAGTGGTACCTTTGATGGGGATGACGTTCTCCTCGGCGGCGCGTCCGTCGTCTCTGCCCGCCCAGAAGTCGACGAGGCCGGTCGCCACGGCGTCCTTGACGTGCAGACCCTCCATGTGGGCCTGGTTTTTGAGGAAGCTGAACAGCTCCGCAACCCCGAACGTGCTGTGGCCCTTCTTGCTCATCCACTCCTCCAGCTCTGCCACATCGTGCGTGTACGTGTGCGGTGGTGCGTGTGCGTGTGCGGTGGTGCGTGTGCGTGTGCGTGCGTTCCGATTAGTTGGTGGTCATACGGCTCGCCCTCTTCGTTGAAGAGGCTGGGCAGGTACCCTGCTGTGTCCACTCGAAGCTCTCGCTGGTGGTGTTGAGGCACGACCAGCAGGCCATCCCTGGTCGCCCGGTGTAGAAGTTGACGAGGGCAGTATTGGCGTAGGAGGAGCCCGTGACCAGCGGCACCCCCAGCACCTTGGCCAGGGAGTTGGTCGCGTAGTCGTATATCGCACCTGCCGCCCGTGTGGCCGGTTCAGTCGCAGTCTGACAATCCACCGCCGGCCGCACACGCACAACCGCACACGCACCACCGCACGCAGCACTAAACGAGCGCACACGCACACGCACGCGCACACGCACGTGCGGAGACGTACCGTGATCGATGCAGTTGAAGATGACGTCGGCCCGGCGGGCCGCTTCGACCACCTTATGCCACTCCTTCACGGCGTCGATGTGCAGCGTCTCGAACTCGCTTCGCAGATTGTGCACCGACTCAAGCCCAAGCTTGGCCGCCTGCGTGCAATCCCGTCGTGTGTGCCGTGCGTGTCGTGCGTGTGCGTGTGTGTCGTGTGTCGTGTGTGTCGTGTGTCGTGTGTGTCGCGTGTCGTGTGTGTCGTGTTGCGTGAGTGCCGCACGCGCACAACTCTGTTGAGGAAGAGGTGAAGGGGAGGTACGTCAACTTTGCGCATGCCCACGACGTCCTTGGTGAAGAGGATCTGGCGGTTGAGGTTGGTGGCCTCGACGTCGTCCATGTCCACCAGGATCAGCTTCCGCACGCCCAGCCGGCACAGGCCCATCGCCACGCCGTTGCCCAGCCCGCCGCAGCCCAGCACCAGCGCCGTCGCCTCTTCCACCTATAATTATTAGGAATAATAAATAAATTAAATAAATAAAAGGAACATGAAATTATCTATTACAGCGAATAATTAATAATAAATATAAAACTTTCACGGGGTGGCGGCTACCTTTTTCTGCTGCCACGAGACCATCACGCGCTGGCGATCGAAGACGTCGCCGGGCACCTCGGGCGGCGGCACCTCGAAGAGCGACCGACGCACCGGGCCATCCCCCGAGGGCACGTCCGTGCGCGGCTCCTGCCTCTCCTCCTGCTTCTCCTCCATGTCACGTGCCTGAGTCGAGAAAAAGGGGAAAAAGCAGAAAACTGGATATTTCACTTCAAAAAACTTGTTTTTAATTTACTAATTTTTTAGCATTTTATTTTAACCAGCAAATGGAAGAAGAAGCAGGTGCGCTGGATCGACCGGCGAGCCTGGCGGAGGTGGAGAAGCTTCCCTGGTTGCTGGCCCGGTGGCGCGCCCTCCAGTCCGGCGCCACAGCCGCAGCTGCCAACCCAACGCTGTCCCAGTTCCTCCCCGGTAGTAGTACCTCGACTTCACCGAAAACGAAGACGAGCAGCGAGCAGGACCGGGAGTGGGCGATGCAGGTGTTGGAGCTGCTCGAGTGGTTCTTCATCGCCGACGGTCCGCACGTGTGCCTCGCATTCCTCGACCATCAGACCCCGGTCAGGCCCGCCGCTGGCGACTGTGGTGCGGGCCAGGGCGACGCAGATGCCGAGAAGGCGGCCATCTTCGGGGCGCTGGAGGAGGTGCTGATGTCGGCCCTGTCGTCGGTGAGCCGGGAGGTCATCGGCGCTGGGAGCGTGCTGCACCACGCGAGCGTGGGGCCGCTGCTGTGGGACCGGGTGCGGCAGGTCTGTCGCGTCGACGACGAGCTGGTCGCCAGCAGACTGTTTCGGTGCATGGCCTTCGTCTTCGGTACTACACCACTCATCATCCTCCTCTGGTGCTGATGAAGTGCTATTTTAACAGAAAGGAATGACATGTCAGGCGAGCGGCCGCCTTGGGTGAGTGCGACGCAGAACTTTGAGCTGGCGCAAGTGGCGCTGGTGCAAATGCGGGAGCACAGCAACCCGAACCTGATTGTCGGTAATGCTCTCAATGCTCAGGTGACAACGCGACGCTTTGATATAAAGCGTTGTATGTTGCGTGTGTGTCGTGTGTGTCGGTACATCAGCTTTCATAGACGAACTGCCGCTGGACAAATTGCTGATAGCTACGGACCAGGTGCGCACATTGGATGTCGACTGGACCCTAGTTGTCTGCACTATGTTCATTTTCTCCATCTTCTACCTTCGCCGATGCAGCTGGAGAACGTGGAGCAGCTGGTGAAGCTGATCGACCGCGACTCCCGGTCAGTGGTCAAAGAAGCGCTGTTCAGGTGTCTCACGAGGCTGGAGTTGCGGAACAGGCGCTACGTGGACGTTTTCCTCGAGGTAGTGCACCCACCGCCAATCACGAGGGAGAGGAAATGTGATATGCATGCTGGTCGACTGATTCAATACCTGCACGCGCACGCACACGCACACGCTCCACCGCACACACGCGCACGCGCACACGCACACGGTACACATGCGGCCGAAGAGAAAAATGGCGTGGGCCGCAGATACTGGCGTTTCCAGCTCCCTGCGCTGTTCGGCGCTGTCTGGCCTGCCTGGCCGCCACCACAGCCAAGAGAAAACTAAGTGCATTGTTGAAGTCGCGCTCTCCGCAGCTGCAGAGGTGAGCTCCAACTTGCTTTTTTCGTTCTTCTTTCGTTTTCTTATCGCTTTCGTTCTTTAGTGAGCTCACGACGGATGTTCGTCTTCCTAGGAGGAGAATGAAGAGCCGGATGTCGCCATCAGCGCCCTGCAGTTGCTCGCCAAAGCTTTTCAGCTGACCGAAGCCTACATGCCAACCCCAGATCTTGACAGGTAGCGCGTGCCCTCTCACTCCTTCTCGTCGTGTTCGTGTCTCATCGTGCGTGTACGTGTGCGTGCGTGCGTGTGCGTGCGTGCAGGTATGTCACGATGTTTGTTAGGAATGCGGTACGACGGGAGCCCAATGTGCCCGGCCTCTTGGACCTGGCCGCCGAGTGCGCAGCAAGACGCTGCCACGGGGCTCCCTACTCCTTGGAACGGCTTCCTGTCGAGTTGCAAGTGCTCGTCACCGCCAAGCGGAAGGCCATGCAATCCAAAGGTGCGCGCCCCCTGCACGTTCGCCTCCTTTCTCAATCTCATTAAGACTGGCAAATTGTGTGTGTGTGTGTGTGTGTGTGCAACCTGACACATGCGACCTTGCGCTCAACGTTTGAAGACAAGGTGAAGCTGCAGAAGGCGCTTAAGGTGTGCATGCTCGCCGTCGGAGGTGTACTACACAGCAGGCTGCTCAACGGCATCTTGCCCGAGTGCATTGCGATGTTACAGCCGGGCAACCGGTGGCAGGAACGGTACTGACTCGACACAATAACTGGGGGAGGGGCGCAGAGTTCTCACTCAGCAGCACCCCCACGCGCATGCGCACACGCCCCCGATCTGGGCGACAACACAGGGAAGGCGGACTTCTGGTGCTGGGCTGCGCATTGCAGAGCTGCTATTATTATGATCATCCGGGTGTCGGCGATCAGCTGCTTCCGCTGATCCTTACGGCGCTTTCAGACCCTCAGGTGAGCGAGGACCTAATCTCGCCTGACCTGACCTGATCTCTGCGGGTCGATGCTTGCCTGCAGCTCACGTGGCCGCTGATTGACCATGCATGCAGGCCAAGGTGCGGAAGATGTGCGCCTGGGCTGCGTCCCGACTCCTGCGCTGCCTCGATGTCGAGCAGCAGAGCGCACTGGCCGTGCACCTGGTGCGCGGGTTGGACGATTTCCCAGTGCGACACACCGCGTGGAAGGCCCTCACCCACTCCGGGCAGGAGCCTGTCGCTCAAGTCATTCTCCGCGAGTGCGTGGCGCACTACGTTCCGCTCGAGGTGCGTCTGTCACCAGCTCTTCTCGTCAAACAATCTCATCTCATGTTCACTGTGTGCGACAGAGACAGGAAGAAGGAGTAGATGGAGGAGGAGGTGACGATGAGTCGGTGCAGATCAACCCTTACGTGCTGCGCACGATGGCCCACTGGCTGCGGGTACTCGGGGAGCACCGGGTCAGGGCCACCAGCGAAGTGCGGAGGTGCGCCCAAGTGCTCTTCAAGAGGCTCCCGCAGACACTGGCCAAAGATCGAAAGCCGGCGTACGGCGGGCTTATGCTGCGGGCGATCAGCGCCGTGTGTCAGTGTACGCCGATGACCCTCCCACATTCACCACAGCTTTTGGTTTGGCTGTTGTTCGCTAACGGTTGGTTGGTGGTCGTCCAGCACTCGAATGGATGATCGAGCTCGGCCCCGCGAAGGTGGTGCAAACCTTCGAACAGCAATACACAGAGTTAGTTGCGCTGGTTCGTTCGCAGAAGAAGAGCGATAACGAAACGCGCTTGCAGGTACGTGTAAGAGCCTTTACTCTCTAAACGAGCACCTAACCTGTGTGTGTCGTGTCGTGTGTGCGTGTGTGTCACGCGTGTTTGTTTGTCGGTTTGGCATTGAAGCTCCAGGCATGCCTGGATGTCTTTGCCAGCGTGCTTCGTCACGACCAGCTTCATGTGCTGAGCCAAGAGCACGCTCCCCAGTGGGTCCGCTACTGTTTCGCCTACTGCGCGGGCGTACGTTACCCCTGGCCAGCTCATGAATGAGGAGGTAACCTGTTTACTCAGCTCCCCTCTTTCTCATGTTCAACTCCACAGGGGATGCACACTGACTCTGGGCTGAGCGTACTCTACTGGCTCACCATGCGCTTCCCCGAGCGTGTGGCTCCGCTGCTCCCGGATATCATACCCGCCGCGCTTGCCCTCTCCCGAAGCGAGCGACGAGACCGGGACCTCGCCATGTGCCTACGTACAATTCCACCCGCCCCCACTTACACTTGTCCCTCCCCGCACACGGCACACACGGCACACACGACACACGATACACGACCGCACACACAGCCAACCTGATTGTTTCCTCCGACGTGCTTCACCTAGACGCCATGGCCAGCAGGCTCGGGGCAGAAATGCGGCCCTGGGTCGCGCGGCTGTCATCTGCCCTTGCGCACGAGGCCTCTGCATTCCCAAACGACCTGGCGCTGCGCTGTTGCGTGCAGATGGTGCCGTACGGCCTGGGCGACATCGACGACCGCGCGCTCTTCCTCCTGGCGCACACCAGCGCCGACACCCTGCGCCCGTGGACCGATCCGTGCTTCAAGGCCGAACCGCCGCACAGGTTCGAGGTGCCAATCGAATCGCTGACCGATCTGATCGTCGAGTTGGTCGTTCGGCGATCGCTCGAGTGCAGCCCGCGGGATGCCGTGCCCGTGTTCACGGTACTCATCGACCGCCTCCAGCGGTCCACCCTCGCCGTCAAGGGCAGCGAAGACGCCGCCGCCTCGACAGATCCGGCCGTGCGGGAGAAGGTGAGCGCGGCGCTCCACGCCCTGGCCGCCAAGATGGGCGACAAAGTGGTCGCCGACAAGCAGTTCAGGTGGCGCCCGTTCCGCGAAGGGCTGCAGCGGTACCTGCCCGCCGACAGCGCCCTCCTCGCCTCACTCCTCGGTTGACGCCCATGATTACATGAGAGACCTCATGATATATATAAAGACTTTTTACATTTATTTCTTTTTTTAATAGTATCCGAGGGCCTTGAGGGCGAAGGCGGTGGCGATGGCGCCGCCAAACATGGCGGGCACGGCCACAAACGATACGGTGGCCAGGTTGGCCATGCCGCTGATGCCGTGGCCGCTCGTGCAACCGTTGGCCAGCCGAGCCCCGCCCACCAACAAAAACCTGGAAACACACAAGAACACACCACACGCGCACACACAACGTAAGTGAGGCCCTCGCGAGTGTTGATTCGTAGGTTGAGGTGTGGTTACGCACCCTGCGAGGAAGGCCGGGAGCGGCGCGAGGCCGGTGACGGTGCCCCAGGTGCCGGACAGGGTGGCCGAGAGGAAGGCGCCGGCCATGGCCCCGAGCAGGTAGGTGGGCTGCCACAGCGCCAGCCCCGAGCGCAGGGACGACATGTACTGCGACGACTCGACCGCACGCGGACAAACCCCATAGATCATGTTGATCGCCACCGTCGCAAACGACGACGCCGACCCTGTTTCAGCGGTCAGCTGTGCGTGTGCGGTGTGTGTGCGGTGTGTGTGCGGTGTGTGTGCGTGTGTGCGGTGTGTGTTGTGCGGTTACCTAGGGTGACGGTGAGGAGCAGGACGGCTGGAATTTGAAGAAGGCCGACGATGATGCCCGCGATCTGGGGCGGCCAGGCCTTCATGGCCAGCACGGAGGCGAGGGAGAGGTGGGCCGGCAGGCTCTCGGCCCGCGACAGGCCCACGTCCTCGTACCACGGCCGCACCCACTCGAGCCCGCCCACGATGGCCGCCAGCGCGAGGGCCATCGGCAGCGCCACCCGCGCGTAGGACGTGCCCGCCATCTTGTCCAGCGTGCGGTTCGCCGGCTGCGGCCGCCCCACCGCAATGAACGGGCGGAACACCGACTCGTAGTACGAGTACAGACCAGCCGCCATCAATCTGTGTGCGTGTGCGGTTGTGTGAGTGCGGTTGTGTGTGGTGTGAGGGTGTGTGTTCAGACGGGTACCCTCCGAGAACGATGAAGAGGCCCTGATTGACGCCGGCGCCGAGCTGGATGATGGTCTGCGGGAAGAGGTAAGCGTTTAGTGGGGAAAAGAGTGGTGGGTGGGGTGAGGTGTGCGTACGGTTCCGGGGCAGGCTCCGCCGATGGACATGCCGACGCCGAGCAGGGCGGTGCCCAGTGCCACGGAGGGCAGGCCACGCGGGGCCGCAAAGAAGTGCGCCCGGCTGTGCTCCGCGTAGGGCGCCGTCCGCTTGAACGCACGCCTGTGGGGTACGTACCGAGATATTAAATAAAAATGAAAATGAAAATAAAAATAAAAAATAAAAATATAGTAGATAGGGGAGGAGAGCGTACAGGGTGCTCATCACCACCATAGAGGTGGTCACGGCCGAGAGGAACATTTTCATCATCTGTTCGGAAATATAGTTAAATTATTTTTTAAATAAGATAGATGAAAGGCGTGGTGAAGGGCGGTACCTGGAAGCGGTGGAAGAGCATCTGGTCGATGATGACGGAGGGTTCGAACACGCGGCCCTTCTCCAGCGCAAAGCCGAAACAGACGCCCATCCCCAGAGCTATCGGCGCAATCACACCGAACCCCGAGGGCGGCTTCACCCCCTTCTCTGGTGTGTTAGACTTGTTGCTTGCTGCCGCCATGCTACGTTTGTGTCTTCTTCCTCTCTTGTGTCTGCTCTCTTTCTTTCCACTCTTTATTTCTCTCTGCTTGCCGAGTGGCCCTTTTTGGTTTTATCCCCATTAGGAAAAAAGCCGTATTTATTTATATTTAAATATTCGTTTTATATTCACAAATCACCAACCACAACTCCTACTCCTCGCCGAGAGGGGCGTTGTAGCCGTGGTTGTCGCGGCCCCGGCGCTTGGTCTCGCGGATGTGGTGCCGGTTGAGCTGCCACAGGCAGTAGGTCCAGTAGGCCCCGCAGCACTCCCACGCGAACAGCGGGAGCAGAAGGGCCGCGGCGATCGGGTTGCTGATGCCAAAGACCGGCAGCGCAGCGCCCAGGGCCACGCTGGCCACGGCGCGGTCCACCGCGGCCGCGCCCACCAGCTTGGCGCCGTAGAGGATGGGCGACCAGGCCATGTCGAGCAGCAGGCCGCAGCCGTAGAGGGCCAGCGCTGCAGTCTTCATCGAGGTCGAGGAAGACCCGAAGGTGATCGCGGTGCTGCTGCGCCACACGAGCAGGGAGGCCGCACCGGCCGTGCCGTAGATCAGCGGCTTGACCCAGGGCCTCTGTAGCAGCCACAGGAGAGGTGGCTTTGGTGGTTTCTAACGTAGTGCGCGCGCAGTTAGAAAGTAGTGAAGATGACGTGGCGGTGCCTTGATGAAGGGAAGAAAGTTGATAAGAGGAAGTGGGGGGAGTAGTACTTGAAGGTTACGTTTCCAGTTTTTGGCGCTCGAGCTGCGGAAGCTGACGGCGAGCACGCTGGCTGCAGCCCAGGGAAGCACAACACACGCACCCGCAAGCAGTCCCTCTTGCCATCGCGGCACCTTCACCACCAGCGGCCCGCTCGCCCCTCGCCTCTCCATCATCTTTTGATCTTTGCTTTTTTACATTTACTTGTTTTTATTTTGTTTTTATTTGCATTTTGTCCAAATTTCGGTGTTTAGCTGCTGGCGGCAGCAACTGACAATCACGATCGGCCGAAGAACAGAGGCGACGTCGAGCCAGCGCCGTCGTCTTTCTCAGCCTCGCCCTTCTTCGGGATCGGCACCGCGTCGGTCCTGCTCCGCATGCGCACTTTCTTCTTGTCGGCCTCGTCGCTCTTCTTTTCCTTCTCCTTTTCCTTTTCCTTCTTCTTGGGCAGGGCCAACACCGATCCCTTCTTGTCCTTCTTCTCCTTCTTCTCGTCGGCCTTCTTGTCCTTCTTCTCTTCGGCCTTCTTCTGCTTGCGGGTCTCCTCGATTCGCTTCTCCTTCTCGAGCATCGTGGTCGGCGGCTGGAAGGACTTGATCACGCCCACCGGCGCCGGCGCCGCGGGCTTCTCCTCTGCAGCCCCCTCCCCTCTCGGGCTTCGCTTCGTTCTTGTCTTCTTCGGCGTCTTCGCTTTCGTATCCTCCTGCGGCGAAGCAGCCTCCGCGGCTTGCTGGGCCGGCTCCTCGACGTACTTCGCTTCGGCCATCTTCTCCGCCAGCACAGCCTAAACCACACACAGTCACGATCGAACGTCGACACGCGTGTGCGGTGGTGTGTGCGAGTGCCAAAGAAGTTGGTGAGAGCGTACCAGGGCCTCTTTGACCTTGTCGGCGGGGAGAGAGAAGCGCTCGCCGATGGACCGCACGAACTGCTCACCGACCTCCAGCGGCGTGTCCCATTTGAACATGTGCGAGACTGCGGCGGTGTGATTGTGAGGTGAGCTACATGAAACAACCGAAATGAGGTGGTGCTACAAATGAGGGCTCGCTCGCGTACTGATGTAAGGAAGCAGGACGGACGCAAGTGCGGCGTCGTCCGCATCGCCGCCCGAGATCGAGCCCCTCGCCGTCTCCTTCGTTTCGTTCTTGCGCTTCTTGAGCATTTCGTCTGTTGTCGGTGTGGGTCAAATAATTCAGGCGCAGCGGTGCGATGGGCGCGAGCGCGGCGACAACGTACGCAGGAAGTACTCCTCCCAGAAGTCGCTGTTCTTCCAGACCGTGAAGTCCTTGACAAACTCCTGCAATTCATGACACGAAGAAGAACGAGTTGTTCGATGAGTGTGAGAGCGCTTGGTCCACAGGGAGTTGTGCGAACAAGACGAGAACTGGAAAACAATGACACGGACCTGGAGGTACGAGGGCCGCTGACGGTCCATGCGGTAGAGGCTCGTCGCGGCCCGCATGAGCGCGCTCAACGCAATGAAATCTTTGTCGTTGCTGGTCTCCGCCTCGACCAACATGCTTCAATCGCAAAAGAGATGGTGACCAAGCAGCAACTATCATGATTCAGCGTCGAAGCAATGACGTACCGGTTCATGAGGTAGAGCATCATGTCGAAGGCGTCCGACGACAGACAGAGCGAAGGCAGCTGCGATCAGGGTAGAGAAGTTGAATGTGAGATCGGGAGAAGGAACAGGAGTTAAAAAATGGAAAGGTCTGAACCTTCTTCATGGTCTGCTTGAGGGCGAAGGCGAACTGACGACGACCGTAGTCGGTCTTGAAGATCTCGTTCAGCTGCACGATGTCGCTGAAGTAGACCTCCGTCGACGAGTAGAGCACGGCGTGCACACACTCGTTGAGCGCCGCCACCAACTGCCGCCACCTTCAGGTTAGCAGCTCACACTAGAAAACGAAAACGAACGTGCGACATTATTGAGGGGAGGCGAGCCGTGCCTCCTCGTCGTCCTGCTTCTGTTTGTTGGCCCAGCGAAGGGTGGCGATCTGATTGCGCGGCGATGTGGGCGCAGGCCGACCAACGTTAACGATCGTGTTCTTGCGCAGGCGCTCGAAGATACCCACGTCTTCCTCCTACGCACGTCACGTCACAACACACATGACACACACGACACACACGACACACACGACACACACGACACACACGACACACACGACACACACGACACACACGACACACACGACACACACGACACACACGACACACACGACACACACGACACACACGACACAACGTCAATGCTGGGTCAATGACAGCCAAAGGTTCAGCAGTAAACGAACCTCCGGCTTGGCTGGCGCGACGGGCTGCACCGACGACACGGCCGATGACATCGATGACGTTGACTTGCTCAGGGCCTGGTCCCTGGCCTGTCGCAGCTCTTGGTTCTCCCGCGTGACGGCCGCCAGTTCGGCCTTCAGCCGCTCGATCTCGACCTTGTCCTGCTCGGCCTTCTTCTTCTCGCGCTCGAGCAGGGCCTTGGCCGCGGCCTCCTTGCGCTGCGCCAGCTCCATCTCCCGCTTCCGCCTCTCGGCCGTGCGCCTCTCCCATTCCTCCGACTGGCCCACGTCCTTCTGCTGAGCAGTCAATCGCAGGTCCTGCATAGAGTGCGGTGTGTGCGGTGTGTGCGGTGTGTGCGGCGTGTGCGGCGTGTGCGGTGAGGTAACATGCCAAGGGACCACACAGAGAAAAGGTGAGAGAGCGCGTACCTTGGATTCGGCTTCAGTCTTCCAGTACTGAATGTCGTTCATCAGGTCGGCGCGAGCCCGCTCCGCCTCTTCCTCCCACTTGCGCCGTTCTTCCCGCAGCCGCGCCTCAAACTTGGCACACGCCTCCTCCAGCTACACGTGTTCAGAATCAGTCAGCCGTGTGTGTGTTGTGTGTGTGTGTGTGTGTGTATGTGTGTGTGTGTGTGTTGTGTGTGTGTTGTGTGTGTGGTGATGCGTGCGGTGTGGTGGTGTGTGCGTGTGCATACCTCCTTCTCCTTCTTCAATTCAAGGGTGCGGATCTTTTCGTAGAGGGCCTGCGTGTCGACCACGGTGCCCGCGCGGTTGCGAGGCTCCTCCTTGCCGGCCGCTCCAGCAGGCAAAGAAGCTGCCGTGCCTCGCCTCCGCTCGGCATCCAGCTGGCCCTTGGCCGTTTCGAGATCCTTCTGCAGTCGCTTGATCTCCGCCACCGCCGTCACCGAGCGCTTGCGCTCGTCCTCCAGCTGTCGCTCCAGAATTTTGACTGCCGAAAAAACATGTCAATTGACACACACGACACACACGACACACGCGCACGCACCGCACGCACCGCACACGGAAACACGCACGCGGGGGGGGCAAGCTGTACCGGCTTCCAGCTCGGCGGAAGGACGCGGGCTGCCGCCCCGAGGAGAGGCGGGCGGCACGAGCGGCGACGACCCCGACTTGGCGGGCAGCAGCTTGGCGGGCTGACCGCCGGCCGCGCTGCGCGGGCTCTGCTGCCTTTGCTGCTCCTGCTCCTGTCGCTCGATGTCGGTAATGTACAGCGGACCCTGCTCTTGGATCACGTTCGACCACTGCGTCGTGCGCTTTTCCACGGGTTTGCCCAACGCCTAGGCACGCGTACGTGTGCGTGTGCGTGCGTCAGTCCATCTGTGCGGTGGTGCGTGTGCGGTGGTGTGCGGCGGTGCGTGTGCGGCGGTGCGTCGTGTGCGCAAGAGAATTGGAAACCTTGAAGCCCAGGGACTTCATCGTGGGTCCTTTGTAGGAAGTCGTGGAGTCGGCGATCCGCGCGAGGGACAGCAAGTTGACGAACACCTGCCAATCGTCATCATCACCGTCATCATCAACAACAACGTGAGCTTCGTAGAAATAAAAGAACGTAATATATGAGGAATTGCCAACCTGCGGCTCGCCCTTGCGCAAGTAGAGATCCGATGTGACGAAGAGCTCGGCCGAGGCCACGCCCAGCTTCCAGCAGGCCTTGAGGTAGAACCCAATGTTCTCCATCTCGAGCAGCGCGATGGGTCGGGTGTTGATCTTGCGAATAATGTCCGGCTGAATGGCGTTTGCCAACCTTCCAGCCACCACAACAACCTTTTCATTTAGATTTATTGAAAATAATTTTAATCAAAAATAAATCTCGTGAATAAGAAAACTTTAAATAAAAGAAATAATATCATCAAAAATAACAAGGGGGCGTACTTGCACAAAATAATGCCCGAACGAAAGGACCCAATGGGGTCTGTAAGGTCCACCTTCTCCTTGGTCGCTGCGGCCACCTGCACCCAGAAAAAAAACAGATTAAAAGTGAAGGCTTTGGCTGGGGGGAGGGGGGTGGCTAATGGACCCATTGGGCGAGCTGCTTCTCGAACTCGCGGTCGCGTTTGCTCTCCATTTTGCGGTGCATCTCGGCGTCGAGGCCGTACAGGCGCACCCCGTTCACCTCTTCGTGCCCATGCGAGCGGTTGGCCACCTGCATCCTCTTCGTCTCTGCTCAGATGGTTGTGACAACAAAAAACAGTGGGGGAACTGCTTTCTGTCGACTGGCTTTTATCAGTCCACCAACCATCGTCAAGCTCGCCACAACCACCGAGTACTCCCGGGTGAGCCTAAACGCGGTCGCGCTTGCCTAGCGTGAGAGTAAAGGGTCTAGGGCTGCGCGGTCTCTTCACTGTCTTGTCGCTTCTTCTTGGCCTGGGGCTGGGACGTCTCCTTCTCGGCCTGGGCCTCCTCGCCCTCCTTGGTCGTCTCGGCTTCCGGTGCGGCTCTGCTAATTTTCCACGGGGAGCGCAAGAGTGAGCAGATGAAGAAGAACCAACACAACTTACAACATATAGGGAAGAGGGAAGAGGGAGGAGACCACCCACCTCTTGACGTTGATCTGGCGACGAGTGCCGGGTCCCCAGTTGGGCGGGTTGTGCACAAACCTGGGCTTCTTCGACTTCTCGGGCTGTAGCAGACGAAAGGGTGAGCGAATGAATGAATGAATGAATGAATGAATGAATGAATGAATGAATGAATGAATGAATGAATGAATGAATGAACGTCGTCTGAGCCCAAGCGAACGCACCTTAGCGTCTTCTCGCTCGGTGAAGTCGGCCTCGAAGGAGGGCTCCTTCTCGAGGATGGCGGCCGCAACGGAGCCTGGCGGGGGCGGTCGGACGGGGTGCAGCTTGTTCCAGCCCCTGACGAATGAAACCACGACCATGTTAATGCTAAGCCTTCAGATTTGTTCTCTCAACTCAGCGTATATATATACCTCAGTATGTCCCACAAGAACGATGCGGGAGCATCGGTCTTGATGGCGGTGGCCACCGTGTGCGAAATGGAGATCCTGTAGCCCCTGTTGGCGTTCAGGATGGCAGACCTAGACAACGGCAAAGAGTAAGATATGAGTCATGAGCGAGGAGCACACAATAGCAGCTTCTTCGCATGAGGAGAGACCGCGACGTACTTGAACACGCTCATCGCGGGCTGCTGGGCGTGGAGGACCTTGCAGATTGCGGGCAGGTCGTAGAACAGAGGCTGGTCGGGCAACTCCTAATAACCGGTCAAGCAGGAAGTGAGTTCTCGTGGCCGTATGAATAGTGAGGGAAAAACGCGACTGACTGACGGACTGACCTGAGACAGGACGGAGAGATAGCCGTTCACTTTCTTGTGTGTCTTGAACAAGGCGCTGTTCTTCTCCAACTCCTCCATCGCCTTCTTGATGAACTCGTCGTCGTAGAGCGATCTGTTCCAAATGGGACCCAACACCTATATTATGCGTTAGCACGCTACTCACTACACGTGCGTGGACGCTCACTTCACACGACACACGTTCAACATCGCAGAGTGTTTGTACCTTGTGATCACGCCCGCAGTCGTCACAGTTTCGGTTGACGGGCGGGCCACTGGCGGCCAGGTATCTCTGGGAGGCGCCCTTGCCTTCGCACCTGCCCAGCGGCTGGAAGTGGAGCGCGCCGCAGCCGGAGCACTGGTAGACGTGCGACAGCTTCCTGTCGAGCCAGTGAATGGTGAGTGTGAGGCTGCGTTCCAAGCGACTGAGCGGCTTGTTGGAGCCGACACCAAAGGGAAAGGAGAGTACAGCATGCTGCGCTTGGCTTCCTCGGGCCGAGTATAGACTCGCACAAACATGCGGACGTAGAAGTCCATGCTGAGCGAGATGAGAGGAACGATGTGTCTCTGGTATCTCGCGGCCGATCGCTCCAACGACGCCAGCACGATACGCACGGCCTGCTCGTGCGTGGGCTTGCCTGTGTGCGCACACGTCGACCGTAATGAGTAACACACACACACACACACACACCACGTGATTATGGGCGTGCTTGCGTACCCTTCAGCGGCAGCGCTCCGTACTTGTAGGAGCACACTTCGGGGTAGTTGCCACACAGCACTTGCATGTCAGTGCAGGTCACGCAGATCAGGCCTGCAAAAGAACATGGATTCAATATATTAGTACTTGTGGTGTGATGCGAGTCCATGCAGCATCGAGTGCCGCACCTCCGTCGTTGATGGACTGCACAGCGGCGTCGAAGAACTCGGCTCCGGAGCCGTAGGGGTCGAGGTCGATCACGTCGTAGGCCTTCTGGTTCTGGTACATCACCGCCCTGGCGTCGCCTTGGTTGGGAATAATCTGGGTGTCGCTGATGCCGTTGAAGTGGACGTTGCGTCGGATGTTCTTGACTGCCGCTGTCTCGATGTCGTTGGCCACGATCGACTTGATGCCGGGAACCTCCTTCCAGTACCGGACCGAACGCAGACCTGCAAGGCGACAACCGGCGCGCGTTGGCATTATAAGGTATGGCGTTGGCAACGCGCCTCACACAGAGTATGGCAGGTCAAGGCATACCGGTAGCGGACAGAGCCTCGAGAATGGTGATGCCGTCGAACTTCTCGCCTCGCTCCTGACGCACTAATCACCGCAAATAAACAACACAAAAGATTTAGCCATAAATCGCATTTATCATTAATATATCAGATTAATCGTACGTAGAAAAATGGCATAATGTGTGAATTAAATGAAGAAAAAGGTCAATCAAATCGGGGATGCGCACTTTGCTCGGCAAAGAGACGAAGGACTAGAACGGAGAGGTCACGATTGACCTCCTGAGCGGGGTTGTAGAACACCTCGTTCTTGTTTTCGAAGATGACTCGTGCAGCCCCCTCCGTAATCGCTTCGAAGCCCTCGGGCGTGGGGTGGGCCTCCAGCCACGCCGTGCGCTCCTCCAAATCCATGACGCGGGATAGGGGCGATGAAGACGAAGATGTAGTTTCCATGCTGTGATGCGTGAAGCGTCGGATAAACAAAGAAGAAGCAAATAATCTCGAATGCAGTGACGATTTGTTCAAGATCGCTGATGTGGGCGATGATTGCGTGGAGACGAGAAGGGGACTGCGGCACAGGATGAACCTCACGGGCAAGGATGTCGAGAGTTGTCGTTGGTGCGTGGTAATCACCCCAATTGTGGCCACGCTTCCACTTCGCCGCATGCAACAAAAGACTGTTAGATTTGGCTTCGTAGAAATATCTTTATTCTCCTTCAGACAGCTGTCTGGCAGGAGGTGGCTGTGCTGAGCAGCTGAGCTCATCTTGGCAGCCAGCCCAACAACAAGACAAGAGGCAGCTTTCACCGAAGAGGCGTGCCACGTCCGTGCCCCTCAGCGGGGTTTGAGGTTGTGCTCTCTTTGCGTTTGCGGCAGAGCTGAAAGGACCAGGATGGAGGGGTGGTGGGCCGCCACGCTGCGTCTGGTGCTTGCGTGGCCCTTGCCCGTGTCCGCGGCGCTTGTGCTGCTGCCCTGGGCCGCCACGACCATCACCGCCAACCACTTTCGCAGCGCCAGCGCCAAGAACTGGAAGCGTAACCTGCATGTACCACTTCTAGCCCCCCTCTACTTCTTCTTCCAGTAAGTAACGCAGTTGATGATTGCAGAAGCCGCCACCACAGAGGTGGCGCCAGGTGCTGCACAAGGTTCGGCCGCTGAGCTACTGCCTGGCGGGACTGGCCTCAGTCTTAGTGTGGTCCAGCCCTGACGACAGCCCGGAGCGGGCAGGCGCGCTGGTGACGTACGGTCTCGGGCTGGTGCTCAGTGTGATGTGGTCGCCGCTCCTCTACGGCGCCAAGATGGTCCACCTGGCCGCGCTCGACCGGGTGCTGGCCGGCTTCGCCTTCGCGCTGTCGGCCCTGCTCATGACCTTCGTCACGCCGGTGGCGAGCGTGCTGCTGCTGCCGCAGCTCGTGGACGAGTGCAGCGGGGCCTACTGGAGCTGCTACCTCTGGTGGCTCAACCGACACCACATCCACGGCAAGCACAACAAAAACAGCTTCGGCTACGCCATCCTCGCCGAGGAGTGAGATGGTGATATTGTACATAGGTGAGGGGTGTGATTATTACTTGTCACGGGCTGGTTGACTGCCGGCGTCCGTGCCAGCCTTTACAAAGAGTGTTCGCAGTTCCTCCAATAGTCGTATCTGAACATGTGCGTGTGCGTGTGCGATGAGTGCGTGCGATATTCGATGCGTGCGATTGGGCTGCAGTACCGGTACTCCACCGGAGGCAAGGGGAGTTGGACGACATGCAGCGGGGAGTACTGTTGATTCATCTCGTGCAGTCGTTGGCTCGTGTCGGACGGCGAGGCCAGCACCATAAGCGGGATGAGCCGCGGCTGGGAGAGCAGGCACACCTGTACCTTGTTAAGGCTCGGCAGGTCCACCACCATCGCTTCCACCTGACCTGTTGTTGTTGTTGTTGTTGTTGTGTTAGCCAGATGGCAACGCACCAGGTTCATAGCCTTGAGCTTGCTGAGGTCGAGCACGTCGTTGACCAGCTCGAGCAGCGTCTCCGACTCGGCCTCGATGTCGCGCAGGCACTCGGCCTGGTAGTCGCTCATGGCCGTGTCCTCCATGAGGCCCGCCATGCCGCTGATGCCCGTCAGTGGCGTGCGAAGCTCGTGGCTCGCCACGGCGAGGAAGGCGTCCTTGGCGCTGTCCATCTCCTCGAGCCGCTTGTTCTTGCGCGCCATGCGGTGGTTGGCGCGCCGCAGCTCGTCGGCCAGCAGCGCGTTCTCGAGCGAGTTAATGAGCTGGCCGGCGAGGATGCTCACCAGCTGGAGCCGTTCATCGCCGAACACGCCCGCGCTCATGTCGTTCTCGAGCACGATGAGGCCGTGGTGCTTGCTCTTGAGCGACAGCGGCGCGCACAGCACCGACCGCGGCCGTCGCTTGGCCACGTAGGCGTCGTCCTTGAACTGCGCGTCGGCCACCACGTCGCCGATCACCACCGCCGCTGTACACCCCCACGCACACGCACACACGCACGTGATACATATGGTAAGGCGCGTTGTAGAATGTTGGGAGTGTGAGAAAGGCCCATTCCTGGGTACGCACTCTTGGCGTGCCAGCAGAAGTTGATAATGGAGTTGGGCAGGTCGGGGCTGTCGCCCGCGTAAAACAGGCGCCGCACCCGCACCTTACGCTGCGCACAATCATCACGTTGTGGCTCACAGTGGGCGCTTCGAATTCTCAGCTCTCATGCTACGAGAGCAGACGCACCTGAGCATACGAGATCTTGGCCTTGGCGCGAATGAACAACTGCTCTCCAGGTGCCTGACTATCGCCACTGCTGCTGCTGCTGTGTTCGCTTTCTTTTGACGACAGTGCGCCAGTATCCTCCGTCAACAGGATAACCCCCTACGCATGCGATGCCACGTCAGCAATAACAGTGATTGGAGGAAGAGCGACAGCAGCAGCTGACGTACCCGGGTGGCACCGGTGTTGTCGAGGATGAGGTCTAGTGCCGATCGCAAGAGGCCTTGGTGTTGAGCATGGACGACACCTGCTGCGCGGCCTGCACCACAGCGTCGAAATCGAGCGCGCTCGCCACGATCTCCGTCGTCGTGTAGAGGCTCACGTTTCCCGGGCCGCCACGGTCGCCGCTGCCGAGCTGGGACTCATCATCTCTGGAATGCGAAGCGGCTTTCCGCTGCCGCACGGCCCGGTTGGCGCCCCACTTGGCGAAGCAAAAGAACGACTCCGCCGCGCACTGGGAGGCCATCTCGTTCATCACCTGCACTCACCCGCATTGCATACATTCTTTAGAGAGACCCGGAGGTCTTAACGTAAATAAAAGCACAGTACCTGCCAGGAGAGCTCCTTGGCCATGGCGGCGTCCTGCACGAACCCGTTTGCCAGGGCCATGTCAAACACCTCCTCGTACATGCCCAGCACCTCGGCCATCGCTGCCATCTGACGCCCGCCGTTGGTCTCGCGCAGACGCAGACTCTTCCGCTCCGCCTTCACCATCACGATCGTGACGACCACACACACATACATACACAACAAAACAAAACAAATGCAGACGTCAGGCCTTAAGCCCTTTGGTCTGCAGGGAGACACAGCTATGTCGAGCAGTACCTCGACGAGCCGGTGCCAGTGGGCGAAGTTGCAGGGCGCGGCGGCGACCCAGTGGGTGAGCATGACCAGGTTGTGGGCCACAACGGTGGCCAGGTGTTCGTCGTACTCGTCAGACGTTAGGCCGGCCTCCTGGTAACCAGTCTCGCCGTCACTGCATGGCGATCTCTTTCTCGCGACCGTAGAGCTTGGTCGGAAACCCTGCCTCGAACTCCTCCCCCTCTGCATCATCGTCTTCGCTGTCGTTGCCGACGCTTTCTAGTTTTTGTATGATGGCCTGACAGCGGAGGAGATCGGCGACGAGGCCGCGGCTGCTCTGGTAGCGCGTCTCCACGGACTTGGCCAGCAGCCGGTGCACGACGCCCGACACGTACTTGGGCACACGCGCGTCGACCTCGTGCACGGCCGCCGCCTGCTTGGCCATGTGCGCGTGCATCATGCGCACCGCCGACCGCTCGACAAAGGGCACGCTGCCGGTGAGGAGCTCGAAGAAGGTGATGCCCAGCGAGTAGAAGTCGCTGCGGTAGTCCACCGCCCGCGCGCTCGCCTCGCTCCCGCTCCCGTTGGCACTACTATTGGCGTGGCGGAGGGAGAGCTCGGGGACGAGGTAGGCCATGGAGCCGAGCACGTATTGGATGGGCACCGAGCCCATGCTGGCGCCGGTGGTCTCGCGGGTGCGCTCCACAACCGACGCCACGCCAAAGTCGGTGATCTTGACCTCGCCCGTCTCCTTGTTCCAGATGATGTTGTGTGGCTGCATTCCGTCACACGACACGCACGGCAGGGCCAAGAGAAGATAACAGATAATCGTCAAATAACCAATTTTTTTTAAAAAAAACGCGAGTAAACGTATTTCTTTCGAAGGTAGGGCGGTGGACGCACTCATGAGCGGGGCGACCGTCGCGCGCGAGCCACTGGTCGAGCGTGGCCGCCTCGTGCTCGAGGCCGGCCGCGAGAGCCGCCCGCGTACGTGGACGATGCCCGGCACGCCGGCGGCCATGAGGGCCTCCACCACCTGGTGCTCGTGCTGGAAGTTGCTCAGGTGGCGCGGCAGCGGCAGCGACACGTTCACCCGCACCGCAGTGCCGTTTTTCTCCTCCATCTTTTGCCTCTTCTCCTCCATCTTGCTCCTCGTTTTGGGGGCAGAGACGACGGCAGTGATAGACCACCGAGTGGGTGCCGCGGTCGGCGTTGGTCGAGGTGAGCGCGTAGCCCTCCGCCTCGAGCAGCTTGCCCAGCTTCTCCATCTCCCTTCTCGCGACGTAGGCCGCTCTCTCCATGAAAGGGCGCCCAACGCCCGCCTTTCTCTTCTCGACTACCACCAGTAGCTCGTTGCCAGGTTGTGTGGGAGATTACAGTAGCTCGTTGCCAGGTGACTCGATCACAATAAATGACGTCCAAATGAAATTTCTACATTTTTTCTTTCCGAATTTCTGTGGTCTTGCCACGCGATGGGGAACAGACGAAGGCGCTCGCGAGATCAAGATGAGCGGTGGGAGGGAGGTGGCGCGAGCGCATAAAGACAAAAAGCAAGAATACAAGCGAGAGAACAGCAAGAAAAAGAAATGGATAAAGCTGCGGGAGAGTGGGGGAGGTACAATGGCGAAGAGGTGGCAAACAAGGGCACCGTATTGGGCGAACTCGACCGCCTCCTGAACAAAGGCGAGCCGCCCGACCTCGAACTCATTTTTATCTTGCCCTTTCCAGTACTTCACCCCACCCTCTCCTTTCCTCTTTTGGTTTTAATCCACAATCAATAAATAATTATTTTCACAATGTTGTGTATGTTGTGTTGGGCTCAGAACCGGACGCTGTTTGGTAAGCCGCTGGCGTACACCAACCCCTTCGGACATGTAGCTCTGCGCTACCGACTTGCTCCGTCCCAGGAGACGGTGGTACGTGCTCCAGGCCTCGCGCTCAGGTGATCACAACACCTAACGGCTGGTGACTTGGGGGGGGGGTGCAGGTGGTGAACGTGATCGGCTTCGAGTCGCCCCAGATGGTCAACTTTGTGAAGCCGGAGGACTTCTTCTTCGGCACTCACGGGTGGCATGTGGGTAACGAGCAGGGCGGCATCTACAATCGGTGCGTCTCTCTTTCTCTCTAGCGCTCATTGCTTACTAACCAACGCTTCTAATCTACCCAGCAACTTCGTGTCGCTTCGGATTGAGCGCGTGTCGGCCTGGCAGCTGCAAGAACTGCACACCTTCTTCCTCGATCTGCACATGCGATGGAAGGAGGGTCAGGTCCACTACGTGTTTGGCCTCGACGGGTGCGAGCTGCACGTCCCAGATCGAGCCAAGATCTTGGTTGGTTGTTGTCCTCACCACTTGAGTGTAACCACTTTCCACTCTCTCGTGCAGCAAGTTGCGGAACATCATGTCGCAGCAGTTCAAGTGTGGCAACTGCTCCGATTGGATCGGCTACGGGTTGCAGAAGGTGGGCCTGGTTGACGACATCTCCATGCTACCGGTAACACCTCAAATCGACCACACTCCCAACCAGCGTTGTGTGTGTTTGATGTCTCACGTGAACCACATACAGAAAATACTGTGGATCAAGATGTACAAATATTTCCTCCAGGCAGAGGTCAAGATACCCTTCCGGTATGTTCCTTCTCCCTCTGCCATGTGAGGGCGATATGATGCTGTTCTCAACAATTTTCTGTGTTGTGTAAAAATATCACCAGCAATATGCACGTAGTCAAGTACAACCGCATACCGCATCTCAATTCCTATGGAGCCGATGCGGACGTCAGTGGTTGGGTAGGACCCATATTTTCGAAGTTGGTGATGGCGTTGATGCCTTTCTCACCGTCGTCTGTTAACATGCAGGGCAACATGGTCCATTTCCACGATCGGCAAACGTACAGTAGCCTGTCAGACCTCGCCGAACTGTACGTGCCAATCCCTGTTTATCCCGCAGCTCGGGCGTAGGCTTGATCAAGCGTCTCACTCGCCCAAATCGTACCTTACTCCCCACAGGGAGGTTTACTTGCCCAAGGGAGAGAAATCGCTGGCTATTTGTCGGCGAGACGTATCGAACTTCGCGCCGCACATTCGCGATAAGTTCGAACACCCAAGCGCAGGTCTGTCCTACTCTCTCTGTCTCTCTCTCTTTCTCATCAGGATTATGATCCTGACTACATATGGGTGTTTACAGAGTTCGTGTTGCCTCGCGTGGGCACGAAGTGGGCCGTCGCATGCACGGATTCCTGGTACTGGCGCGCTGTTCCATTTTTGTCTCTTCATCATAGTTCTCATGTCTTTATGACCGTGCGTAGGCGGTTGATCTCCCGGGTCTCTGGAGAGCTGAAACAGATTGTGCGGAGCCCATCGGGGCAGGCGTGGGCCATCGACCATCAGCAGCGCCTGCACATGTGGGACGGAGAGAAGTGGCTGCAAGCCACACCGCGAACCGAAGCACTCACTCTTGGTACGGCCCACTCCTCGAGAATTGTTTAAACCCGTCCATCACCCACACTCATTCTGGCCGGCGCACACAGAAGAGGACGGAGACGTGATCTTGCCCGCGATCGTCACCGTCGACAAAAAAGAAGGTCGGCCGTTCGTGCTGGCGCAGGACAGACGGACCATATTCGAGCTCGGGGCGGACTCGCAAGGCGCGATGGAACTGGAAGTGGATGATCCGAACAATGGCAAAGGGAAGCACCGCTGTCTGGAGTACAACAGTGATGATCACAGCTCCGTCTCATGTCGGCTCGTCGTCGAGGCTGCCAAGTCCATGATGCCGATCGCCGATCTGGCCTTCACGACCAGCGAGGATCTCTACGCTGTTACCACCGACGTACGTGACGCGTCTGCTCAATCAACATCTACTGTGAAGCTATGTTATTTTACTGAGTGTACGCGTTATGTAGGGCCGGCTTCATAGATACAGCAAGTGGGTGGGCTGGGAGGTCGATGCGGTCAACAACGCGCACCTGCGCTCAATCGATGTGGATACTGATGGTGCCCTGTACGCTATCACCAGCGACGGACGGATACTCTGGTTCGTCACCGTTTAAACGCCCATTCAAGCGCAAGTGTGTGATAGTAACACATCTGGTCTGGTTGTTGCACAGGAGGACCGAGTGGCTGCAGAAGTGGCACGCGTTTAGTCATGAATGGAATGCGAAGCAAATCACTACCTGGAACAGATTTACCACGTGGGCGGTGGACGACAGGAGCCGCGCGTACGTGCTGAACCCGACCACTTGCGAATGGGATGCGCTGGGCAACAGCGCCGACCAATGGCCCATCTCTGGGCTCGCCGCCACAAGCAACGACGAACCCTGGGCACTCGTCACCGACCAACCCGGCTCGACAGCGGTATAAGCACTATTTTCACGACCGCACACACGGCCCATCTGACAGAGTACTGCTATTTCTGTGATATTGTGTAGGTGCTGTTGATAACGAGGCACCGGCTGGAGTTCATGGCGGCCGAGCCTAGTTGTCAACTGGCCAAAGTCAAGTCGCACTCAGCCAATGGGCATCAGATGCGGTTTTATCGCGCCGAGCCGCTCAAACGGGTACAGAACTCACACTCACACTCACACGCACACGCACACGCACACGCACACGCACACCTGCTGACGCGTTATCATGGTCAAGGTTCCGTCAGACGAGTTTCTGGAACAGACCCACCTGGAGAGCCAGGTGTACCGCGATAAGAAGAAGCGGCGGGTCCAGCGCCAGGAGGAGAAGGAGCGCGTGCAGGCCGAGATCGAGCGAGGCGCGGACTCATCGAGCGGCATCGTCGGTCGGCTGCGGGAGAAGCTGGGCACGATCCTCAGGCTGGACGAGCGATCGCGTCGGGCGCGCAACCAGCGCCAGCTCATCAGGGACGAGCTGACGTTGCCCAAGTCCGTCCAGGCGGCCGACGACAAGGACGCCCTGCAGGGCCAGGCTCTGGACGGCCTCGAACCGGTGCTGGTCCACACCAAGACCAACCTGTGGGCCAATCTCGAGGTCGAGCTGCGCGCCGGCGACGAACAGGCCCGGTGGCACAGCCTGGGCGACGTCGCCGACAACGCAGCCTACCGGCGGCCTATCTACCCGGCCCTGCTTGCTCGGTACCGTCTCACCGCCATTGTCATCACCATTATCGTCTTCATATCCCGCGGTCACCACTCACTATGTGCGTTTGCTCCCAGGGAAGTGCCGCCGTTGCAGCGCGGCGAGTACGTGCAGGCCCTGGTGCCGCCCAAGGGCTTCGCGCTGGTCTATTCGAGCATGGCCGCGGCCGACCGACCCGCAGAGACTCCCGGTACGCCTTGCGCTGAGTGTCACACTAGGCAGGTGTTCAGAGGCGGATGCCTGACATTCCACACGGTGAGCAGGTGTGAGTGTCTGGCGGCCGATTCCGCCCACGTCGGACTACGCGGCTGTGGGCCATGTCGTGACGCGGGGTAAGGCGCCCTTGGCGACGGACCGCGGGTACCCCTGCGGATGTCTCCACAAGAGCCTCCTCTCTCCCGGCGCGGTGAGCGATGCTCACCTGCTCCTCTGGCAGCCCGAATGGATGCGCGAAGGGTAGGAACACTTCAGCGCACACGCACCACCGCACACGAGAGCTAACATTCTGATGTGGTGGGTGCAGGAAGCTGTATGTGAGCCATGTCGTTGGCGCGGAGGTGACCCACGCAGGTACGACGCTCGTGTGTCCATCGCTGTTCGTGGCCAGTGAGGAGCGAGGCGGCGAAGAGGTCTTCCTGCCGCCACTGCCTCGGGAGCACGTGGCCGACCCCTCTGTGCTCCTGTGCGCCCCGCACTCTCCCTCCTCCCCCTCCGCTGCGCAGATTGTGTAGCGGCGCGGTACCCCATCAACAATTACACCTCATGTTTTGTTCCCACGGAGAGTCTTCATGTGTTGGTGCGCAACAGTATCTGCCTTCGGCTTCCTATCTCTCCTCAAGGCACTCACTTGGTCCGCCTCTCGTCAAGACACTCACGGGGCCGCCTGGGCAACGCAGGCAAAAGTAAACCAACCATTTCTCGTTTTCCTTTTTTATCTACCACGAGCCAACGTTCAAGTAGAGCCAAGGCAGCTGCGTACATCCCTTCTTCTTCAAGTCTTATCGATCTCCATCTTCCATGAAAGGTATGCCACCCTCTTGACGCTTGCACCTTCTCTCTTCGTCGGCACGTCAAGTAGTTGGCTCGCTTCTCGCGTGTAGCGGGACTACGTCTATAACCGCCGTTCCATTCGGTTGAGCAACTTCTCGTTTTACGTCGCTACAGGCACCAAGGCGAACAAGAAGCTGCGGGAGCCGGAGGCAGACCGCCAACGTATCAACCTCGTTTGTCGGGTCCTCCTTATGAGTGATGAGGAGGTCAATGGTATGCCTTGCTTTGTTACATTCTCCTGTCCTTTGTCTGAACTTCGTTGCCATCACCATGGAGTAGGACGTGACCAAAGCAACGCCAGGCCGAGAGCGATCTGGTCGGGCGCAGCCGTTCCCCCATTCTCGGGCGCCTTCTCAAGCTGGGCAAAGTTGCGACTCTGATGCAGCACTTTGAAGAGAAGGTACCCGTTTCTGATCTTCTATCTCTCAGTCTCGCGCTAAGAAGAAGCAGGAGCAGGAGCAGGAGCTGGCCGCAGACAGCCAACGTCTGGACCTCGTTCGTCGTGTCCTCTATCTGAGTGACGAGGAGGTGAAGAGGTCGCTCGATGGTATGCCTTGCTTTGTTTCCTTCGCCTGTCCTTTGTCTGAACTTCGTTGCTATCGGGCGAGTAGGGCTCCAAGAGCACCGCCACACCGAGAGTGAGATGGTCGGCCGCAGCCGTTCTCCCACTCTTGGTCGCCTACGCAAGCAGGGCCAAGTGGCGACTCTGATGCAGGTACCCGTTCCAATCAGTCACAGTCTCAGTCTTTCTTGTTAAGAAGTACCATCAGCAGGGCGTACAGCCAAAGCATGGCACCGATACGCTCACTCTAAAGGTAATAGTTCTGCAGCAAGAAATGGTTCAAGACAGATCGCTTGTCCATTTTATCCCCCCTCCGCGCTACACCGACCTGGTGGAGCTGATGAGGACCAGCCCGCTTCGAATTCCCAGTACGGCGCTAATCCAGTTCAGGGACAGCGATGGCGACCTCCTTCCGCTGAGGCACCAAGACGATCTGAACTACTTTCTCGACAATCACAAGAGGTCTCACCAGCCGACAGCGATCTCAGGCTTGTCTCTGTTCGTTCACCTGTAGTAACCCTCGACGAGGGTGAGGAAGGAAAAACAAACCGCTTGGGTTCCCTTGTACAACATTGCCTTTTCTGGAGCGCTCTGTCCCCTTCCACCGCTGGCCGCTCATTTTCGAATGTCACTTCTAGTCGCACACTAGTAGTCTTAGTTGTTACAACTTTCTGTTCAGCACCATGGCCAGTTCGGATGACATCACCACCGCAGAGCTAACAACCAAGAACAATGAGCTGAGCCAGAAGCTGGAGGAAGCCGTAAAAGTGCTCACCGCTGCAATCAAAAAGCACAAAGAACTGAAGGAGAACAACAACAAGCTGAAGAAGCAGCTTGATGGTACGACCCACCATTGAGTTCTTGTGGTACGCCGCCATAATAGTCATCTAATACTTCAACTTGTGTCTTTGAAAAGTGGAGCTGGCCAAACAGACTCAGCCCCCGCCGACGCCACTTTATCCTGATGGCAGGCCTTCCTGCGAGCCCAAGTACAGGCTGAAGATTGGCCTCCCTTGGAGGCTCCTGCTCAAGGCCGTCCTGCCCTACGAGGGCGGGGAGCACGTCTGGTCGATTGGCGCTCCCTACTACCACAACCTCCACAAGCAGCTGAGGCAATACTACGGCGACGCTGTCACCTGGAAGACCCAGATCAAGTACCGCCGGGCCTGCGATGGGGAGTGGATGGTGGTGGAGAACGACAAGGACGTCAAGCTGGCCTACAAAGACTGGCAGTACTCCCCCTACGTAGACACAACTTGGTTGCGTCTGTTCATCGTGGTGCCTTGAAGCAGCCTCACACCGCTCTGATAAAGTGATGAATACACTGAGGACGGTGGAAAGTGATAATTTTGCGCACCTTGACCACCACAAGTCCGCTGTACAGGTGGAAGTTATGTGTTCAAATAAATACACATTTAGCTTCCATATGTGTTTTTGAAGGTCCAGGCCCTCTCCACCAAGGCCCACCAGACAGTCACCCTTGACCATCTACACCTGTGCCTCAGGCACATCATTGCAGATCAGCTCAAGATCACAGTGCTTGCTGCATCCAAGACCATCAACACAGGGCCAAGCTCTCCTCCTGCACCACATGCATTCAGGCCAAGCAGCACAAGAGGGCATCAGCCATGGTCCAGCACCGCAGTCTGACACACCAATGGCCCTCATTCACTCCAACATCTGCAGCCCATTCCCCATGAGACCTACTTTGTCTCCTTCACCATGTCTTGCAACATGATCTTCATCACTTCCACACATGACATGCCACCTCCCATGGACCACAGACCTCCCTGCATCTCCAACCTACTGACAGCCCTGGAAAACAAAACCAACTCGGGTTGTCAAACCCATGCCCAGCCTCAACCAGATGGTCAACACCTCAATCCTTGGTAACAATGATGCTATGAGACAGAATGGCATTCCACTTTCAATTGAAATGATACACATTATTAACTGCACCAAATGCAAACACATGTCTTCCTTCTCCTTCATCACCAGACACTAACACAACCACACAACAGGGCAAGTTGGCAGTGGTGGGGCTGACAGGAGGCCCTGCTCGCTCGATGCTGGTCGCCCTTGTCATGGCCTCTGGCCGTTCCCACTGCTTGTGGAAGGAGAGGTCACGGCAGGCGTCCGTCCATGGCGAATATGTGGCCCAAGCGCGAGTTGGCTGGGATTGGTCTGGTGCTGGCTAGGTAACAGAGCGTGGTGGAGAAGAGCTTCGCTTGGCAGTCCGCCCCGGCGATGAGAAGGCGTAGAAGGTCTTGCAGCCCTTCCCAATGCGCACGTAACCGCAGCCCCAGTAGATCCCGACACGACCGACTCATGGCAGAGCCGCCCGGCGCGTAGTCCCAGAGGATGCGCCCCTGTCTACCTGCAGCGCAATGTAGTCCGACGTCCCCAACGATGCTCGCCCCGGCCAAGAACCCCGTTACCCGCCGTCACTGCCGAGTGCGCCACGTGGCCCCTCGCCGCCGCGACGCTCGAGTTGGCGGCTTGGCCCTCCGGCACAGCAGTCTGCCACATTATCGAACCAATCGGCAGTATCCAGCGCCGTCCACAGTCGGCCGTAAGTCGAGCCGCCCGAAGGCACGAGGTCGATTCGCTGGCCGTCGCAGGCCGCACCCCACTGCGCCCCGCCATTGAGCTAGGCGGTGCCGGCCTTGGGCGCCCGGGCCAGCGCGCCGGTCACTTCGTAGGCGATCAGCATCGGCCCCTGGCCGAAGCCGCCGGGCACGGCTTGGCAGTTGGCGTTGGGCGGGGTGGAGTAGTTGGATGGGAAGTTGTTGGGGTTGCAACCTAGATTGTAGGCGTCCATCGCGGTAGTCGCCTGGCGAAGGACCTGGTCCAGGCCACGGCGCCATCGGTTGGCGCATGGCCACGGCCGAGTCGACGTGGTTGTGTGGGATGACCAGGCATTTCCTCTGCGCCACAGGCTTGGATGTCGGAGGTCTCGTGGTTGTTGTTGCCCGTACCGACGTGGACAAGCGCGAGCTAGTCGTCGACCGAGGGGCTAGAGCCCCACACCGGCGCGAGTAGTTGGCGTCATGTAGGTCTGCGGCGCCACGCGGCCCGACCGGGCGTCGAGCGCCGCAACCTTCTGGCGGGGCCGAACTGATTCTCGGTGACGGGGCCGAACTGGTTCTCGGTGCTCGAGACGCCTACCAGCAATCCGCCGCGGTGCACGGTGGCCGACACGGTGATAACGGCGTTCGGGTGCGGGCCGAGCATGGTGCGCCACACCAGTTGGTCGTCGGTGGCATTGAGCCCGAAGAACCAGCCGGAGGCCATGTCGCCAGCTTGCCGTTCCAGGGAAGTAGACCGAATTCTAGGAATCCCGGTTCGAAAAAAATGTGTAGTCAACTCGTGCGTGCCAACAAGCGTGCACCATCTAGCACCAACACAGCCAAACGATTCGGGTTCGGGGTGTCTTCAGACGTCGCTGTCAGAGTGAGACTTCTTTAAGAAACCCATCACTTTATCGGAGCGGTGTGAGGCTGCTTCAAGGCACCACGATGAACAGACGCAACCAAGTTGTGTCTACGTAGGGGGAGTACTGCCAGTCTTTGTAGGCCAGCTTGACGTCCTTGTCGTTCTCCACCACCATCCACTCCCCATCGCAGGCCCGGCGGTACTTGATCTGGGTCTTCCAGGTGACAGCGTCGCCGTAGTATTGCCTCAGCTGCTTGTGGAGGTTGTGGTAGTAGGGAGCGCCAATCGACCAGACGTGCTCCCCGCCCTCGTAGGGCAGGACGGCCTTGAGCAGGAGCCTCCAAGGGAGGCCAATCTTCAGCCTGTACTTGGGCTCGCAGGAAGGCCTGCCATCAGGATAAAGTGGCGTCGGCGGGGGCTGAGTCTGTTTGGCCAGCTCCACTTTTCAAAGACACAAGTTGAAGTATTAGATGACTATTATGGCGGCGTACCACAAGAACTCAATGGTGGGTCGTACCATCAAGCTGCTTCTTCAGCTTGTTGTTGCTCTCCTTCAGTTCGTCGTTCTCTTTGAGCACAACAGCGAGCCCCTTTTCGGCGTCCACCAGCTCCTGACACAGCTCATCGTTGCTGATTGTTAGCTCTGCGGCGGTCATGTCTTCGGAACTGGCCATGGTGTTGAACGGAAAGTTGTGAGAGACTAAGCCTTGGAGCGGACCAGAAGAACAGACATTAAAAAAGAGCGGTGGAAGGGACAGAGCGCTCCAGAAAAGGCAACGTTGTACAAGGGAAGCAAAATTAAATTATCAACACAGTTGTACAAGACTCACTTTCTTTGGGCACAGCTTCAGACATCGCTGTCATCAGTGCTGTCGTCATCGGAGAAGTTGTCGTCGCAGTGCGCAGAGACGTAGCGGCGGGTGAAGGCCGAAGCCGGCGATGCGGGGTACGAGGAAGACGACTCCAGCGAGTCGGGAGCGGCGGAGCCGAAGCGAGGCAGGGCGGAGCCCAGCACTGAGGCGCCGTAGTAGAACGCACCACCGACCTGCGACGCCAGGGTGTCGCCCTCCTCGTTGTCGATGCTGCGTGAGTAGTAGTCGTCGTCATCGTCGGTCGCAAAGATCCTACTCTCTGTGACGCCCGGCTGGCGGTGGCGGTGGTGGTACTGGTGATGGTGGTCGGCCTGGCGCTTGGGCTTCTTCTTGAACTTGGTGGCGATCTCGTCCTCGAGCGCCGGGTCGACCCACTTCTGCACCCCGATGAGGGTCTTGGTCACCCCCTCCGTCACTCCGATGATCGGTCGCAGGATTGCCAGCGGCACTCCTACACACGCGAGTCAGCACGATGAACGGTGTGTGCGGTGTGTGCGAGGAGAGTACCAGAGGCGAGCGAGGAGAGGTAGCCGGTGGCGCCGTGCTTCTGGTACTGGTCGAGCGGCACGGCCACGATGCGGTGGGCCGCAGCGCCCAGCTCGCGGGAAACGCTGGAGTAAGCATCCCGCATCCCCGCCTCTGTTGTGGCGGGCGCGTGGGCGTACATGCTGCTGCCGGCAATCGACCCTCCTGCGTCACCATACAACCATCAGCGATCGGCGGCACGTAATCAGGCGACACCTGATGAGGGTCAGGTCGTACCCGAACCGCCGAGGTAGTAGTCGGCAGCCTCCAGCACGTACTGCGCGCCAGCCGTCAGGTTTGTGCCAACGTTGAGACCCTCGACTAGCCACTTGTGGAGTGCCGTGCTCGCGCCACGTTGCAGGCCTGTGCGAACAGAACCACGCCAGGTTATATCATGCCAGCACACCTTCACGCGCCACCGCACATGCACACGGCCAACGGCACACTTACCGGTGAGGATTCGGCCGTCCTTCTGCCACTGCTGCATGGGCGTGTAGATGAGGTCGCCCACGCCGGAGGTGATGTTGAGAAGGGAGCGTATGGGCGCGATGCCGGCCACCACTGACGAGAGCTGGGTTCGGCTGATGTAGGGCAGGTAGGCCTCCACCAGTCGCTTACCCAGCAGCTCGTCCCATCCGCGACCCTTGACTCGCACCGGCTTCAAGTGGATCTCAGCCGCTGCACAAGTCAACTTTTAGATGTGTGCGGTCGTGTGCATGGTGCGTGTCGTGCGTGTGCGTACCTCGCAGAGGAACGGCCTTGGCAAAGAACGCGACCTTGTTGTCACCGTAGAGGGCGTTGTAGTCGAGTTGTTTGGGCTGGTAGTCCACCTTCAGATGCACGCTCTTCACCTCGCAGCTTTCTACACAACACGCCAAGATCTGTCAGATCTCCATTCGCCGCGTAGTGGAGGAGAGGGCGCGTGGTACGGAAGTAGAGCGGCTCCCCTTCAGGAATGACGGGCGAGCCCTCCATGGCGGAGAAGTACTGCACCAGGAACTCGAGGGCGTCCTGGTCGATGTAGAGGCGCAACGGCAGACTCCGCACCTTCAGCCGCCACTCCTCCGCCTCGGGCTTGGCCGCGCGATCGGGCCGCACGCACTCCATCTGCACGGCGAGCATGCTCGACCCGGTTTCGCGCGGGCGGTCACGGTCGTAGCACATGAAGGTCTTGACGTCGGAGCTGGGCACGTTGTCCTGGACTTCCACCTCGCCAACCGAGACCACGAGCCGTCGCACATGCTGCATGTATAGTGATTAGTTACTGGACCCGCCACGTACATTCCGGTGACCGACAACACGCCGGCCGACATGTCGGCTTCGCAGCGGCGGCGTACCTGTGTTCCGGGCACCAATTCGTTCAGTTGGATCTCGAGGTTGGTGACGGCAATCTGCATGTTGACCTCTTCATTGCGCGACCCGGCCTTCGGCAGCGCCTTCCACGAGCCGTCGGAGCCGTCGGTGCTGGCAGCAGCGCCACCGGAGCTCGACGTCGTCGACGCCACCAGAGACCCCGTGGGTGTGGCCCAGTCTGCGCCGCCGACCAGACGCACCACCACGTCCACTCGTGCGAATACCCTGAGCTTGGGCAGTGGGTACCTGCCAAATGTGCGGGTCAGTGATTGCCTTGTTTTCTTCACGTGGAAGAAGGCCAGGACGGTACCCTTCGGGCAGCGTGAACCCAAAATCGGCGCTCTTGGGTGGCGCACGCGCAAAGTCGTCGATCAGCAGCCCGTCGAGCTGGGGCGCGTCACCCGTGAGCCAGCGCGCTTGGGGTTCTGTGGGCAGGACGCGTTAATTAGCCCAAGAAGTGGTGGTGAAAGCCTAGAAAGCTGTGCTGGTGGTGTGAGTGGAGTACCTCGTGGTGGTACATTGCTCGGCATGATGGGAGTCGGCACCGTTTCAGCGGGTTGGCGGGGAGCATCAGCGGCAGGGAACTTCTCCACGACCAGCTTGTACTTGCGCCCTCGCTCCAACCCGATCTTTTCGCCGTCGACCACATCACCTCCTTCCTCCTCATTGTCGTCGTTTTCTTCCTCATCACCCTCCTCTTCTTCGTCGTCATAGTCCTCCTCTTCTTCATCCGCAAATGTTTGCTCCCACGGGTCTGCCGCTTTCGGCTCCGCTTTGTGCTGCGTCGCTTCCTCTCCCTCGACCACGTCGTCCCAACTGTCGACAATAGTAGAAGAAGAGCTCCAGTCCACGTCGATGTCGCTCGACGAGTCGCCGGAGTCGTCGCTCCCTCTTCGCCTGCGCCTTGTCCGCACCGGTTCCCCGTCCTTGGTCGCCTTCGCTCTCGCTTTCGCTGTCGGCCTGGTGCGGGCATCAGGATGCTGCCTCTGCAGCTGATGGCTGCTTGATTCCTGCTTCTCCTTGCCCTTACCCTTTCTACCGACATCTGGAGAGCTCGACGACGAGAGGTAGTCCTCCCGTATCACGAAGCGACCGCTCGACGAGGCCGACGGGTCGTAGTCCTCGGCGGCTTTGATTTGCGCCGCTAGCGAGCTCTGCTTCTTGGCCGTGCTGCTGCTGCTGGGCTGGCTGCCGCTGGTCTTGCCGCCGCTGTTGCTTCGGCCAGGCCTATGTTTATCGCGTGGAGGCTTCCGTTCGTTCGGCCGCGTCTTGGGCGCAAACGCGTTGGCCGCCACGTCATCTGCACGCAGACCAAACGAATGTCAGTGGTGGACGGGCAGGGGTGTGTGCGTGTGCGGGTGTGTACCCCACTGGACTTGGTTGAGGGCGGCAGCCAGCGGATTGAGGTCGGCCTTCGGCTCAGGCTTCTGCTGTTCTGGTGCGTTGGGGTCCTTCTGCGCCGGCGCTGTCCATTCGCCCACGAGATCCAATAGCGTTTGCAGCGAGTCCTGTTTGACGTCGGGGAGTTGGTGACTTAAATCTTTTCGTATGAGGCTGCAAGGAAGAGGAAGAGGCCGGCGTACGCTGCAGGCGGTCAACGAGCACGTGGGCGACGGATCTGATACCACGTTGATCTGGAATGCAAAGAAGACGGACTATCAATTCGGCTGCAGATGAAAGGGGAAACACTCACGCCAGGCTGGTGAGAATACCTCCAACTCGGGCAGATTGGCTTCCACGTGGTAGGCTGGGCTGCGGCTGATGATGTCCCAGTCCAGGTGGTCGAGGCTGGCCACCTTAGTGTAGCCTTTCTGCTGCCAATAGCCTGCGCTGCCGCCCGGTGGTAAACCGCTCAAGGTGATGGACGACGCTCGCCTGCGCAGGCCGCTCCCTCCAATGCCGCTTCGATCCGTGCTGTCGCTGATCGACGAGGACACCGATCGCTGCCGCATGGTGTCCATGAGGTACACTGTCAGCGTTTGTAGAGTGCCTCGGAACACGTCCTCGTCGGACCCCGCCACGATGTCCTCGCTGCTCACCTGGTGAACAGAAATTCACACTATTCAGGAACTCATTTTCATCGTTGCAGTGGTCAGTGGAGGTGTGGGCAGTTACCGACAGGAGGTCAATGGTCGCCATGGCTTGGGATGGAAGCAAGCGCGACGTGTATTCGATCTCGAGCTGATTGAAGGTCAAGCCGATGCGGAAAGCCGACGCGGCGATTTCATCGTTTGATTGTTGTTGTTCATGTTGCTTCCTCCTGGCCCGAAGTGCTTTCTTCCGCTCGTGGTCGCGTTGCTTCTCCTCCTCGCTCTAGATATATCGCTCATCAGTTCCAGGACGCGAGTACGGGCAGAGGAAAGAAGAAAGAACGAACCTTTGAGGGAGCAAAGAAGCCGCTCAGGCTGATGAGCCAGTTGAGGCCCTTGTGGTGATGCATCACCACCTCGTCGAACATGAACCGACACTCCGTGTTGCCTCTGCCCGTTTGAATAAGCCCCCTAAACATTGGTCGTACTTCCTCCTGATGGCCACCAGCAAAGACACGTTAAAATTTGTGTCAGCCTGCGTGCGTGCAGCATGTGGCACAGATTGGGATAGCAAACCTTGCGCATTCGATGTATGCGCTCCGCAACAGGCGTCGTGTTGTCGAAAGAGATCGTGTCGTGGATGATGAAGTCCTCGCCTGTCAACACGGTGTAATTGGCGTCCTGGTAAAACACGTCGGCCCACCACACAAAAACGAAAATCACATAGATGTGAGAAGAAGCAGATAAGAGTGGAGAGTGATAGTGCTGGGTACCATGCCGGCGTGCTGCATGAGCTGGAAGATGTGCAGCTTGACGAACTCGAGCTCATAGCAGTGAGGAGGCGGCGAGCTGTTGTTCTTGCCCTCGTTGGCTTCGGCGTCTTCGCGCCGTGTGTTCTCGCGGAACACCCAGTTGCCCTGAGTGAAGAACACGTTGAGGGCCAGCGCATTCTGTCGCTTTTGCACCAGCTCGCCGTAGGGATAGTCGAGTGAAGATCTCCGCCTGGCATCCAGCAAGTTCGGGGAGCTGACCGCCTCCGCGAGGTTGATGGTGTTGGGCCGTTGCTCGGGCTTCCGAGAGCGCGGACTCGTCGCGTCGCTGTCGGCGTCGCTGCTGCCGCTCCCCAGTAGCTTCACGATCAGATCGTAATCTGATTTGCTGAGGTCCACATGTGATGATGGGAATCGCAGAGTGACGATTACTTTCTGTAGTAGGTCAAGAACGCGTTAAGTTCTATCCAAATACACTTGGGCGAGGATGTGTGTGCATGTTGACGTACTGAATAGTCTGTCGCTTCCGCCATGGCTTGTTGATGTCCGCGCCCCTCGAAGATCGAGAAGAAGTTCCAGAACGAGCCGAGCTAGTGATATAGGAAAAAAACGCTGTTAGGCCATGATGAAGACACCAATAAGGACGGGTGCACACAAACATACGTTCTCCTGATGCCACGCTTCGTCAGGCAGCGTGTCCGAAAGGGTAATGTCCTGCACGAACGTAAAGCTGGGCTTCCACCGGTCGGTTCGAATAGCAACCTCGAGTGGAATCACCACTTCGTTCTGTGTGTTCCTCATCTGCGCCTCAAAGAATGTTCGCTCGGTGCTTTCACGATGAAGGTGAGAATAAAGCGTCGCGGCTGGTCCTGGAATGAGAGATAGAAATGTCGTCAAGTTGTTACCAGAATACGCTGGAACACCGGTGCAGTTAGGTGATTACCTGATTGCCGATCTAAGCTGGCGGAGAGTTGGTCGAACTCGACTAACCACACTGCTTCCGACTGATCGCTGTGCATGTGCGTGGTCGCTCTCGGCCCCACTTGATCGCTAACCCTCAAAACAATCTGCTCGCCTCTGTGGCCCCAAAACAAAGAGTTGGTATCGAGGAAAAGGACCCTGAGGGAGGGAGGGGGCATGCCTGGGTACGCCTGTCGAGTAAAGCACAATGCAGAGCCCGCCCTGCACGCCCGCCCGGATCCTGCTACTTTTAAGCTCCAGTTGCTGACGATTGAAACAGTGGTAGACCATTGTGAGTAACCATCAACAAGAGAAGTAGAGCATGCTTTGATGAACCTGCTCACGAGTCGAGGCATGCAGGTGGGCCAAGCCTTCTAGATTCTCCCTGCACCACAAAGTGAGACATGCTGGAAGTGGTGTTCTTGAAAGAGGGACTGCATACCCCACGGGCTTGTTGGATTGAAGCGCGTTGGCGAATTGAGACAGGCGGTCGAGCATCTTGAGGTCGAGGAACACGTTGAGTGGATGCACCACAGTCTCGATGTCAAGATCAAACACGTCACCGGGCAGCTCAACTGCATGGTCACTCAAATCAGAATACTGACATGTGGCGCGACAGGCGTAAGAAGACCGCACCTTGCAAGCTCTTGTTGGTTTGCATGATTGCGCATTTCAGCTGCGGGAGGCGAAGGTTACGTTGGTCGGTGCTGCGTTCGCTTCCTTCCGTCGCAGTTAGTGAGGGTGTCCGGCCGCCAGAGGACTGCGAGGAGATCGAAGGCGAAGCAGAGAAGTCGGGCGCAGAGCGCGGCGTTTGAGTTCGTGGAGGAGAAGGCGATGGAGGCACGGCAAAGCTCAACACCGTTCGCCTGTGGAAGCAAAGACACGTGTCAACTTCCAACCAACACACCGATCAGAACTGGCAAAGGCAAGTAGCAGGTTACCTCTGTTCGCTTCTGGATTCTTCCTGGTCCAGCGAGGATGGCACCGCAAGATACTCGTAGACACTCAACGTGTCGGCCGATATCTCGACCCGGGTCTGGAGGAGAGAGCCCCAGGTCTGAACGAACAGGCTCTCAAACTCCAGTGCCAGGCGATCGCCCACCCGCTCTTCTATGCTGTCGTCTTCGTCTTCGTGACCGCCATCCAGGTCGTCTTCATCGTCCTCGTACAGATGACGATGGTGGGCTCGTTCGTCGTCGGATGCCTCGGCGTTGTCTTGCTTCTCCTTACCCTTTTCGTAGGCGGCATCCCCCGGTCGTTCGTCGTAGCGCGATGGCTTGGGGCGCTTCTGTCGAGTCGGAGGTAGGTCTGCTATGGTCCCGCAGAGCGTCGGTGAAGTGGAACCGTAGATGAGATTGAGCGACCCGCCCACGACCCGCACCACCGCCTGCAGGTTCAGGAGCGTGTAGTGCGCCACCGGGCAGGGTTCTGCTTCCTCCTGCGCGCTGTCCTTATGCTCTCCCGGAGCGCCCTGGAACCAGTCGTCTTCGGGCGCGCACTCGTAGAACGACTCGCTGTCGTCGCTCGGCGAGTTTTCCGAGTCACCCGATCGATCCAGAGCTTTACTCTTGCCTTTCGCCCCACTGCTTCTTGGTCTGTGTCGGGCTGCTCGTTCCGTGCGTTGAGCTGACCATGTAAGGTGAGTGATGATGCCAAATTCCAAGTATTCTCTTGGGGGTTGCTTACCCAGATCTAGCTCGCTGGCCATGGGCTGGTTGGAGTACAAGTCCTCCTCGGGCGCAGGAATGGCTGTGGGAGGCGATGGGCTGCGCACCAGGGACGGTGCCATCCTCGCTCCTGAGCTCTCACGTAGATTGCTGGCTGGCGGTGGCGGCGGACTACTCGCTGGCGAGACGATCATAGCGTCGAGCGCGGCCGACAGGTCAATCAGCATTTGAAGCTGTTCTGCTGATATCGCTGTGGTCACCTGCTGCAGGGTGCAGTCCACATCGAGGTCGGGTATGGACACGTCGGTCTTGTTCCGCTTCAGCTTGATGTAGATCACGCTGGCATCGGAGCTTTCGCTGCCGCTGAGGCCCACCGATTCGGCCCAGGGGCAGCTTACTCCCTTCTTGGGGGAACCTTCGTTGTCTCCGGCGTAGTCAGGTCGTTGTGCAACAACGAGCATTGTGTGGCCCTTCTTGGAGCGATGGTCCCCACGGCCGTCCACTCTTCCTGACGGGGGCAGGGTCTAAAGACAAGGTACAGAGTAAGCAATAGCGTTTGGGGTCGGGTGTGGGTGCGAGACATACACTCTTTCGATCGAGAGAAGCAGATAGCGCTGGAAATCTGATGCACTTGATCAGGGCGGAGGGATTCCACTCGGCGACCGAGGGCTGTGTAGTGGGAGATGAAGGTCCGGCCTCCTGAACAGACATCAGACAGAACAAATCACATGGTGAGTAGAAAAGTTGAGAGGCAACTGCATTAACACTCGAGAAGAGTACCTGGGTGCTATTGGTGGCGGCATCGGCGTTGTTGGTCTTGGCGTGGCGTGTGATGTCTGAATACTCGAACGAAGGAATCTCGACGCACAGCACAGCTTCCTCACCGAGCGACGGGCAAAAGTATTCGAGTTCGATACTGAGATTCTTGAGGCGCACGTTCTCGAGAATGAGCAGGAGCTGGTCGATTATTTGGTTGAGTTCTCGTTCTCCAGTAAGCGGCGCAGCGTAGGCTTCCTCTGGAACCGATTCGTGATCGACACTGACACTCTCAGATATCGACGCCGCCACGTTGAAAGCCGACCGCGAGCCGTAATCCGAGTTTGTGCCCCACACACGGCTTTCTTTGAGCGTTCTTGGCCCTAAGCCATCAAAACGCACACCACATGTAGGTGAATGAGGAATTCAAGAGCAGATGCACATTGGAGCTTGCTAGGCGTACTCTTGACTTTGCGTGGAGCAAATGTGAGACGAAGGCCTTCCAGCTCGAGCTTGCAGTTATCGACAAGTGAGGTAGTAATATTCTTCAGCGGCACCGTCACCCAAGCGTGTTCGATCCAGCCGCTTCGCAGCTCCACCGGCAGCTCCCCCAGTAGGCTGTTGATCGTCTGAGACAGCCAGGGCGGGTGAGACTCACAGCCAAAGCACAAGCACAAGCCGCACTCGAAAGAAAAGAGAGACGAAAGGCGAAGAGGTTGAAGATCTGGTCGGGTGCTGGAGGTGTGCATAGGATGCGAGATCAAACGTAAAACAGAAAAGTCGTGGTAGGTTGGGGTTACCTCATTGTTGAGCTCGAGGTGGGTGAGATGAACAATTCCTGCCTTGAAATCAATGTCCAGCTGCGACAGGTCGAGCTTCTCCTTCAGAAAGTGCCCAAAGGTCTTGTGCAGAAAAAACTGGCGAGGGGGCGGATGGGGAAACGAGATTGTAATTATTAGTACCAAATCATCACAAAATTGATGTCTTGCAGAGAGGAGAGGGAATGCCCGCCCACCTTGACCGCACGCTTGACGAGGGCCGTCATCGTGGCAGATGGAAGGGCAGGAGGGACAGCTTCAGGAAGAGGATGAGATCTGCGCTTGCAAGATCGATGCAGATGGGTCTAATCTAGATTTCCTCTTTTCCGTACATTTTTTTTTCTGCTGAAGTCGACAATCTTCTTTCGCCGGTCTTTCCGTAGAAATGTCGCACAATCGAAGATTTAACCCCCCACCCTCCGACGACACTTGTTTGGGACACGACGCGTACCGGTTCAACCAAGGTAGCTTACAGAGTGGTCCTGTTGAGGTGTTCTGACCCCTCTTCTCTAGAGGAGGTTTTATTTGTAGGAAAGGTTTGTTTGTATGTACACAAAGACAGGCGGGCGGTTGCACTTGTTCAAGCGGTCTCGCCGCCAAAGTCGAGGATGGGGAGGCCGGTCTCCTCCTTGCCCTTGTTGCTGCTCTCGTCCTTCTCGCGCACACGACCGAGCACGAAGTCGTCGAAGGGGAGGCTGCCCGGCGCCTGTGGCGTCTGCTGGTCGGCCGCTGCAGGGGCCTGCTGTGCTCCCTCCTTCTCTCCGCCGGCATACAGGTTCGAGAGCTGGGCTTTCAGCTGGGCGAGCTTCTCCTCGGCCGTGAGGTTGGACTGGTCGGCGGTTGCGGGCTGGGTGGACATGTTGACGTTGCGGGGATTGAAGGAAGGGGACGAGGTTGTTTGCTGTTCTTGTTCTTGTTCTTGTGGTGGCAGTTGGTGGTGAGATGAGTGAAGAGAAAGGAGCCAACCCTACTTGACAAGACGCCAAGCGTTGTTCCACTGGAGTGACGGTGTTTCCACCCACATCCCACGTCTCTTGCCCACCCACACACGCAGCAAGCACAACACACGCACAGAAAAGACGACGAAATTTGCCACGCTAGCAAATAAATAAATGCATGAGAGAAAGTAGGTCGACACAGAATTAGAGCTGAAGAGCAGACGAGAGTTACGTTCGGTGCAGTGTACATCACGATGATTACTTGTTGGTGACTTCATCGCCGTGGATGGTGTAGCGGTCGCGCTTGACGTTGGGGTCGTAGACCTCCCAGCGCGAGGCCGGGAAGATGTGCTTGTTGCGCTCGTACCACCGCCTCTCCACCACCTTGGCCGCGTGCGACTCGTCCTTCTCCTTGGTGGCATCGGCCAGCATACGGATGTCGTCATGCACGTCCCAGTTCCACAGAGGACCACTCTTGCCCTTGGCCTTGGTCACGATCAGGTCGTAGAACGTGTAGTCCTGTACGTTGACGGGAGTTGTGAGTGCGTGTGTGTGCGGTGCGTGTGTGTGTGCGGTGTGGCGTGTGTGTGCGGGTGTGCAGTGTGTGCGGTGGGATGTGGGTGTATGGAGTAGTACATGAGGAATAATGACATCCTCCTTGATGAAGAGCATGTTTTCAGAGCTGATGCCTCGGAGCTCGTGGAACTCCTGTCTCACCAACTCGAGGAACTGGTCGATCTTGGTGCCCTTGCGCACGGCTACCGTGCGTCGGTGGCCAGTGCCATCGTAGTAACTGTACGTCACCGAGATCATTTGGTCTACGCACACGCCATCACATGTTAGCCAGACACGACACGACACGTGCCGATGCAAGCCAAAGGAGGTGGTACGCACTCTTGACTTTCTCTTGTTCCTTCTCCCACTCGACAGAAAGCTGCTCGCGAATCTTACGCTCCTCCTCTTCTCGCTCTCTGTCCGGCAGGAACGTGGTGTCCACGAAGGGGTTCTTGCCTGGCTTCTTCTTATCTGCGCACGGCAAAACCAGCACATCAGCCACGGTGCACACGGTTTCCCGGCTGTGGGAGAAGGTGCTTCTCGAGGAGGAAGCGCACCTTTTTGTCCGTTCTCTGCACTCTCCTCGCCGCCATCCTCATCCTCCTCGTCAAGTGCAAACGACAGTTTGGCTTTCGCAACGCGTGGCTTCTTGATCGTCCTCACACTCCTACATCTCGTGCGTTAGGCAGCAGGCGGTATGGTTGTAGCGAAAGAGGGGATGGGGCGCACGATTTGTCCTTCTTCTCTTCCAGCAGAGCGGCAGCGGCCTGCTCAAGATCCTGCCGCTTACGTTTGAAATCTTCGTAGCTCACAAGACCCACCGTGGCCTGTTTCAGCTGGTCCTCCACGTCATCTCGATTCGAGGCGAACTTGCTGCGAATAGATTCGATTTTGTGCTTTTCCTCGATCGCCTTCTTGGACTCCTCGAATCGCTTCTGCTGATCCTCGCGCGCCTTGGCCAGGCGCGCAATTCTGCTCGAATCCGTTCCCGTGCCCTTGTATTCAGTCATGATGCCTCGATCGGTTGGCGATCGCGATGTGGGTGATGCCAATCTTGGGGCGCTGTCGAGAAAATCAATTTCTTTTTCCAATCTCCGCCTGGCAATCCCAGTTCTTTCCTGCCTTTGTAATATCTTTTTATAATTGGAATAATATTTTACATCAAATCAATTCCTACGAGATGGAAGCTGCTGGAGGTTGGGTGTCATCAGCGACGCTGGAGAAGCTGCAGGCGGCCTCCGGTCTGGCCTTTTCGTCGTTCCTTGGGCTTCATCTGGCCAACGCGTGGCTGGCAGCTCCCCTCGGCCAGGTGGCCTACGACGAGGTGCAGGCCGTGCTCCGTCGCTGGTACCAGCTGCCCCTCTTCGCCGAACCCCTCGTGGTCTTCCTCCCGCTGGGCGTCCACGCCGTCACCTCCGCCGCACTGGTCTACCGCCGCCTGCAGCGGGCCAAGGAACTCTCTTCTGCCGACGCGAGCCCCACCACCGCACCACGAGCTCCGTGGCATCTCACACTCCATCGATACTCTGGGTAGGCTTTGCCCGTGTGTCGTGTGGGTCGTGTGTCGTGTGTCGCGTGTCGCATGTCGTGTCGTGTGGTGTCGTGTCGTGTTGTGCGTGTGGTGGTTCTGACAACTCGGCGTCATAGATATTTGGCGGCGGCGCTGGTGGGCGGCCACGTGCTGGCCACGCGAGGCCCGTCCTGGTTCCTCGGCCACCTGCCGGCCGACTTCTCGACCGTCGCCTTCACCATGGAGGGCCTCCTGGCGCCCCTCTTCTACCCCTACTACGTCATCTTCTCCTCCGCCGCGGCCTACCACGCCCTCTACGGCACCTCTCAAGGCACTGTGCCGACTCGACCTTGCTCTGTCGACAAGATGACCGAACTACTGACTTCGTGTGCGTGTCTTTCTTCTCATGGCCGTGGCTATGCCCCACAGCGCTGAGGGTGCTGCTCCCGGCCGAGTGGACCTATAAGAGCCGGTTTGCCTGGGTGCGGTCGCTGTTCAGGGTGGAGAAGAAGCACGTGTTCAATACCCTCATCGTGATGTCTACTGCTCTCTCCATTGTGGTACCAAACTGCCACACACTGCCACACACACAATACACACACAACTGCAAACTCTCGTACGGAACGCGATAGAGCTGCTGGAGCGCAAGCCCGATTGACCAACACTCTTACCTTCTTGGCACCTATGCCAGGCCGCGTCCGCGTTTGCAGGTTTCCTCTTCCCCATACTCGACAAGGAGCGCTTCGCTGGTACTACGCGATCCCCTCACCAGCCAAGTTGAACCTATTTTGCACGTGCATTCACCTCGCTGACGCACATACACACACAGAGCACAGACAGCTGTATGCGCGCTTTGTGCCATCGTTCTTGCTCTGAGAGACCAACGACCCATCTACCAGCTCTCATCATCAGCTACGCTCCTTTTCCATCTTCTTCAGCAGCTGTCCTCTCCCTGCTTTGTGCGTGCTGCGGAAGAGAAAATAACATATTTGGAATAATTATTGCTGAAAATGCCCTTTTATGGTATACGGTCATTGCTGCCTCGGCTCCCAAAACTCGAAGCGGCACAGACACCTAACACTGGGGGCACTGGTGGCCACCTCCATTTTTCACCACCACTCTCGACGTCTACGTCTTCGTCTACGTCGCCACCGCCCTCCCACGTACCACCAAAACTGAAGGATCTATTGAAGCGAGGGCTTATCACACGGTATTCACACCCACATAGATGGACGACAAGGAGGGGGGACCCTCTGAGTCGCTTATGAGCGGCGATCGAGGTTGTTCAACATCAACAGCACCAGCATCAGAAAACAACTATAAGGACGACGAAGACGGAAATCGTGAAGAAGAACGGAAGGGTGCGGCTGCCAGGTTCGGCGAGGTGGAGGAGCCGCGGCAGCGCTGGGGCGCCAACCACAGCGGAGCGCTCGAAGCAGTGCTGCCGCCGCCTCCGCCGCCTCCACCTCCGCCACACGAACCCAAGAAAAAGAAAAAAGCGAAGAAGCTCAAGAAGGCGGGCAACGACACTGCCGAGAGCTCCTCAGGAACGATAAGGAAGAAGAAAAAGAAGAGGGCGCCGGCCCTGGCTACCATCGACACCCCCGACATGACGATAAAGAAGAAGAAAAAGAAGAAAAAGAAATCAGTGCATAGCGAGATACGCGCCACTGCCCTCATCAGCACCACCAGCACCAGCAGCTGCAGCGGCAGTCAACAGCGGCACTCGGTCAATCTGGGCGAAGTCCTGCAGTCCAACCACCGACGAGCCGACAAGGAGCAGCTCGACGCGGCCGGCGGCGGCACTGGCGGGGCCAACGTTAAGACCCTGCGGGCCATCAAGCGGGCCTCGCAGCCGATCCCGCTCGACCACCTGGAGGAGAGCCAGGAGGGCGAGAGCGAGTCGGAGTCGCTGGCCAGCCGGGACGAGGAGGCCAGTACTGGTGAAGAGGATCGGCAGCGACCGACGACAGCGTACGTGGTGCCCGACGATAGGCTGGTCAGGCAGTATTCACATTTCGACAACGCCGACGCGGTCGCCGCCTTCAACGCCAACCCGCAGAAGGTGCCGCCTCCCGCCCTGCACAACACTTGTTAGCCATCACTTTAGCATTTACCCACGCTCACCACCGCACACGACACGACACGACACGACACGACACGACACGACACGACACGACACGACACGACACCGCACCTACACCACACATCTGACAGGCCATTAAAGCTATGATTGAAGCGGGACAAGTTGAGGGAAGCCCGGAGAGTGTGGCGGTGTTCCTGTACTGCTGCAAGCGACTCGACAAGGCGCAGATCGGCGAGTTTATCGGCGATCAGTACACTCTTCTCTTCTCCCTGCCCTGGACCTTAGATTCGCGCTCTTCGCCTATGCCTGGCACTAATCGCACGTTTGGGGCGATCGCTGTGTCGGGTGTCGTGCGTAGCAAGGGACTCGGGCGGGAGGTGCTGGACCACTTCGCGCGCCTGTTCAACTACACAGACCTCGATTTTGACATTGCGCTGCGGTTCGTCGTGCTCTCTTCACACCACTTTGATGGCTCTAATTACCCTTCTCTGTGCTGTGTCCGTGCGTGTGCGGCGTGTGCGGTGTGTCGTACGCCGTGGGCGGGGCGGGGAACGACACAGACGATTCCTCTCCTATTTCCGACTGCCGGGCGAGGCGCAGAAGATCGACCGCATCATGAACGCCTTCGCTCTCCAATTCTACCTCCACAACAAGGGCGACATATTCCTTTCCGCAGGTACCCACCATATTTGTGCGTGTGCGTGTGCGTGTGCGTGTGCGTGTGCGTGTGCTGCGCGTCGAAATATTATTCTCACAACACGACACGCGCCAGATACGGTGTACATTTTGGCGTTTTCGGTGATCATGCTCAACACGGACGCGCACAACCCGAATATCAAGAAGAAGATGACCGAGCAGGAGTTCGTGCGGACCAACCGCGGGATCAACGAGGGTCGGGACATCGTGCCCGAGTACCTGATCGACATCTACTGCCGCATCGTCACCAACGAGATCAAGATGGAGCACGAGTCCTTCCCCGACGCCCTCAAGATGGGTTGGCTCTGGATCAAGGGTACTCACCACACACACGCACACGCACACACACACACACGCACACAAACCACCGCACACACGCGCACGCGCACACAGTTCCAATGACATGACACGACACGGGCAGGTGATGTGCTGGACGAGCGCCTGCGCAAGCCGAAGCTGCTGGGCGGCAAGAAGAAGGTCCGCTGGTACCGGCTCTGGTTCATTCTCTGCGAGAGCGGCCTCCACTTCTACCAGGACGTCCGCGTACGCCCCCCAACCCCTAACCGCACTCACCACACACGCACGCACACACCGCACTCACCGCACACGCACACAACACACAGTTGAATCAGCCGGTTGGGGCGATGTCGCTGCGGGACGTCAAGTACCGCATGCTGAGCGAGGAGAGCGACGACGACGAGCTGCGCCGCGCGCTCGAGAACGACAAGAAGAAGCAGCTCAGCGCCCACTGCCTGCTGCGGGTCACCACCCTCCACCCGGGCGTCGCCTCGCTGGGGGAGCGGGTCTTCTACTTCGCGCTCCCCACCCGCCGCGAGGTCAACGTGTGGGTCTCCCTCCTGGGCAAGTGCGCCCTGATAGCCAGCCCACCGCAGGCGCAGCTTTTATCGGCGTCGTCGCCTCGACAGACTGCTTCGCCGCCACCGCCGCCGCCTCCGCCGCCACCGCCCGCGTCGCTGGTGTTTTTGTCAGACGCGGGCGCCTCGTTGGTGACGAGTCCGCGCGCGAGTGCGGGTGTGGTGGTATCGCCGCGGTCGGCCGCCAGCATCAGCTTTCCGAGCGCGCGCTCGCTCATCTTGCCCAAGCCCTCGGCCTCGGCGCCCCCCTCGGTTTCTCCCATCGCCTCCTCTTCCAACACACAGCCGTCGCCGCCGGCGTCGCCGACTTCGTCGTCACCGTCATCGTATTCGCCGACGTCGTCGTCACCGTCATTGTTTTCGCCGCGCGCCTGGCAGGGCCACCACCACCAGGTCATGCCGCCGCCGCTGGCCGGTGGTGTGCAGGGGCCGCTGTGGCTGGGCAACAACCAGCACTCGCCCCAGCACCCGACCAAGCCGCCATACGCCACCGCGGCCACGAGTGCACTTGCGAAGCACACGCGGGCGCCCATCGGCAAGAGCGTGTGAACACCCGTAAACGTTGCCACCTTCGGGCGCAAACAATGCAAGTGTCAGTTGTCTGTATGTGTGTGTACATATGCGTGCGTGTGCGGTGTGTATATATGCGTGTGCGGTGTGTGTCTTATTTCAGTTGCTGGTGGAACGCATGCGCTTGAACTTTTCTCGGTGGTGGCCAGCCGCAGCGAGAGTCAGTAGCGCGTTTCTGCAGGGCGGCTGAGGACTCGCACTTATGGGTAGCGAGTCGCCAGCCTCGTCGCGCTTCGTGGCTTCGAAGTCCTCCTCGGTCTGGTGGTCGCGTCGGCACTCGGGCGCCGAGGCCCGCAGCCGCCGCGCGCGGCCCTGGTCGTCGGCCATATCAGCCACGGCAAGGCGCGGGTTGGACGCCGGGGCCTTCGGCGGTCGCTGCAGGCAGTCAGCGCTGGCGGCTCGAGTGACGACGCGCCGCCGCCGGGCCGCCAGGGCCAGCGCGGCCTGCTCCTGGTGTCGCCGGTCCTGCTCCTCCAGCGCGCACTGGGCCTGGGCGTTGTTCGCGAGGAACGCCTCGGCCTGCTCGATCGACAAATTCTCCCGATTGTTGCAGGTCGTGAAGTGACGCAGCCAGTTCACCTGCAACACACGTGGCCCAATCGGATCAGAGCTTTTATTTCCCTAAAGAAAGATGTGCTTAAGGTGGTGGTATGACGTGGCGTACCCATAGGCCGGCTTCGAGCACGGACGAGGCGGTCATGACATAGACGCGCTCGGCCATGGTGACCTCGAACTGTGGCGACCACTCATTCCACTGTGGCCCCAAAAAACCAACAATCAATCAGCACCGCACACATACCACACGACACGCAACACACCGCACACCGCACACGACACGACACGCAACAGGCAGGCTGGCGCACACCTTGACGACGGAGTCGAGGAGGGGAATGAAGTTCTGGCACCGGGAGTGCCGGTCGCTCTTGTAGTAGAAGAGTTCGCCGCCGCAGGTCAGGACAAACCAGCGCCGCTTGAAGCCCTTGTTGAGTGCGCCGCGCTTCCACAGCCACCCCCGCTGCACCACGTCCTGCGGCGCAAACACGTCCACCTGCACAAAAAAATGAAAAATTAAAATTAAAAAACAAAATGAAAGCGAAAACGAAAGCGAAAGCGAAGTACCCCGATGAAAGGCGGTTGAGGATTCTTTTTTCGCAGGAAGGGTGAGAACAACATGCTCCTTCTTCTTCGTCTTTGTCTCACCTCGGCTTGTGCTTTCTTTTGTTATCTCGCCCCCCCCCGCTTTGGTGGTTGGTTCTCGCTCATTCCGCAGACCAGGAGTTTTGGCCCCTCCCTAGAACAACGCAAGGCCTTGGCCTCAAGTAGGGATGTAGATGAAGTGGTGGGGTTGTAAAATAATTAAAAAAAAGTGACGTTACAAGGGGGGGGTGATGAGGTGAGGTGCTGGCACTGGCTTCCACATCATCGTGATGGTGATGGTGGTGGTGGTGGTGTTGTTTGCTCCACGCGCTGGGCTCCTCGTTCAACCGGGGGGGTCGTGCATTAGTTGCCATCACGCTTCTGCTTCATGCGGGCGAAGATGGCCATGGCCTCGTTGGCGACCATCTGCTGGCCACCGTCCGGAGCGGCACCCGGGGGCCTGGGTCCGCCGGGCGCCCTCGTCGCGGCTCGCTTCGCCGCAAAGGCGTCGCCCGTGTGCATCTGGCCGATCAGGTTGTCCATCACGTTCCTGCTCCAAACCACGACACACGCCTCAATTAATGACACGACACGACACGCACCACAGGGCACGATACACAGCGGACTCAAAGGGAGTGGAGACGCACCTGTCGGGTCCACCAGCGCCCGGAGTGGCGGGCTTGCCGGCGTTCGTCTTCTCCCTCATCTTCTGCCTCCTCTCCTCGGCCTCCTTGGCCTTGGCCTCGGCCTGTTTCTTCTTCTCAATATCGCCCTGTGGTGCGCGTGTGCGGTTGCGTGTGCGTGTGCGTTTTAGCGACACGCTGAACACACGACACACGACGAAGATCGGAGAGGGGGCGTACCTTGGCTCTCTCGAGGGCCTGGACGGCGGCCCAGACGGTGTTGAAGAGCTGCTCGGCGGGCGTGCTGGGCGGCTCGCCGTAGTACTCGGCCGTCTTGGTGAAGGCCTCCTGGGTCTTCTTGAGCTTGGAGTCGAGCATGCTCACCTGCTGCGAGGCCTTGCTATAGAACTCGGACATGACGTTGTAGTACTTGTTGGGCGTTTCCGGCGGGGTCTTGACCTGGTTGCCCACAAACTCGACTGACTTGTTCAGCGCGGCCAAATCGCTCACCACCTGGCTCAGCGATTCTGTCGTTGTGTGTGTGAGCGAGCGAGCGGTTGATTGTATGAGTGTGGCTGGGTACCCTTGCAGGCCAGGGGCAGGGCCTCGAAGTCCTTGACCATCTCGATGACCTCGGGGAACTCCGTCTCGCCCTTGACGGCGATGAAGTGCAGCAGCGTCGGCAGATCCTTGTTGGACGACCTCATGTCGCCCAGCTGTGTTGGTGGTGTGTGTGTGTGTCGTGGAAGATGGAAAGAATAAGCAACGATGCGCGACAGCTTCAGTCGTGCGCGAGCGTGAGGGACCTTGGTGAGGGTGTCGAGCTTGAAACCGTAGGCGCCGCCTCGCGCGGAACCGGTGTTGATCATGTTACCGATCTTGAGCACCACCTCGAGGAAACGGACAAACTTCTTGCTGTTCTTGATCTCGTTGATCGCTTGCGAGATCACCGACACGCTCTGCATTGTGTGTGGGTGTGGGTGTGGGTGTGGGTGTGGGTGTGGGTGTGGGTGTGGGTGTGGGTGTGGGTGTGGGTGTGGGTGTGGGTGTGGGTGTGGGTGTGGGTGTGGGTGTGGG